TGAAATATTAAAATACAATATTATAAATATTTAAAAAAATAATAATAATAATCGCCAACTGTTGTCTATATAATATAGTACTACGTTGCTGTAGTTTAGCAAGATTTTTTTTTTTTTTTAAATTAATGAATACCTAACTTTCGAATTCTAAACAGTAATCGTTGATCAACTTTAAAAAATTAATTATCCTCATTGATGGCCTATACGAGTAAACACTCGTTTATTTAGAAGATTTGTTCTGCTTAACTAATTACTTGAAATTTTGTTTCATTTTTTAAATCTTAATTAGCAGGCCTCCGACATATAGTTTTATCCATGCAACATACCTTCAGCATAAACCACAAGGGATTTTATAACTATCATTTTTATGTTTATTTTTTGGAGTTATAACTAAAAATGCTGTAAATTTATAAGAAATAGCGAATTTATTCTACTCAAACTAGTGAAGATTAAATTTTCTATATCAAGTGACTGACTGAAAAGAAAAAATAAATAAACATAGCAACAAATAAAAAATAATTTTAGATTGAATTCATAAAGACCAATAAACAATAAAGAGTAAAGTAAAAACAATAATAAAACCGTTATTTTATTTCGGGCAAAGTTAATTAAGTAATTAATATTAATTGCGATATATATATATATATATTGTTTAGATTGTGTACACTTACCTCTTATCTTGGAAAATGATAAATCCCTACGGTCAAAGGATATAGTAGTATATATACTACACTAGATAAATATAGGTTGGGATTAAATACTCGTGGCACGTGTTAGTAATAGTAATGTACGTATTCTTGTTTCCTCTATAAATATGCTTAATTTGCAACTCAGTTGATCATACAAAACTAAATAAATAAACTTCTAAAAATTCTTAATTATTTGCATTAATTTCCGCATACAAGCAATGGCCTTTTCTGGGAAAAGATCTCTCTGCATGATGCTTATGGTGAGCTTAGTCGCAGCGGCGCTGCACGGGGCCAACAGTCGGGACATCGAGGAAGAGAAAGTGGATGTGGATGTGGATCGGTCATATGTGCCCAACTTACTTTATTCACAAAGCTTGCAGCCAATTTGCACCCTTTGCAAAGATATTAAGAAGGGCAAGGGTGTTCCTATACCACGTTTCTGCAAAATATGCAAGTCTTTCTAATTTCCAGTGCATGCCTTTGACCCGATTGTGGGCTATCTCTAAACTCTAACAATGGCGTTGCATTGATCCATGCTCGTCTTAACAATATTAATTTCAAATAAAATTGAAGCTATACGCCTTCGATCATATCAATCTTGTTACATATTGCAAATAAAACTGAAGCTATGCTTCAATCTCATCTTGTTGTGGACAAATAATGTTATATAAAGTAATGTCCGATCTCCCTTTTTTTGTCTTGTGCTTTATCTTTACGGTTTAGCAGCTCCTATAAAGATATTTCATGATACGGAAAGAAGTCTTACTAATGTTATTGTAATTTTCGACTGAATTTTAGTGATCAAGCTTGGGTTGAAACTCCAGACGTAGGCCAAGTTGGAAGCTGAATTGAGTTGACAACTATTTTGTGTTTTATTTTCTGTTGCTTTCAAAGTGCATACGTTATTTAATCATTATGCAAACCACCAGTCTGCTTATGTGTTATGAGTTCTTGGTTGCTCAAGTTGGGGCCAACACACACAATCTTTCATATGTCATATAAACAAATACATCTAACTAAAACATTAAACAAACATATATAGCCTAAATTAAACTAATCAATAAGCTAATTCTCAAATACCCTCTAAAATCAAGAACTACGACAATTCATGGAATATAAATAAAATCACGGAAAATCATAGGATAAAACTAATGATCATATATAAACACCATGAAAATAAATAAAGACAGAAATAAGAAATATATATTAATGAATGCCTTGCTTTAAACAATATTTGCTTCATCATCAATATAATGGCGTTTCCCGGGAAAAAGGATTAATCAAGAGAGATTTGATTCTAAGCGGAGCTCAGCCGCTCGAAGAAGAAAAGGTTCATCTGGATCAGCTGTCAACTCTATAAAAAATAAATATTATGTGAATTAAAATTTAAAAGGTAAATTATTTTTTTAGTCTCATATTTAACCGATTTTATTATTATTTTAGAACTTTAAATAGACCATGTTTGAAATTAGTCCCACAAGTAAAATATTTTCGCAAAATAGTTCTTCGGTGCCAAACTCGCCACGCTGGCCCACCGTTGTTGACATGGTGCTGACGTGACTAGTATATCATTGTCACGTATATGCCACGTCGGCAACACGTCGAAAATTTTTATTTTTTTATTTTACAAAAATATCTTCGTTCTCTCATATCTTTTGACCTCCTTTATTATTTTAGAACTTTCCACAACTAAAACATTTTAGCTAAAGTAATTTTCCCATAAAAAAAAAAAAAAAAAAAAAAACAGTTTATCCAAATTTAAATATAAATTAAACAAACTTTAATATATATTAATATGAGTGCATCTACAATATTTATTTTATATATATTGGTAGGCCCAATGGACCTCTACAATAATTGTGGTTATTTTTTAAACTTTTTAGTTGTTTTTTTGGATTGTGTTGGAATTTTGCAGTATTTTGAATGCAATTTTTTAAAAATAAATAAATAAATAAAATTAAGGGTTGAATGTGATATGCCAAATCAATATTTTATTTTCGATTTAATGTTTTTAGGCATAAAATTTTTTTACAATAAAATAAAATTTACCATAAATTGTATAATGAAAATAGACATATAAAGACATCTCATAAGAGATGACCTGCTGGTACCAAAATTAACTAGTGACCATAGGGTCATAGTTATCAGGCCATAGAAACACTTGATGGTGTGGATATGAACTCTTGACAGCTAAGTAATTTATCTATAGTCAATTATTACTCCCTCCGTTCCAAACATCGTGCAACATTTGTATTTGACATGACAATTTAGGTATGGAGTATTAAGTATAGTAATTTGAGATAATTTGGATATTAAGTGATATGATTTGAGACAGAAATGATTATTTTTTTTTTTTTATTTGAGTGATGTGATGGGATAAAGTGAAGTGTATATTAAAATATGTATAAAAATATTATTAATTATTTTTAAATTTAAAAATATTGCAGTGAGTTTGGGACAAACAAAAAAGAAATATTGAAGGGTATTTGGGACAGAGGGAGTACTATTTATCAAAAAGATGAATATGTTTATCAAATTAATTTTGGAAAATTTGAAAAATATATGTAAGCTAATGAGTTTGCAACTAAATTAGTTATAAAAATATATTTGGTCACTATAACAACAGTAGCTAATTTGTCGCAGCAATTACAATGACATATAATGACAATTTTCAATGTAATTTGTCACAAAACTATTTGCCATATTATTTACCGTCAAAATAGATTTATTGTGCATTTTGCTACAAATATAAGTTTGTTATATATTTTGTCACATATAAATTACATAATAATTTAATAATATTTTGCCACACAAATTGGCACGATATATTTGAACAAATTATCATCAATAATTTAAACAAAACATTTTTTTAATGCATATGTCAAATAAAAATTTTGATATAATATTAAATATTAAAATACAATATTAGAAATATTTAAAAAAATTATTAACACTCTTAATTATAAGTAATCATCTATTTTTAAAAAAATAATAATAATAATTCTGAATACATAAAGTAACATCACTACAAAATATTAGAAATTATATTTACATATTATTTAAACACATGGAACTAAATTTTCTGAAATTATGTATTGTAAATTCTTGATTTTGTACTCTACTATGTGTTATGTGTTTCATCGTGTATCCTTTGGGTGTAAGTTTGAATAAATGTGTCCTTTAAGATGCTAAAGTTACGTCATTTTGATGAGTACTTCAATTCCTCTTCTATTTTAACATTTTTTTTTTCTTTTTAGAATCCAATAGTTTTTTTGTATTTTCTTCTAAAAAAATCCTAAAAATAATTAAATATATATATATATATATCATCACATAAATATAAAATAATAAGGAAACATCATCTTCATAGAAACTAAAATTGTTCGATAGAGAACATCATATATATATATATATACCTAATATTATATATAATAGTATCCACTCAAATAAAATAAACCAAATATTATTACCAAAACTCTAAGAAAAAAATGTAAAATAATTTTTAGATTCGAAGTTGGACAAGTATTACTCTTATCTTTTAATTGTTATTCTTGACAAAATATATTCTACGTAGGTACATAATATATATTGTAATTCTCTCCATATTCTAAATTAGTTTAATGACTAGCTTATTTATTGAGAAATTTTGAAAAAATATATTATACTTATATTCTATTAAAAAGTTTGTCGTTTAATTATCATTTTAGTAAAACATATTTCATATATTTTACAATTTTGTTATTTCAATATTTATTTCACTCTCAGATACTCCTCTCACTTGCACTCCATGACGTCCTAGCAATATATATTCTAATATTTATTATAATATGTACACAAATAAATACAAGGCTATTTTAAATCATTATACATAATGGATATATACACTAATAATAATAATTCACATTTTATAAGAAACTCAAAATATTCAAAAAATTAACTCTAAACTGAAAATGCAATATATATAAATAAAAATTAAAAATGATAATTTAATATATATATATATATATATATAATAAGTTCTAACTATCTATAAGTAATCTATTCCGTACTTGAATAGGGTTCATTGACAAGGATCTTTGACATGTTGTACCATACGAATCAAAAGGTGTACTCTTCCACAATTGCCAAATCCCAATCATACCCCTACCAATTTTTCCAACCTAGTGCCTCGGCATGCACAATCGTCCATGGATTAAGGGTACAATAGTAAACGCCGCTTTGCTCATTGCAAGTTCTGTTTAGGTCACGAAAATATTCATTAATAAATAAATATAAAACTGCTTACACTTATTCGCCAAATACGCTAAAATACACACATATATATAACGTTTTCTGGTTCCCCTCTAAAAACATGCGCCGCTTCTGTGCAGTCGCCGCCAACTCCGACGAGGCTTGATTCTGCTCTGGTAATTAATTCTCCTACTGTTTGCATGGATTATGCTCATTTTCGTCTGGATTTTTGCTCTTTTGGTGGATGAGTACCTTTCCTGTGTGCTTGAAATGTGTTTTCTATTCTTGTGTGAGGTTGGGAGTGTTTTTTACTGGCTTGGATTGTTTTATTGTTCTGGATTTTGCTCGTTTAGTTTAGATAAGTTTCGTTCTTAGTTCGTTACTTGTTTTGGTGTGGTAGATTGTACTTCCTGCTTCTTTTTTCGTTTGGTTGAATTAAGATGATGAATTGGTGCTTGTTGAGTTTGGAGAGTTGTGGTTTTTGGCATTGGATTGTGTTTTCTTATCTGTGTGATGGTTTCAACGAGTGTTGGTTGTTTATGTTTGAGGAGCATTGGTCGTGCGCAGAAAAGGGCGATAATTAAGGCTGTATAGGTGTTATGTTTGATATCATGATTGTGGATTTTAGTTTCTGAGTGATTATATGAGTTAGGAGTTCATCAAATTCAATTCTATGTTGTTGGAGTGTATTATGGTAGTAGGAAGTAGGAACTGGCTTTGAATGGATTGTTATTGAATAGAACTTGTCAGTAGTGAATTATATTTTGGAGGATGAGTAGAAATTAAGATGAATTGCTTAGTAAGTCTCACTGTTTCCTGTGGAACCTATTTGCAGAAGCAGAACAATCAGACAACTTTTTCAACTAGTCAAAAGATCAGCAACCTTTTGAAGAATTCAAAGGGAGTGGTCTGAATCTTGAACTATTTAACTGCAAGAACATCCATCAACTACCGTGTACTATGTTGAATGAACGTGCGCAAGCACTGAGCAGTGCGGGTGATGGTTCGATTGATATACTGGAATTATCACGAAGCAGGGACGTCAGAATGGAGGCAAAAGAAGACCCGGATGCCACTGAATATTCAAGCTCATTCGGGGACACTACTTCTGGAAACGAAAACACTTCTGGATTGAGTGAAACTGAAGTTGAATCACAGTTTGTTGGGGACAGTGACCTTGTTCCTCAGTTTGATGAATTTGGCAGCATGTTCCCAAGAAGGTCTGAACTTTTTTCTCTTGCATTGAATTGTTTGCCTCCAATAATAGTATAATGGATCTACTACCAGTAGTAGTTTGACTGTTTACTGCATTCTTGTGATGTTATTCAAGCAGAGAAAGTAATTGACTTGCTTAAAGAAGCAAATGTGGCTGTTAGTGTGCTGTTGAGATAATATTTATATACTTTCCACCTATTTTACAACAGTAGAAAGTCCATTGTTACATCATTAATAACGCCACTGGTAAAGTTTGTGCATTTAGGAAGTCTTTTCAAGGTGCAAAGGTACTGCGGAAGCCTAGCAGTTTTGTAAATCCAAGTGAATTCATCTTTCTTGAAATTGAGCTGAGACCGTTTACTGCCTTTTCTACCTTGTGTCTTCTTATAGATGCTGCAGTCTAACTGTATGCCTCTTCCAACCTTGTGACAGTGCACCATTCGAAAGTTAAGAATTACTTAAGTTGTTGTAATCATATTCTCTAAGTTATAGTAAGTCATTGGAAGCAAACTGGGCACAAATTCATAGCAGATTTTTATTTCATTTTGAATCTGCAGGATTGTTAACTTTATGTTATGGGGATACCCTTTTAAGCTGACTTAGTTTTTATTTCAGAAAGAAAAAGCTGAGTGCTCACTGGAGAAACTTCATCCAACCTCTGATGTGGCGATGCAAATGGACTGAATTAAAAATAAAGGAACTAGAGTCACAAGCATCGAAGTACACCAGAGAGGTTTCTATAAAGTATGGTAAGAATCATCTAGCATTAGATCAGGCTTTGGTCGAACAATCAGGATCAAAGTTGCTGCCGTTTACACATCAAAGCCGTAGGAAAAAGCCAATGAAGAGGAGAAAACGAAAGAGGGTTGAAGATACAACTGATATTGCATCATATATGTTAAACCACATTCTTTTCTCGGACCGTGGTTTGTTTTCCTTCTAATCATTACATTTTCCCCTGTTTCATTGATTTTCTAATAAATTTGATCAGTCAAATTATGCAATTTTGCAGAAAATAAGAAGTCTGGTCCGGATATAGTTCCTAAATTGGAGAACCTCGGTAATTCAGGTATTTACTCTTAAATGGACCAATAACTCTCCTGCTTCAATAATTCAGGTATTTTCTCATAGAGAGATTTGTTGTCCTAGTCCCTTTATGCTGTCAGAACAGAAATCACAAATGATTAGTTTACTTTTTATGATAAATAGTGACGTAAACTAAGACTCTAGTTAACCCTCTACAAGAATATCAGATTCATAAATAGTGTATATAGTCATCAGTTTTCCCATTTAGGATAAGGTTTACATTATATACTTATCCGATTATATACATACTTTGTGTGTACATGTGCGTGTGTCTGTTTTCCGCTTGATCCTTGCCATATCTTCTTGGCTGTCAAAACATTGGTTCAGAGAAAATGTTATATATTGCTGTGTAATATTCATGACAGTTTAATTATTCAGTAGTACATCTGTTACAGAGCTTTACCGATGAAACATCTCTAATTCTATAGATATAACGAAGTATGTTTTGAGTTTGTTTCTCAGCTGTATGTTTACATGCAGATCAAGCCATGGCAGGCGTCGACGAATTTGAAACCCAAGACACTCTAATTACGCAAGACAGCGACAACGCCCTCGAGCAGATCCTTCGGAGAATTGAGTTAGTCCACAGCCGGGTTCATAACCTGAAGTCTCAACTCGATTCAGTGATGTCGAAAAATGCTCCCAAGTTTTCCTCTTCCGAGAACCTGAGCCAACTCATGGCCTGCGACGCACAGACCAGCTCCGGTTGTAGCCCTACATTCTCCGCTTGTAACGGAGACACCATCTCGGCTGCAGGCCTGGATTACGACCTTGGAGATTTCACCATGCCCGATAGCTTCATCGGCGAGGCTATCCCGATTCCCGATATCATCGAAAGTACAGTTGGATTACTTTCGTCCGTCGATGTTACTCACCATCAAGCCCAAGCTGGAGACTCATCTGAAAAGGTATATAACATCATAAGGTTAAATGATATCATCAACCATGTTTTAACCGAGACCGTTATCGCAGATCGTGGACAACATCCTCGTCCACAATGAGGTGGAGGCATCGACTTTCGAGTGCAACCCCAGCCTAGCCTTTGAGAAGACTCACGAGGCCGAAATGAGCGCGGAGGAGGAGAGCAATAACACCATTTTGGAGCAGCCGGCTTTAAAATCCGGCCTGGCCTCCGGGATTCATTTTCCGAAGAACAAAAGAAAGCGGGGAGAGCGCAAGGCCGGCTCCGGGAATTGGAGCCGCCAACGGCCTGGCGAACAGGAGAACTGATTGGCCGGCCGGCCGGCGACATAGCAAAGAGTCTGCTCACTGCTAAGGTACGAGATAGTATCGGCATTTTATGATGATGCTTTGCTTGCACTTAAACTGTTGATTTGCATGCATGCTTGGTTCGTTTTTAGTTATTTCCAATGTTTCTAAAAATAGATTTTGTGAGATCGATTGGGGCTCAATTTGTTTTATAATGTTGATGTTGATTATTATTATTATTATTATGGTGATTCGAGGCTACAAATGCCGGCCGGCCGGCCTGCCCCTAGTCGGTCCATTTGTATTTATTTATTATTTTTTTTATGTTGGATTTTAGAATTTAGTCGATTCTAACACACTGTCGCTACTTTTAGAGTCCACGTTAGTAAATTCTTAGACAGGCATGCTAATAATTTTTTATATCTCACGACCAAAAACTATCTCAAACTTATTTGGACTTAAGCTCTCTGTCGATTTACTTCTGAAAAGTATTTTTGACTTTTGCTTTTTACAAAAATATTTATTTTTATTTGTATTGACATCTTCTTAAAAATAGAATCAATTTTTAAGCTTCAAAAGTATTTTTTTAAGAAGTACCTCAGAGGATGCTTCTGAAAAAAAAATTTTGCTATCTAAATTATAATTTTAACAATAATAATAATAATAATAATAATAAATTAAATAAGATAAAATAAAATAAAAATAATTCATTTATATAAAATTTAACTCTAATTGTATTTTAATTATTAATTTATATAAATTTTATTTTAATTAAATTTAAAATACATAATTGAAAATATCAATTTAATGTTTTTAAATATAATTTTTAAAGTTAAAATAATTTGTAAAATAGTATTATTTAAATTTAATTATGAAATTCTAAATAAATTAGAAATTTTTAATAAAAAATATATTATTTACATTACTATGTCTTATTTGATCATTTTAACTGTTTAAAAGCACTTTCAATTTTATTATATCCATTCAGTTTTATTTTATATATAAAAATGTGTTTCTATAATTATTCATTCAAACCTAAAATCAAATTGACTTTTAACTTTGCTTCTGCTTCTATTTTTTACTTCTACTTATTTTTTGAGTCAATCCAAAAAGGTCCTTAGAGTACATGCTGCAACAGGTAAAATTCATTTATTGGTCGGTTTATATATTATTGTAGTAGGGCAATACTAACCATTTTTTTTTATAAAAAGAAATTTGTATTATTTTGAATGTAAAACTTTTTATAAAATATATAGTACGAAGATAATTAAGAACATATGAACAAATGCTACTAGGAAATAGTTAGTGTTTATTTAAAAAAATTATTTTTAGCCAAACTTAACTTGTTAGACCTATAATTTCATTTAAGGCTTGCATAAATAGTGTTCTTATGGGCCGCATGTGCCAGTAGCTTATTCTTATAGGAGTATTAAATTATTGTTTTCCGATTCTTGATAAGGGTTTGTTTCTTTAGTTCCTTAATTTCTAAGTTTTTAATATTTAAATTTTGCATTTTTCAAGAAAATAAATTTTGAATATTTTTTCATCCACTAAAATTATATTTTCTTTGTAAATTACAAAAAAAAAATAAAAAAATTGATAGAAGAAATATATTTTTTAATTACAAATGAAATATCTATAAGTTTGACAAGTCGAGAGAGTATTTTTTTTAATAAAATATGAGACCAAATATTATTTAAAATAAACTTTTAAAATTTAAAACTCAACCCACATTGAAAAAGTGTATTATGAATATTTCCTTCTTCCCTCAAAATTATGTATATTTTCTTTGTAAATTAAAAAAAATATATTCATAAGTTTGATAGATAGAAAGAATATATCTTTTAATAACAAATAAAATATCTATAAATTTAGCAGGTTAAATTATTTTTTTAATAAAATATGAGACTAAATAGTATTTAAATAAAAATAAAAAATTTCAAGCTCAACTCAAATTGAAAAAACCGTATCTATAATTTTTATTTTTTTACGAAATAAAATAATATATTTTATATAAAATTGTGAGTTGATTGATAATTTTAGAAATAATAATAAATTAAAAATTAAAAAGTTGTCAAATGAAGACTTAATTTGTTCTCTAAAATCAGTTCTTAGGATTTGTTGGTCTTAGTTTGAATTTAGAATTTTGATTTAAAATATTTCAATATAATATTTTATTGAAATTTTATTAATTGAATAATTGTTAATTTATATTTAAAATACAAATCAAATACATTTAATTCAAGTACAACACAATAGGATTACTATATATAAAGTAGAATAAAATATAATTTGTAAAATACTGTGTTTAGTTTGAGTATCCTTAAGCTACGCTCTATTTTTTATTTAGTTTAAATTTTAAATTCAAGTCTTCACTAGTAAGTAAAGTATAGTTTTTAATATAAATATTATTTTTCTATATAAAATATTAAATTGAAATACAATTTTAAAAATAAAATAAAATTACGCAAATAATAGTATAAACTTATTTCATTTAAATTTTAATTCTATTTTTTTTTTTACTATTTGGATAGTACGTTTATTTTTTTTCTTTTAGTGTTTATTTTTTTTTTAATTCTTCATAGTTCATACACACGCTAACACAGTATATAATATATATTTTACTCACTCGCAAATAGTTAACATTTCATTGTAAAATATTATTTTGATATTATCAACGTAATTTTTCACATCTAACATAATAAATACATTTATTGAAAATTTTAAAATAAACAAACTCAAAATATCATATCATATACTCCCTCCCTCTGTCCCTTAACAATTTGACAATTTCAGATAAATGATTTGTTCATTCAATATTTTTTTTGAGACAATATCCTAAAAATATTATAAAAATATAAAATATGCATATATTAACATCATATATATAATATATTTTATTAATTTACAATAAGTTAATAATTCAATACAACGGGTCACAAATCCACCCCAAGTCATTCTTTATGGGACGTATCAAATGTAATTTTTTTTTTTTTTTTATAACGTGAGAATCCGTAATCACTATTCGTCAAGTGCGTTCCGATTAAATTACTGTTCAAACTTAATACCTACAAATTAAGTTTGATAAAACAAATCACACTAAATAAATCATGTGTTGACAGATAGACATGGGGCATAAAAAATTTGAACGAACAACTTCTCTCCTTTAAAAATCTTTATTTTCATTTTACTTTTTATTCTTCACCTCAACTTTCCTCATTATTCATAATTTTATTAATTGTATTTTATCAAACAATAATAAATTTATTATTATTATTATTATTATTATTATTTGATTTTAATAATATGTTTTTTTTTTATGATACATCTATTTATTTGTTATTTATATAAAAATACTACTTTCTCCGTTTGGGATAAACTATTCATTTTTTTTTACATTTCATTTTATTTATATTGAACATACTTAATAAATATAAATTAATTTAATTAAATTTGTAACTTTTTACATGCTAAACTCACTCAAAACTCTTATGTTTTTGTCTTTCACCTCAATAAATAAATATTTTTATCTACGATTTAAAATTTTATCAGTCTTTATAAAATTAATTTTAGATTAATTATAAATAAATATTTGTATTAAGATATAATTTTAAAAATATTTAAAAATACTAACAATACAATTCATAGAAAAAAGAATAAAATAATATTATAACTTGTCATTAATAATATGCTAATCAATCCTGTCTAAAATAAGATGTTCCTAACAAAATGGTTTATTGAAATAGAGAGAATATTAATTTTTAATATTAGTGTCCAAGTAAAACTGATCAAGTTACATAGAAATTTTGTAAGTTTTATTGATATTTTTGAGAAATAATAGAAAAATTAATATTTCACTAAATATATTTTGTATAAAAATTGTAAAAAAATTTACTAGTATCAAAAGTAAGCAAAATAGTGTGTAAATACTAAATAGAACCATTATTATTTGTATTTAATTAACCCTTCTTAAATGTATGTATTATTTGGGCATTTAAATAAAATCTCCATTTGCAATTTTATATATTCATTTCTTGTGTTGTGTTGTGTGGTGCCACTGCCTCTGCCTCTGCCTCCGCCGCCGCCGCCGCCGACCAACCGGTTTCGTTGCCCCACCGCTCCTCCGGCACAATCTCCCGCACCTCTCATCTCTTTTGCGCGACTACGACGGACAGATCGTATGGAGTTGAAGCTAAATGCCCTCTGCTTCCAGTCCCCAAAATGCTCTCCTTTCGCCCTCCCTCCGCCGGCCAGCTTCAGATCTCCCAAGTTTGTTATGGCCTCCACTCTTCGCTCTGGCTCAAAGTAAGTATTTCATATAATCGATACACATATATGGATGGGCATAGATCGTAGGTCTTCATAATTTTTTATTTATTTTTTTCCTTTTTGTGGAGATGCTGGGCGTTTAGTTCTAATTGAATTTATAGGGTTTATGATGTTGTGATTTGGTGCAAATTTTCTATATTATTCTTCTTCTTATTGTATTTGATCGTAGTAGTGAGTAGGTGTTGATATTGCTTGTGAGATTGACAAATTACTGCAGGAATTGAATTTTTCTAAAACTTTTCAATCTTCGATGTGTAAACGTGTTGATGTTTTAGATTTAATTATTTATTTTATTAAAAGTTGATTTGATCGTTGTTTGTCACGCTTTTCCCCCTTCTGATTTCTCTGGTCCATTTCTTGGTTTGTACAGAATTGGTATAAATTTGGCACCAGTCATATTCAATTGAAAGATTTGCACATCAGTTTTCATGAACAAAGTCTAAGAATTTAATGGAAAATGGCCTACATGATTAGCAGCTACCACATGGTTTTGATTTTGATTCAGATTTTCTCTAGATGTGAGATTGGTTGACTTCTAAGATGTACTTGTTCCGAATTTAATGTCTATAGACTTTTTTGTGTACTGGATTACTTCTTTGAGCTGTTCTTCCTAATGAATTTTGTGGATGTGTTTAGTTATTTTCAATTCTTGGTGTGTTTGTAAGAAATTAATGTACATATAACTATGTTGAATCGGCTCTTTTTAACAAGCTGCTCGATCCTGCCGGTTCTGCGCCCCACTTGTTTACCAGATTCGCTTGATTTTGTTTGCGATTGTAGATGAATTATATATCTGTATGTATAATCATATATCTTTATCATTTACATTTGAGACTTAGTGAACATCAATGATTCATTGTAGTATTAGAGTGGGCCGTGTGTCGATCCTTACGGTAAGTACCTCACCTGTAAGAAAAGTGAATTAAATATAAAGTGACATGTCTCTCTATCATCTTAATTTCTATCGAATAATTTTACTTTTTTTGTGGATTTTATACTTGTTCATTACATTGTTTTGCTACTCGGTTATAATAATGTGCGCACGTATTTCTTTGGCAGGGAATTCTCATCAGATAAGAAGCCATTTTCTCCTCCTCGCGAGGTTCATGTTCAAGTGACACACTCAATGCCCCCTCAAAAAATCGAGATATTCAAATCTATGGAAAAATGGGCCGAGGATAATATCCTGACGCATCTTAAGTCAGTCGAGAAAAACTGGCAGCCTCAGGATTTCCTGCCGGATCCGGCATCCGATGGATTTCACGATCAGCTCAACGAATTGCGAGCAAGAGCCAAGGAGATCCCCGATGATTATTTCATCGTGCTAGTTGGGGATATGATCACAGAAGAAGCCCTCCCGACGTATCAAACTATGCTTAATACCTTAGATGGCGTGCGAGACGAAACAGGGGCGAGCCCAACCCCTTGGGCGATTTGGACGAGGGCATGGACTGCAGAAGAAAACCGCCACGGGGACCTTTTGAATAAATATCTTTACCTATCGGGACGAGTGGACATGAGACAGATTGAAAAGACTATACAGTATTTAATTGGATCGGGAATGGTAAGTACCAGTCTTTTTTTTTTTTTATACCTACCGCTTATTATATATTGTGTCTAGTTTCTTTCTTTTGGCCGTTTTCTAATTCGTTGCTCGATGATATGCATTTGCCTGATGCCTTGATTAATTTGGAACTTAGTTTTGAGGATGTGTAGTAGACATATATTGTATATAATCCCGAGATCATTTAGATTCATGACCTCTCTTTCATTTATCTGAGTTTGAGCTAAATAATATTTTGGTGTAATATTTTATGAGATGAAATAATATATTTTTATTGGAAACCGTGAGAGCTGAATAATGAGATTATAGTTTGAAATCGAAACCAAATAAAATAGTCGTTGGGATATTTGAAAGTCTATTATATAGTGATAAGTTTAGTCCCGAATAATCTCCGAATCTTCGGTACGTTTGATAGTATACATGTCTGAGTTTTCGTCGTTTTTGTCTTTTTAGGATCCGAGGACCGAAAACAGCCCATACCTCGGATTCATCTACACATCGTTCCAAGAGAGAGCAACGTTCATCTCGCACGGGAACACGGCGCGCCTCGCGAGGGAGCATGGCGACTTGAAGCTGGCCCAAATCTGCGGGACGATCGCGTCGGACGAGAAGCGCCACGAGACAGCATACACAAAGATAGTCGAGAAGCTCTTCGAAATCGATCCGGACGGAACGATGCTGTCCCTGGCCGACATGATGAGGAAGAAGATCTCGATGCCGGCCCACCTGATGTACGACGGCCGCGACGACAACCTCTTCGAACACTTCTCTGCCGTTGCCCAGCGGCTGGGTGTATACACCGCCCGCGACTATGCAGACATCCTCGAACACCTCGTCTTGCGGTGGAAAGTGGCGGACATGACCGGACTGTCGGGGGAAGGGCAGAAAGCGCAGGACTATGTGTGCGGGCTGCCCCCGAGAATCCGGAGGCTCGAGGAACGGGCTCAGGCACGGGCCAAGCAAGGCCCGAGGATCCCGTTTAGCTGGATATACGATCGGGAGGTGCAGCTGTGAGCCTGATGATTGATTCGGATCGGGTTTTCGGTTTTGTTGGTCTTATGTTGTCTTTCAGCTGCTGCTGTTTCGACTCTGAAGGTAAGAAATATAGAGATGGGAGGATGTTGTGAGGAGTGACAGATACATATATATATATGTATGTATGTATTTGTCTGTAGATACTTACACCAGTTCAGTTCAGTTTGTGTTTTGTGTGTTTCGAAGGTTTTTGGTTGTCCAGATTTGGAAGTCAAACTATCCTCTCTCTCTCTCTATCTTGTGTAAGAAAATTTTGACTGCTGTTTTTGATCTTCTTCTGTTTAAGCATATCTGGGTGATTTTGTTTCGCTTGGCTTTGTAGTTTTGGGTGTTGATTTTTGATAATATGCTATGAGAGAAATAAAATACTACTTGCCTATAGGATGTATATATATATATATATATATATTATTATTTATTATGACGTGAGAATTCGCAGTCGCTATCAAAAGTGTTCACGGAGAAAACCGCGGTCGAACCTAATATCCTACAAATTAAGTTTGACGGGCAAGTCACACTAAGCGAATAACTTGAGGTGTTTGTGCTTGAACCATGACTTCACCGTCACATGGGAATGTATTTAAAGATAATTTCTACTTAACTCTTTAATTTTAAATTAAATTTTCTATTTACTTCGTATACACTAAATTCTTCTTATTTATTTCCTATTCTTGTTAATTTATTTCTTTTTACTTTCTATACATTATGTATATAGAATTATAAATAAATATTATTTTGAGAGCAAATTTAAAAGTTTATATATAAAATTATGTAAAATTATAAATAGAGAATTGTAAAGAATAAATAGAATATTACAATGAACAAATATATTAATAAAGACTGACGAGAAAATTGAGAATAAATTGATAATAAGAAAGAATATAAAAATTCCATAAAAAACATATAAGGTATGAATTTCATAATAGAAGCACGTGAAGTTCCTATTATACCCTTCCAAGGGGTGATAGTAGAAATAGTATAAAGAAAAGTGTCGGTCTAAACTAGGACTCGGAGCCCAAGTTGGGAAGTCTCATATATACTAAGTTAGGAGTTGAAAGGCCAGATTTTGGTCGAATATCATGCTTTATTACTACTTCCTTCTTAAGGTAATGTCTTGTTGATGCACAGGACAAACTCCGCCGGTATCTGAGGATCTGTCAGGACAATTGCATAGCAGCCAAGCTCCAGCTGAATAGCAGCAATGCTACAAGGGATTTGGAGTATTGCGCCGACGTGTCTGTCCAGGAAAGCATCGACACATTGCCCCATCTAGCTCGGAAACTGGAAGCAGATCTTTCACTCGAATAGTAGTAAGAACTCTGATTTTGATTTTCTAACATTCATTCAGAACATTTAGGCAAGTCGAAGCATTTTGCAGCAAGAAACAGATGAAAATAGAGTATAGTTGTTCCACCATATACCCAAGCAATTTTAAATGTTCGCCGGAGAGTAGAGTTTCTTGATCATTGTAGCACCAATAGTAAGAAAAATTCTGATTTTCATTTCAATCAAACTGCTGTTTGCATATGTAAATGTGATGTGATTTTTACACCAGATATTATTAGCCACACCTAAAAGGCAGTTCGATCAAAGAACAAAAGGATCTTAAAATCATTAACTTATTCGAACATTTCAAGTACTAACCGAAAACTTTCATGGTATCATATAGATCTGGTTCTCTATCAAAGTGCAGGACAAAGCTTTGGATGCAAATGTTGCACCTGGCTCACTCACTTCCCTGTTTCTGCGATTCAAATTTGTCGATAGCTACTTGGAGTTCGTCCGTACTGCCAACAGCTCTCATCGTGTAGAAATACACCCCGAACACGAATCCTGACAGCCCTCCGGCGACAACCAGATTCTTGGTCTTGGGTGCGAGAGCTTGGAATCCCGAAAACCCGGGCATCTTGGGAAACAAAGCTGCGTGTCCCGGTGGTTATTATATCTGTTAACCAAAGTGCATTTCATTTCGGTTTATACACAATTTTTTACTATTTGAACTCCGAATAATCTCACTATCATTTAGGAATATGCCATCTAAACAGTTTCTTTTTATATGTAGTCTAATTGGTTCTACTCAATTACCAATTACCATATGATAGTCTCTTTTTGTTTCCAGTCTTTAATTGGTTCTACTGAATTACCAATTACTAACTTACTGATTTTCGACAAATTTTTCATAAAACTCCCAACAAACTTATTATTCAAATAAAAAAAGTGCAAACCTTCAAATACAATTTTACCCGAAAAGAAACACGCCCCTAACTTTGAATAAGCAACAATAATGCTTAACCCTTACTAATGAATTGGTAAAAACCACAATCTGTTACAAATTGCACAACTCTACAAATGCCTCCTAAAATGGATCGGATTTTCTATATATCAATGAAGAACGACTCCAGCAATAACAATTACCCTAGTTAAAATACTACAATCACTTTCTACTTCAAAACCAAAACCACTCATCTCCACCCAAATTCAGCAATTTTAAAATTGAAACAAAAATCAGAATAAAAACAACAAAGAACATAATCGATTACAAGAGAATCCAAAATAACACGTACCTGATTTCGCTTAACCCTAGCTTGCTTCTGCTCGATGCAAAATTGAAGGGTCAGTCAATTACTATTTTGCACATTATATATATAGCGGATATAAATGGGCTATAAAGCCCAATTAACTCATCAATATTTTGGGCTTAATATAAAAAATAAGCCCAACCAACCCAAATCGCATCTAATATAAATAAAATGAAAATATTTAATTTTCAGTTAAAAAGAATATTTTATTACGTAAGCATTCAATACCCACAAGCAATTTGTTTTTTTTTTTTAAATAATAATTATATTTTAATAGTAATACAATTAACTTAATATTAATATTAGTATATTAATTAAAAATTTTGAGTGTAACAGACGTAGCTGTAGCTGTAGCTGCAGATATGAATAAATGTTTCGAGATCTGAGAGTGAGAGGTTCTTTTCTTCTTCCTCCCTCCGTCGCCACTCAATCGAATTCATCCTCGGATTTCCCTCACCTCTTCCGAGGATCACCAGAACCCCCAAATCTCAGAGGGTTTCCTTCTTCTGCCGTTGCTGGAGCTTCCAATCTACCCATTGCTCAATGGCCTGTTGAAGCGACTGCTCCATTTGCTGCCGTTGAGGTTCGCATCGATTCCTTTTTCGTTTTTCGTCATCGCATTTTTGTGGTATGCGCCTCTCTGCCTGTAACGCTTTTATTTAAGTTCGCGTTTGTTGTGTTTTTGTCGATGCGATGTTTGTTCGCGGTTTTGAGGTATTTCAGCGTGATTTTTCTGGTTAGGTATAATTTCAGTTGAATATTGTATTGGTTGATGGTTTTTCTGTTGGAGAATTTCACCTAGAGATCGGATTGATACTGAATTTCTGCTTAATCGCTGTACATTTCTAGGTTCCAATGGTTGTCGGAAGTGCGTTTGTGGATTTTCCACTCGGAAAGTGGCGAATTGGTGAAATTCATTTATAGGATAATTGATTTGGTTTGTTTTAGGCCTCGACAAAGTTTTGGAGTTGAAAGACCTGAACCGAACCGACGCCATGATCAGCAAGCAGCTTTTATTAACCTACTTCTATCTCTTAGTGTATATAACACTCTCTTCGGGAGTTATTCTGTATAACAAGGTATGTTTTCTATGCCGAATGGATTTAGTACTGTGCTCTGACGAATTTCTTCTTTAAACCTAAATTGTTAGTGTTCATTGTAGTTCTGGAAATAAATATCTAGAAATGAATCTATTGTCACTTGTTCTTTTATGTCTATGTGCTCATCGATTGAAATAATTCAGCAGATCAAGTTAGTTTTTGCCAAAGTTTGGTGATACAATCTCAGTTTAAAGTACAACATGGCCGACATTGCTGCATAAATTTTATCTGAAGTTGGAAGCCATAGCATGACAGATTAGTTGCTGTCTTGCAACATAACTTAATATTTTTCCTTTCCTGTTGTGTTCTTAATCTATGTTTCCTAACCCACAATTTAGCTTTCACAACATGATCATTTGGCTATACTTTTCCATTAGTATGATTTCATTTTTGTACTATCCTAAACTAGTGTGCATCTTACTCAATTCTTTGCCTCTTTGCAGTGGGTTCTGTCACCAAAGTATTTCAATTTCCCCTTTCCAATTACACTTACCATGATTCACATGGGCTTTTCGGGGTTGGTGGCCTTCTTTTTAATTCGTGTTTTTAAGGTATGCATATTGCTTTAGAACTTCGTTTTCAATACTTCAAGCTCTAAATGTTATTATAATGTTAAACCAATTTTTATTTGGTAGAATTTGATTTGGATGTTATTTGATGATTTCAAAGTGCTAAAAGTTATGCGGTTATTTCTCCATCACCCATTTATCTATTAGCGTGCCTCCGCCTAGGACAAAGCCAACATAAGTAATTTCTTGCAAGATTAGGCCTAAACGTTAACACGGCATATATATATATATATGGAATAATTGGTTCCTCAACTCAACTTGTTCAATAATATCCCATCAACATCTGCAAAAGATCATGGAAAATCCTGACCCAAAAACTTAGATGAAAGGTTTAGAAAAGCAATCTTGAGTAATCCATGTCTAGTTATGGTGGTGCACAATGCTTGACAATCTTCCTAAATCCTGAATTTCATTAACAGTCTGCCTGCTAACGTTTCTCTGTCAAGAGCCATGTGATTATGGACTGTTGTGTCTAGTCTACACAGCTTAAGAACTGTTGTATCATGTGGATAAGGGAGGAATGATTATCAACTGAATGAACAATTATGACAGTTAGGATGTTAATTTGAAGTTACGCTGAGATGAAAGATTTAGAGCTGTATAGTCTAGACTCTAGACAAGTTAAATTCTTTTGGGTTCCATCTTATGTACGCCTTGGTTTCTGCCTCCATTTAATCTGATGCTATGCTGTATACGGTGATATGAAAAGCTGTGGTTGAGTTTTTTGTAATTCTGTTTTGTAAAAATGATGCCTCTTTTTATTATTCTTAAATCAATTCCAATCTGCACCCACTTTATTGGGATGTTCCTGTGATTTATTACATATATTCCTTTTTAACTTATATCTTGCTTTATGTATATTTGTGTGTGTATATATCTCCCTTATGTGGTATTTTAATATTTTGTTCAGGTTGTGTCACCTGTGAAGATGACATTTGAAATGTAAGTGTTGCATCCCTCCATCTTATTCATTTCATATGGTGTCTGACTGTCTGTCCATGACCTAATTTAACTGTGATGCAGATATGCAACATGTGTAATTCCAATCAGCGCCTTCTTTGCATCCAGTCTTTGGTAAGCAATTAAATTATCCCTTCATTATCTTGCATGTTGTTTAAATATATTAAACCATCTAACACTATCAAAGTTGCAATCAACTACTCGGGAATATTACAATGCATCTGTTTTTTCGTACACAGACTGGACCAAGTTTCCGCCCGTATTTGCATGGCATACATTGTTTTTGCCAACATGTTATCTGCATCCATAAAAATGTGTCTAATTCTTCATCATTATTATTATTATTTTTTTTTATTTTGCACTTATTACCTACACAACCTTCACATAGAATCTATTGAACAAGTAAATCGGTAGATGATGGATGTTCTTTAGGAAAAAAGTTTTAGTATTTTCCGAAGGAAAAACAGCTTATCCCCTAGTTTTATTTATGATAAAGGTTCATTAAAACATAATATAATATTTGCCCTCATCAGCTGTCCTGCATCTCTATACGACTTTGTTGTATTCCATGTGAGATGGCATTTGTTTTTGAGGCATACCCTCTTTTGATTGCTAATAACGTCCATTCTCAAACAGGTTTGGAAATACAGCTTACTTGTTCATCTCTGTTGCCTTCATCCAGATGCTTAAAGCCCTAAGTATGGTTCAATGATTTATGTTTCATTGTCTTTATAGTGCTATCCTCAAGAACTTCTGATCTAATATATATATATATATATATGTATGATTCTCTTTACACCTGATTGCAGTGCCAGTAGCGACATTCGTCATGGCTGTTATTTGTGGAACTGACAAGTTAAGATGCGATTTATTTCTGAACATGATCCTGGTCAGCCTTGGTGTTGCTATATCTTCATACGGAGAAATTCATTTCAACGTAGTGGGCACACTTTATCAAGTAACAGGAATATTTGCCGAAGCTCTTAGATTGGTTCTCACGCAAGTTCTACTCCAAAAGAAGGGCTTAACACTTAACCCTATCACAAGCTTATATTACATTGCTCCATGCAGGTAGTCTTCTTTCTTATTTCGAAATTTAGACATGACAAGTGCAATGTATCAAAATATAACTTGATGATGCTAACATAAAGAAGCAAAAACCATCACTTGACATCGTGAAGCTGCAGGCATTATTTATATGCTTGTGCTGGGGATGAAATTGTGTCCCAATTTATATCGGGACAGAACTTTCTGTTGGGCTTTAAAAACCATTTCTTTTCTTTTCCTTTCCTTTCTGTAAGAGCTATCAAATGCATATTAGTTCGAAAATGCAATGCAGCTTAATGTTATGACTTACCCACTACGTTATTTTATTTGTTTTTGTCTCAATGTGCAGCTTTGTATTTCTCTTTGTACCTTGGTACTTTCTGGAGATGCCGAGGATGGAAGTGTCACAAATCCAGTTCAATTTTTGGATATTCTTCTCCAATGCAGTTTGTGCATTGGCTTTGAATTTCTCAATCTTCCTGGTGATTGGAAGAACTGGCGCAGTGACCATTCGAGTTGCTGGTGTTCTAAAAGACTGGATACTCATAGCCCTCTCCACCGTCATTTTCCCCGAGTCGATAATTACTAAGCTCAATATAATAGGCTATGCTATCGGTATCTTCTTCTTCCATTTTAAATTCACAGTTTAGAAGAAAAAACTCTAAAAAAGTATTCAACATGTAGAACTAAAGCGATATTACCATTTTGACAGCTTTATGTGGTGTTGTGTTGTACAATTACTTAAAGGCCCGAGACATCCGATCAACCCAACCTACTGGGGAAACAAAGGTAAGAAAGATATTACACCATTTTCTTACTGCAAAACAAGATTTTGTCTGAGTGCAGAATTCTATTATCCTAAATGCTATATGCTCTAAATTCTGTTGCTACGGCTAGATGATGATAATTCACGATTCTTGATTGTAGAATGTTTCTGTTTATCACTTCAAACAGAGTTTTGCAGCGGAAAAGAGGACCTTTGATGATAATCCGAACAGCATTCTTTCTGGAAGAGCAGCTGTGGATGAAGAAGCCCCTTTAATCACATCCTCAAAGGGTCTATAATTCTAGGACAAAACCTGATCCGAATCGATGGTACACACTAGTGTTTTGCTTCTATTTTCATTTGATTCCCGGCCCCGGATTAGTGCCTTTTTATTTTTGTGAGTATTGCTATTAATGTACCACTTGAGTTTTATAAAGCATAAAGATTTCGAGTACAATGGAATAGTTTGGCGTCTGGCGAGCTTCCGCGGTTTGTTTGAATTTAGGTTTTAAGAATGTGAAATAGTGTACGTGTTCTTAAAGAGCTTAGTACTAGTAAATAGTATTTGGTCTGATTGTTTTTCTGAAGAACATCTCTTTGTGTTTTACTCGAGAGTAAACTAGAATATGCTTTTCAATCAAATCGTTGCCATAGATACTGAAATTGGAACTCCTAAACATGTGTTTTTACCATTCTAATTCTTACTATTGTCAATATAAGCTTCAAATTCGACTCGAAACGCGACAGTGTAATCTAGCTACCTACCATTATACTTGATCCGATTTAACATCGCTAATCTGTGCTTGCATCTTGAACTAACCACCATAGAAAGGCAAAAAACGGTATACAGTCTGTGCTTGCACCAAATTAAACTGCAGTTGAACCAAAAATGGCAGTCGAGACAGTTGAACTGTAAAGAGCTGAGTTACCGCCACTATGGAGAATCATACAAGATATCATCACTCTGTGCAAGCAAGTATACCCCTGAGAAATTCAGGCGATCAGAGCAGATGAAGCTGAAGCTGAAGCTGAAAGGAAGGTAATAATCCATAGCGGAATTGAACATGTGGATTCAAATTACATACCTGAACGCCCTCCGAGAAGAATCACTCTTTGAAATGCTGTCTCGGATGAAGAGGAGAGAACTGCGCCAAGCCCAGCGTAGTATTTCTTATAGAAAATGCTCTGAATGAGGAAGAAGCTTTGACGGTGAGGGAATATATAGCCTCCCTAATTGGGCCGGGCTTCTATCTAATTGGGCCGGGCTTCTGTCTATTTATAAATGACGTCATACTAATAATGATGATGATGTTAGATGTTAGTAATAATAATAAATTAATAATGATAATAATGAGATCGAACAACGAATCTTCCTTCCACCAACTAATTCTCCGAACTCCGAACATGTCCTGGAACTACGACGCCATGCCGCCGTCGACCTCCTCGGCGGCGGCGGACGGCGACAGAGACTGGATTTTCCCTTCTTACTCATTCGCGCACTCCTCGCGTAACATCATCCACAGAACCCCCAGAAGGAGGAGATTCTCCTCCTACCGCCCGTCGTCGCAGCAATTGAGCTTCGGGCAGGCGTCGTTTGAGACGCGAGCGGATGTTGATGGTTCGAATTCGGTTAGTAGCTCGGTTTCCAAGTTCAGTCGCCGGCGTTTTGAGTTTGGGAGCCATGAGAAGTCAACGAGGCTGCTTGATGATAATAATTTGGAAGGCGGTGGAGCTACTGAGATCAAGTCCAACGGCGCCGTTGCGTTGGAGAATTGCGTGGAAAAAGATGGAAAAACGAACGCTATGGTGTCGGAGAAGACTTTTGCTGGATTTCTGACCGGCGGTTTGAGAGTTCGGTGGCAATTTGCTTTTACAGCTACGGTCAGTTCTTCTTCGCTCTCTCTCACTGTGTGCGTGCGAGTGCTTATGCATATAATGTAGCGTTTCTGATGAGACTGAGGCTTGTGCTGATTTGCAGGTTTTGGCGATGGTGTTATCTTCATTTGTGCACAAATATATTTCCTTAAATCGAGAGGTTTCTGAATTACAGGTGATTTGCATGAAATGCAAAACCAATTCTATAACCTCAATTTGAATCGGATTGCATTGTATTCAATGTAGTCTAGCCTTTGAATGATTATTACCTCTGTTATGCAGGACCAATTATTAAAGCTCAATATGATGCTCAAACATTGCAAGATATTGGATGCTGTAGATATGCGTAGTTCTTTACCACAGGATTCTTTCGATCATAATATTACCAGCGAGAGGCTAAAAATTGTAGCATTAGCTGTATCGATCACATTGCTATCGCTTCCTTTTGTTTTCATTAAGTATGTTGACTATGTCTCGAGCTCAAGAAGGTCGCGAGACAATAACACTGAGGAAATCTCTTTGAACAAGCAGCTTGCGTACCGGGTTGATGTGTTTTTGTCGGTGACTCCTTATGCAAAGTCTCTAGCCCTGTTAGTTGCTACTTTGTTGGTAATATGTCTCGGTGGGTTGGCACTTTTTGGTGTGACAGGTGATAGTTTGGCTGATTCTCTGTGGTTGTCTTGGACATATGTCGCTGATTCAGGGAATCATGCTGATTCTGTGGGCTTTGGTCCTAGACTAGTCTCTGTTTCGATTAGCTTCGGTGGGATGCTTATATTTGCGATGATGCTTGGACTTGTTTCTGATGCTATTTCTGAGAAGTTTGACTCGCTGCGGAAGGGAAGAAGTGAAGTTGTGGAGCAAAATCACACGCTTATCCTAGGATGGAGTGACAAATTGGTAGGTGTGACATTGTTTAGCTTGAAATTATAAATGGTTTGTTTCATGTCTTATTCTGAATTTATCATTTCTTCAGTGTGTAAATGCCTAACTGGCTGCTGTTACGATATATGTTAGGGATCATTGTTGAATCAACTTGTCATAGCTAACGAGAGCTTGGGTGGGGGAATTGTGGTTGTCATGGCTGAGCGGGACAAAGAAGAAATGGAACTTGACATTTCTAAAATGGAGTTTGACTTTAGAGGAACTTCTGTCATTTGCAGAAGTGGAAGCCCCTTGATATTAGCTGACCTTAAAAAGGTACGGACAGATTTGGTTTTGCTTCCTTGCTTTTCATTATATATATATATATGAATCTTGTGTAAAGTTATAATAGTAAAGCACATTAACTTTAAGTGTTAACTTTAATTGCATGATTAAATGTTTATTGATACCCACATATATCCGTGGTTTTCAAAAATGAGTTCTTAGAATCACTAGAAGACATAATTATCTTGTTGAATTGCGACATGATTTGTCTAAAATACAAAACAAAGTACAATCCCTTGGACAATCTAATGGAAAATCTTTTAGGTATCTGTTTCAAAGGCTCGAGCAATAATTGTCCTTGCTGAAGATGGAAATGCTGATCAGGTTAGTAGGACGGAGGATGGGAATGCATCTAGATGTTTTTTATGGGAGCTTGTACCAATTAACATTTATTATGAATGCAGAGCGATGCTCGTGCATTAAGGACAGTTTTAAGCCTCACAGGTGTTAAAGAAGGATTGCGGGGGCATATTGTGGTTGAGTTAAGTGATCTTGATAACGAAGTCCTTGTTAAGCTTGTTGGTGGGGATCTTGTTGAAACTGTTGTGGCGCATGATGTAATTGGTAGGCTGATGATTCAATGTGCTCGGCAACCAGGCCTCGCTCAGGTCTGTTTGTTGCTATCTATTTTTGTTGTCTTTCTTTTTCTGCTGTTTCTTATTCTCTTTTGGTGACTTTTGTAGTGCAGATATGGGAAGATATTCTTGGTTTCGAAAATTGTGAGTTCTACATTAAAGGTTGGCCTCAACTGGCTGGAATGCAATTCGAGGATGTTTTGATTAGCTTCCCCCAGGCTATTCCTTGTGGAGTGAAAGTAGCTTCACATGGTGGGAAAATAATACTGAATCCCGAAGACTCTTATGTTCTGCAAGAAGGGGATGAGGTTCTTGTTATTGCAGAGGATGATGATACCTATGCTCCATCGCAACTACCAACGGTGCATTTCCTTTTCTTTGATAATGTGATGGATAATCTAGTTTTTACATCATATCCTCTTAAAAGTTCTTAGTATAGTCGATAAATGAACTGAAAACAGCTACGGTAGATTCATACCATTTTATGTAGAATTAGATGTACAATCTGATGATAAAATATTGATGAGTAGACTTACCTACAAAGGCAAACTATGGAGCAAGTCTTTATTGTCTTAAATGGCAGATAGTCTGAGCAGCTAGAATAGGCTTTTAACATCAGAATCTACAATGATTAAATTTCGAATCAGAATTGTTTTAGCTTTTGTTTTGAAATTTCGTAATTTTTGTTTTGGAACTATGTATGGATCATGGCTCATAACACTTGATTCTTGTTTCTGTTTATGTTACATTTACATTCTACTGCATTGATCTTATAGATTCTGTCTTTGGCATGTCTGAAAGATTATATGGAAAATGCTATTTGTTATTGATTTTTGCATTTAATATTACAACCCGGGGAGTGGAATACGGCTATAGTAAAACGGTGTACCTGATTTTAAGCATATGTGCCAGGAAACACTATATAGACCTAAGAACCACAACCAGTAATATCTGACTGCATCAGCAATTCCAGCAATTTTTTTTATGGTACATATGATAGAGTTGCATATCGAAACATTATGAATTTCAATTAACTGATTCGGCAGCAAATTAAAGTATGCTTAGTTTCTGTTTAAGTCTGCAGTATCAAGAAGTGTATTTGCATAAGCTAGATTTCCTTAAGTTTGGGTTTAGGAAGAAAAGTTGGCTTCTGTGTCATAGTTCACTAAAGCTATTTAGCATAAAACAGATAAGAATAGAACAAAACAGAATGTCAGATGGCCATTGCCGAAAGAAATGGTATTAAGGGGTAATTCCTGCCATGGAATTCATGTCGGTGGCATAATTTGAACTTACAGACATGAAATGAATTTCATTATTCAGGTGAAAGATGCCACATTCATACCCATTATCCGACCTGCAAGAATGCCACAGAGGATTCTACTTTGTGGATGGAGAAGAGACATTGATGATATGATTGTGGTAAGCTGTCGATTGACGTTCCTAATTCCTTTCTTCTTCAACTGTATGATGCAGGTTTGGGGAGGGAATTTACCCAAGGATGAACTAATGCCGAAGACATTTGAGCGAATTCTTCTTTGCGGTTGGCGGAGGGATATCGAGGATATGATAACGGTAATGGTGTAGAAAACCTACAGTAGACTTCCGAAAGATTTTATTTCCGGTGGAGCTGAAATGTCCTGGGGATCCTCTTATCCATGTGGTGTTCCCATAACCTTCTTCAGTCACTTCTATGTGTCGACTTTCCATAAAATTCTTCAACTTTATGGCTTTTAGCTCGTTTGAAAATTTTCTTTTCGTCCCGTTCATCATCAGTGCAAACTTTTTTGCGTGTTGGTTTAGGTATTGGATGCTTCTCTAGCACAAGGGTCGGAGTTGTGGATGTTCAATGAAGTCCCTGAGAAGGAAAGAGAGAGAAAACTCACTGATGGTAGCCTATACGTCGACCGTTTGGTGAATATTAAACTCGTCCACCGTGAAGGAAATGCTGTGATACGTCGTCACCTTGAAAGCCTTCCATTAGAGTCTTTCGATTCGGTGAGTGATACCTATCTTTAAGTCTCTATGATTTACCGCTGTGTTATCTGATGACAAGTTTTTACAATTCAGATATTGATTTTAGCCGATGAATCAGTCGAAGATTCAGCAATTCAGGCTGATTCCAGATCACTCGCAACGTTACTGTTGATACGCGACATTCAGGTATGGTGTTAAGATATTGATCTTTACTTCTATCTTTTTAGAAGTTAAAATTTCATCCGACTTTCGACTTCCCAGGCGAAGCGCCTTCCATACAGAGAAGGTACAGCTTCTCACTGTCCGAGAGGCAGCTTCTCGCAAGGCTCATGGATCGGCGAAATGCAGCAAGCTTCAGATAAATCTGTTATCATCAGCGAAATTCTCGATCCAAGGACTAAAAATCTACTATCCATGTCAAAAATAAGCGATTATGTTTTGTCGAATGAACTCGTCAGCATGGCACTGGCCATGGTCGCAGAAGATCGCCAGATAAACGATGTACTTGAAGAACTTTTTGCCGAACAGGTAATCTCCCACTTGCCATTGTAGTTTTATTCCTCGAAAACAAGAAATTCATGCAATTTACGCACATTTTGATTATCATCCTACAATCACTTCTCATCTATATATATATATATATATATATATACACACGTTGACAGGGAAATGAGCTGCACATAAGAGGAGCAGATCTTTACCTGAACGAAGGCGAAGAGTTGAGTTTCTACGAGATACTATTGCGTGCTCGACAAAGAAGAGAGATTGTGATCGGGTACCGTCCAGCTGACACGGAGAAAGCTGTGATAAATCCTCCCGACAAAAATGAAAGACGGAGATGGTCGTTGAAGGACGTATTTGTGGTAATAGCTGAGAAGGAATGATTGACGATGATATAAAGTGGTAAGTTTCGACCATTCCCATAGTCTTCTCTTATAGGTAACTTTCTATAATGAGATAGAGTGGTAAAGGTTTTTGGCATCCAAAATTTGGCCATACTTGTTTTGAAGTAAGGAAAAAGTATATATGTTTTTTGGATCGTAATCTGTATTGTCAATTACAAAAAATAAATTAAATGAATATATACTTGGGTTCCTCGATACCTCCCGCTCTTGCCTGTCACATATGTTCGCCTAGTGTGACTTGTTCCGTTGAACTTAATTTACTGACTATTAGATTCAATCCGAAATTTATCTAAACCACACCTGAAATATAGGAACTAAGGATTCTCACATTAAAAAAATAATAATAAAATCACTATCACATCTATAGATGGTTCTACATACTTACATTGATAGTGATATGGACAACTGCTTTGTAAGATGTGACTTTGATAATTTCACAATCATAGGTATATATATATATATATATATTTGATGACGTGAAAACATACAAACCTGGTAGCCTCCAAGCTATTGATATGAAATTGGCATTGCAACTTTTTATTTTTTATTATACAAATCTTACAATATGATGTTATATTGAATTACTTAGTTCAGAATAATTATGTTATAATGGTACAATTATTTTGTTTTTCGAAGAAATCACAAAAATCATAAACAAAAATCCTTGCTATCTTAACATACATAAATCATATCCTAAGAAATTTATTGTGGATTAAAACATTTTAATTATAATTTTTAGTGTTAAAATTATGGATACATGATTTAGGGTTAGAATACTGAATTTAATTTCCCATCAGTTTATATAATACAATTACTAGTAATCTATTTGTCTCTCGTGTAACTTGTGTATATGCTATGCTATGCTATGAGAGTTAGGTCAAGAAAATTGCAAAATGGTCCCGAAACAAGCACCAAATTAGTGTAAAGCCCCTATCTAGAAATGAGAAATCTGTCTTGTCAGAATTGTGAGGCCACCGAGAGGCGACAGGCCACAGGCCACAGCTGAAAGCGAAACAAGACAACACAAAGTTTTCCTCTTCTTTACTTTGTGGAAATGGACAGCCATAAGATACCACAGCAAATTTGCCACATTCTCATCAATAATACATATACATACAGACAAACGCTTACGGCTAAAACTGCCACAACCATATGCTTTTATACACTTGTAAATTTATTCTATTCATGCATTTATTATACCAACGTAAATTTGTTGGTAGTTATTCAGAAAATTGAGAAAAAGAATTTGTACACTTTCTGTTCGATTTTTAAAATTCAATCCAGATTTTTAATTTTTTTTTTTTTTTTTTTTTCACATCACACAACTATTCGAATGAACTTTTTACTATTTATAAATCTAAATCCAAAATCTCAAAGCCACAGACAAAGTATATGGATTTTAATGAATTATTAAAATTGTTATTATTATTGTTGTTCCTGCTATTGCTATTGATGATGATCTATAAGCTATAAATAATATGATAATATTTATTAATAATATTATAAATATTTAATAGAAAAATAATTTAAAATTAAAATATATTAAAAAATTATTCTGTAACTTTTAATGAAAATATTTATTTTTATATTATAAATATAATATTTAAAAATACTATTATTATAATAAATTTGTATTATTGTCTTCTTTTATTTTTATTTATCAAGTACACTATTTTCAGTAAAGTTAACTAAATATACATATTTTTTCCTCGTTGAACCGTTCGTTATATTTATTTATTTTTAATTTTTTTATTTCAGTTTTTTTTCAAAAATTGTAAATACAAATTTTGATTTTATCTATATATTTATTATTATGTAAAAAATTATATAAATAATAACTATAATAAATATAAAAATGAATTGATATATTGAAGAATAATATAATAAAAAATATTAATATACATAATAACAGTATTATATTTGTTACAATATTTTGTACATCATTAAATAATTATATATTATTTCTTAATATTAACTTTATTTTATAAAAATATAATAATATACAATAACTTTAATTATTAACATTTTATATTTATAAAACTTGTGTTTAGATGAATTTATATAATTATATAAATTAATAAAAGAATTATTTTACAATCTTATTAAATTCATATAAATTTATAAAATAATTTAATCAAAACATGTGAAACTTCATCTAAATCCATTAATAAAATACATCAAACTTTGCCAGGATTCTACGAACTTTTTAGATTTAAATAAATTCATAAATTTTTTAAAATTTAAAAAAATCTAATGAAATATACGCAATTCATAAATTTTTTAAAATTAAAAAAAAATCTAATAAAAACTTAAATGAATACGCCTCTCCTTAGTTTGAACAGAATGATTTGTCAAATCAAATATTTTTACTAGAATTTTCCATGTGAGGAAATACCGAAGTATATATAAATGTCAAAGACAAAACTCTAGACAAACTCTAGGTTAGTCCGTCCAATAATGCCGGACTCTAAGTTGGATTAAATTACACAAAATATACCTGTGATTTAATGAAATTGCTCAAAATCCTTTATAGTTTCAAAACGGTTCGTCGTTATTTAACCATTCACTGGCTGCGAATAAATTTAAAAATCTCCGATTCAGAAATAATTGTTTTTATCTTGTTTCAAGAGTTTAGAAATTAGTACTGCAAAGTATACGAAACAGGAGTTTTAAAAGTAGATGTGAACCCACTAGATTTGGTACAATTTAGCCCTCCAATTTTGACTTCACAACTCAAAAATTTAAACGGCTGAATTATAACATTTAAGACGGTAACAACCACCTCCTATATATATAAATTAAACAAGAAAGGTTCAATGCAAGAAAACATACAACAATGAAGGAACTAGCCGCAGCCGCAGCAGCAGCAGGGGAGAAGAAGCCTCACGTTCTGGTGTTCCCGTACCCGGCGCAGGGCCACATAAACCCGGCGCTGTCGCTCGCCAAGTGCCTCGCGTCGAAAGGCCTACGGATCACCCTCATCACTACCACACGTGTACGAAGATCGGCGACAGTGTCGATGTCCGCGTGGGACTCCATGATATCCATAGTCGACATCGGGGATGGCTCCGACGAGGCCGAGGAATCCGATACCATGGACAAGAACCTTAAGCACCTACAAGCCGCGCTTTCAAAGAACCTCACGGAGTTCTTGGACAGCTCGCGCTGCTCTGCAGCTAAAGCCATCGTGTACGACTCGACCATGCCGTGGATTCTCGACATAGCTCATGCGCGAGGTTTGCGCGCCGCGTCGCTCTTCACTCAGAACTGCGCCGTCTGCGCCGTGTACTACCATATCCAACAAGGCTCACTCAAATATCCTTACGATCAAGAAGACGGCGGAGGAGAAGATTGTGTCGTTTCGCTGCCTTCACTGCCTCCCCTGAATGCGAAGAAGGATTTGCCGTATTTCGATGCTTTTTCCGACCCCAAGCATTCGCTAATGAGGCTTCTCGCCGAGCAGTTTTTGAACCTGGAAAAAGTCGATTGGATTCTATTCAACACGTTCTACAAGCTCGAGACTCGGGTAGGCTATAGTCAAGTTGAAATTGCTCAACATGATCGAGCTATTTTTGTTTTGATTTTTGGTGTGATCTGTATATTTCTTGTAAATTTTCTTACCAGATTGTCGACTGGATGGCGAGCCAATGGCCGGCGATCAAAACTGTAGGACCGATGTGTTCGTTGCTGCAGTCGGACAAGAAATACTTGAGCAATGACAGCAGCATGATCAGTCTGTTCGAGCCGCGACAAGACGCCTGCGCCGAATGGCTAAACTCTAAGGAAGCGAGCTCGGTTGTATATGTATCGTTTGGCAGTTTGGCGCAACTCAATAAAGAACAAATGGAAGAAGTCGCGCTCGGGCTACTAACGAGCGACTGCTTCTTCTTGTGGGTAGTGAGAGCTTCCGAGCGCAATAAACTCCCCAAAAACTTTGTCGATGCAGCCGTGGGAAAAGGCCTAATCGTCGAGTGGTGCCACCAGCCTCAGGTCTTGGCAAACGACGCCGTGGCGTGTTTCATGACGCATTGTGGATGGAATTCGACGCTCGAGGCATTGGTGCATGGCGTGCCACTTATAGCCATGGCGCAGTGGGTCGACCAAACGACGAACGCGAAGCTTATCGAGGATTTGTGGGGAGTCGGGACGAGAGTTAAAGCGCGGGAAGATGGGATTGTTGCAAGAGAAGAGATCAGGAGGTGCGTCGAATGCATGATTCGAGGAGATCGCGCGAAAGAGATGAAAAGAAACGCAGCGAAGTGGCAAGAATTGGCTAAGGAGGCCGTCGACGAAGGGGGGACTTCGGCGACGAATATTGAGGCCTTCGTATCGGAACTTAAGAACAATTGATGAATGATGTGTATTTTTGTTCTTATATAAGAACACGTCCAGACTCATTAGTAACTCCTTATTAATAGGATTTTAAAAACGTTTTGTCTATCGGAAAATTACAAAAAATATCCCAGAAATATCAACTTTTTTGCAAACATTTTACCAGAGAGATGATGGAATATATTCTGCAATTTTCTCTTTTGTCTATTGAGAAAGTTTTGCCGATCTGTCATTAGATTTTATTCAAGGCTGGAGAGCAGCACATTCAGTGCTAAAGTGACAAGAAATGGCGAAGGAGACAGTCGAAAATGGCGAAACTTCTGCTAAAAATATTTACTACTTGGCTTCAGAACTCATGAGCAGCAATTGATGCATTCCATTGTTCATTGCTAGACGTAACTATTTAATTTCCATATGTTAACATATCGAAAAATATAAAGTCTCATGTATAAAAGCATGAAGATCATATATGTTACATTCGATTATAGAGACCATAAGCATAATACCTCTCGCGACTATGTAACGGATGACTAACAGCGGATAAACTTACTTCATTGTATTCACTATATCTAATCAGCATTCCGGCCACCTTCCACACGGCTGCCTAGTCGGACAATGTCTTCCACAAGTATTTTCCCATCTGAAGTAGAACGATAAGATCAAATAGTAGGCAATGTGATTATTACTGATACTTTCCGAGAAGAAGAAAGTTCGATCTGACCTGTATCTTTGGAAAGACTGCTGAGGAGTTCCTGCACCCCATCTTTGCCTAATGTGTCCTTCAAGTATATTGCGGCTGAAGCCACCTCTTCTGGCGTCACCTTACCGTCATAGTCTCTGCATTGGAAGTGAGATGGATAGTTTATGTAGATATTAGTCGTACAACAGGTAGAAAGCTATATGGACTAGAATCTATCCATCCTTTGATAATTTTCATGTGCAAATATTATTGTTGCCACCCCACACGAAGAATATAAAATAGGAATAGTGTTGGTCCAGAAAAATATTCATCGTTGAAGCTAAGTACCAATGACCAATCTTATGATGCAGCATACATTTCTCAACAAAATTAGAATAGTCCAAGAAAACTAAATATTGTAGCACATATTTACCTGTCGAGTATCCGCCAATGATCGCCAATTTTTGCATCCACGGCATCAATTTCCTTTTCAAGATTTTGAAGCATAGCATCAACCTAGATCAAATCGGAAATTGCATTGTATGATTTGGTGCTTACTGAATGCTGTCATTTTTCTGATTTCTCAATTTCATATTGTTCCTACTTCAAAAATCAGAAAAATTGGACGCTTACTACTATATTCTCTTGTTCACTTTTAGTGTTTCCGTAAGTGGTAACATATTAAATTTACGGTGTAAACATGCCTTATCTATAAGAGCAGATGAAACCCTGTTGTGCTCAGGCACTTCAGCTCCATCTTCATTTTTATCATGAGCAGCTATATAAGCCTTCATTGCCTCAACTTCACCGCTTGTTCCATCTTTATCCACCATGCTGTTGTAAAGCTCGATCTGGAAATATCATGAGAAATCACCATAGCAACAGAAATCATTGTCTATCTTAATAGTATATTCAGTTTGAGTGCGAACATGAAATGTTGAAGCACTATATATGTTTGAAAATAGGAAATTAAATATGAAGTATTATTACATGTGATTTTAGACTCAATCACAGCTTAGTAAAATTAATTTGTGATTTAAGCCTAATATATGACTATCTCGCGACCTGTTTGCAAACCTATAGAAAATACATTTGAAACTAAGAAATACATTGTGTCGGACGTTATCATTTCCATGTCCTCATGCACAAGTAACTTTGTCAATGCTAACTTACAGTAATTCTGAGTATATCAGAACTCAAGAAAACATCAGTTATTATTTTCATGTATATTTATTACTGCAATTTAAGCAATTATCAGAAATGGAGCTTCCTATTATTAATTTGACTTATTCCCTTATCCTCAAATATTGAATAATCCTAAAATGAATAGCACTCTTAATTGAATTTGCATGTTACTGAACATCTACTGTATATCGTTAATACAAATTTCAGGTCTATATGTTGTGTTACACTTTGTGGGAAAGAATGTATTATTCTTATGTATTAGTGTTGCATGCTGTATGATCATATCCTGTTATTGCTGCATCGGCTACTCCCACATTTAATCGGTGTATCTCAAGTTACTTACCTCTTTATTGACAAGTCTTAGAAATTCTTCACGCTCCCTGCTTACAGACTGCACAGTAAAACAAAGCGAACAATTAGACTATAAGCACCTGCGCGGCCTCAATAAGTTAGATTCGTAAGAAACTCAAATGCCAGAAATGTCTTTATTACTGAAGCAGAAGCTAAAACAGCTAATGCCCGACTGAGTTCACAAAGCTGTTCTTGTTTATCCAAAGCCCTTGATCTAGCCTGTTGTTGTGCTTCTTCTGCTGTTGGGAGTATCATCTCATTTAAAGCCACATCAACTTCAGCACCATCAGATTCTTTTTTCCGTGCCAATTCTTCTTTCTGCTTCTCTTCCTCTTCCTACACACAGATAAATCAAAAGGTATTTGTAAGATAGACGATAGAGCCTATTATTATCAAATCATATAGTAATATCTCATGAATAGAAGAGATGTTCATCAACCTTGATAAGTTCCTCCTGCATTTCAAGGAAGTCCAACTTCCTCCTCCTTTCGGAAACAGAATCTTCAGATGGTAACGATGTAATCCCTACAGTATCCACAACCTCATCTGGAAGTGAAGACAATGTAGCTCGCACTACTTCCTCCGGTCTCAATTTCCCTGAGATTGTGAAGGCTCTGTGAACAGAATGAGTTCAGTTATTAAATCTGCAACAAACAAGAAAAATGGAACAGAATATGATACGGGAAGGTAAGTTGGGGAAGAAATTCAACTAACCTAGAAAGTATTAAAAGTGAAGATGGGACAGAGTGATTCAGAGATAAATCTAGCCAATCTCGGAGCTGCAACCAGAAAAAAAGACAAAAAAAAAAAAAAAGGTTGTTATTACATCATTTATAATAGGTAGCTACTTAGGGAAACCTCCAGAAAAGAAGAGGATTTAAGATAGCTCATTAAAGTGAAACATTATTGCATAGACATCCCCAAATTATAAAAGTTGTGTACACCATTATAGGTTAAGAGAGTTTATGTTTTACAGTTTATGTAGGACTTCAGATTCAAGATTCAGCTACATGATATAACATCTAACATCCGTGCAGCTTGTTTTTGTAGAACACAGATCATGTACTCAAGTTCTTATAAGATGCTACAAGCCGTTGATACATGAGGCTGAGGAGCACAATCCCAAATGATGAATTCAAATCTTCAAAGAGCTCATATAGCCACATTCTTTTTCTATTTGTTTGGAAAATGAGAGGATTTTATTTAGTAATAATAGGCAGTGATAGGTTAGAAGGATAATGGAGACAATAGCTATCATCTTTAGTTAAGACTGGTTAAAACCTAGATCCTAAACAACAACCTGTTACTAGCATCCTATATGCTATAGACAATACTTAGAAAATAAACCCAATGATCACTGAAAAGTGAGTAATGAGGCATGAAACTGTCTGGACATCCCAAAACCTAAACTTCTAATTCTATAAATTATCATCTTTTGTTCAATACAAACCTGTTGGCGCATTTCCTCCACTGAAAATGCTCCAATCATACCTCTCTCCCTACAATCTTCGCGAAGCTCAGCCTCTGATAGAGACTCCACACCTTCTGCTTGAATCAATTTGTCATCATTCTTTAAACTGCAAAATGTTGAAAATACAACTCATAGAATATCCGTCTCAAAATAAAACAAATGCATGACGAGCATAACTTCTGGTGATCACCTCTTAAAATCGGCTAGATGTGACATAATTTGTTTAAAACAAGACTGCATTCTAATTGCATAAAACATGCATGCTTGTATATATTGATCATAAAAATGTGAACTTTCCCAAAGACTATGAATCCTATGCAAGACTATAGAGAATGGGATGGCACACCTTTGTAACCTCTTCCGTAGCATATACCGCAAATAGGCATCTGTTCCATAAGCGCTGATTCCCATGTACTTGCACATACTTATTAGACGAGGTCTGTTGAATCACAATCCCAGCAACAAATGAGAATAATCACTTATTTAGATATTAAAGCAATGTAATACAACTACAATCAACATATAAACCTGCTAATGTTATCTAGTGTGAGTTCATCATTGAACAGCTTTGCAAATCCCAAAATTTCCTCATTTGAAACCCGACCACCAGTCCTAACCTGTAAACAAACAAACTCATGTAAACAAAGATGCTGGATGTGAGACTTTTATACAGAGTGATAGTATTGTACTGACCTTATTTAAAAATTCATCAAGGTCCTCTGCTGTTTTCTTAGTTTCTCCACTCCTTGAATTTTGAACTTCTTTTGCCATTTCTTGAACTGTCTCTTGAAGAAATTTTGCATACTCTATTTTTGCAGTCAATCTCCGTTTCAATGCTTCCTAAAAGTTGAGATAAGATGATATTCAAACCCTAGGGTGCTTGGATAGATAAGCTATAGAAGTTCACATGTTAAAAAACTGAAACAACATAGAAGCTATCGCCATTGGTTCATGAAGATGATATCATAAAAAGAACACACTGTTAACCACTGTCAGTCAAGATACTGATATTAATAAAATTTTGAATCCATACCTCTTCTTTCAACTTGTCCTGAAATGTTGATGGTAACATGTTGGGAAAGAGCTTCAGGAACACAGGTAACAGGAATTCCATGAATGGAACAATGATAAAAACAGCAAATGGAACAAGCCTAAAAACATCTGCAGTGGTTCTTGTAAGCTGTTGCCTTTCCCTTCTAGAGAGACTCTTTCCGCTGGCAAGTTTCAGCAATAATCTTGAACTGATCCTGACATCTACCCACAGAAGCTTACAACCTAGCCAGTAATGCTGTAATGTTGATACAAACTCATTTTTCCAGTGGACAAGTTTCTTGGCCCAGTCTTCTCTGTATGTGAAAAAGCAAATCATAAAGGGCATCTACTTAAATTGCTCCAAACATAGAATCTGTTACTTATTAAGAATCCTGACCTGCTCATAGAAGCCACAGCTCTCAAAGCAGGACCAATGCCCAGAAATGTGGCCCATAGTTTCTTCAAAATTGGGGTGTCTGCACTAGAGTCTTGCATCTTTTTAGCTTTTGCTTTCTCCTTTGCAGTACTAAGTCCTGCAACAGCTTGATCACATTCTTCTGGGGAAGCTTCCCTTCTCTTCTTGGCTTTCATTTCTTCACTATCCTCATCATCACTCCCCAAATCAGGCTGCTTTGCTGTTGCTATGGAAGCATAATTTCTAGGTTGTAAAATTGACCTAAATCCTACCATGGAACTGAAATCTGACTTTCTATTTCCATAACTGAATGTTCTGGTTACATAAGCTTTCTGCTTAAAGATTCCAAAGGTTGACAAAACTAGAGGCTCCTTACTAAAAGTTGAAGTCCCATTATTTTCTCTCAGTTGTTCTAAACCTTGAGAGATATGGCCAGTTGAGGAAGTATAACTGTGAGGATCCAAGCACAGACAAGCCTGTCCAGGACCCAAGGATTGAAAGACCTGAATAGGACGGACGGGTACACTAAAGTAATCCTTAATGATTTTTCTCCTCCTCAAAATCGCCTTGGAAGCCATCTTGTGAATTCTTCACTTAGCAGAGAAAACGAAAGTCAGATATTCCAATTCTCAAGACAATTGAACATATAATACACAAATCAATTCACTTCACAGAATAAATATAAATAACTAAGCTTGAAAGAGAGTTCCTTAATTTGGGCTATAAAGGCACTGCTACTAGTTACCACCATATAATATAGATATCTGATGCATTCCATTCATTTCTTCAAAAACATTCAGAAAATAGAACGTATACTCCATCGAGGGACACAAAAAACTGAATGTTTCTTGTAGCTCCGACGAGAAAGCAGCATTATAATTGAGTCAGCCTCATGAGAAAAACACTACTAGAAACATGCAAGCGGCAGAACTAAAGCAGATTATAGTCTTCATTCAGTTTATTATTTTTTGCCCAAATAAAGCTTAAATTAATTGCAATGTTCCCAATACATCACAAATGATAGACAGTATAGCATTGATGAACACAACGCATAACTATAAAATTTTTAACCATTTAACGCCAACAAGCTGAAGTCCATACACTCATCAATCATTTATGTTTCTTCATTTTGATCTTGCTTAGGTATTCAATTTGATGACACCAGAGACACACTCACATAAATAAGACCACCATTACATGCGCACACATTGGTTGTAACATTCACTAAACAATAAAATGAACAGAAGACAAAATTTCATATAGAATTAATCCATGATTCAAACACTTATTAGCTCAATAAACCAAACATAAGCAAAGTGACGCACACACATAACAAAAACACCCATCTGTTACTAAGATAAACTAACTTTCCCCAACACACTTAGAACAAACAATCCGTTGCTCCCCCAACTAGAAGCAAACATTTCGAAGCTAAACCAAAAAAAAAAAAACAAAGGAAAACCACATCAAACATGACAATAAAACCAGCTCAAACCGAAACTAAATAAACAAGCAGAATCACGGAAAATAAAATTACAACGAAGACTAGCCAGGATAATCATTACGCCTGCACTGCACCAATATCTGCGAAAGAGAATGACTTACAGCTATCAAATGAGCGAGAAATGGTCGGGGAAGAAACCAAAAATCAAATGATCGCCTCTGGAATCGATACTTTCTTACATAAACGAAGAAATAACAAATTCAACAATATATGAAGGCGATGATGGTTGTGGCCTATGCTTGGGGAAGGGGTTTAGGGAGGTTTTTGGACCGTCGAGGCAGAGCGCGGCGGCGGGCGGCGGAGGAGGAGGAGAAATCAGGTGTGTGTTAGCTCAGCGGACTTAAATCGGTCAAAATAAGCGCATATGACCATCGTTAATCTTAGAAATTGCAATTAGCGTCATTATCTTATGGTCGGATTTCATATTAGTCCCTAGGATGTTTTTTGATCCTAAGGTGTGTTTTTTTTTTTTTTTATGCTTTGAAAAGATTTTGATTTGGGTTTGATATTAAAATAATATTTAATAAAATATTTTATTAAAAAATTATATTCATAATATAAAAATATACAAGCAAAATAAATACTATAATTTTTGTTAAAAAAAATATATTTGAAATTTTATTCTAAAATTAATTGGCTATATAATAAATTGTTCTTTAATTTTATATTTAAGGGAGTTCTAATATATATATATATATATATATTTCAATATGAGACAAATATTCAATACCCCATTCTCCAAATGATAGTATGTCAAAATTCCTTAATTTGCAAGGTTAACATGTATTTTTAATCTATCAACTTTTAATATATATATTTAAAAATCATCTATTTTAAGGGTTTATTTATTTGAAATTTAATTTGGTATTTTCATGTTAATTTTTTTTAATAGTAATTTGAATGTATATATTTTCTAGAAAAGATATATAATATATATTTTTACAAAAATCATCATGTTGCATAATCAAATAATTGAAACATAACTCTAAATAAACAAAGTCTAAATACTTTATAATACCAAATAAAGAATTTTATTCTAAAGTATTTCAAACCGAATGTCATCGAATTCAAAATTCAACCAACCAAAATCATTAAGTTATTAATCATAGTAGATTGTTGGCAACCATTATTTCATGTTCACAATCACAAATTTATTTCAATATTCTTGCTACTCACGAGCCACGGCTACGACTTGCTTCCCAACATTCGCGCCATGGAATAGCTTTATCAAAGCACTCGGCGCATTTTCAAGGCCTTCCGTTATGTCTTCCACGTACGATATTTTTCCTTGTTTTAGAAGCGATTGGACTTTATCAGAGAACTCATTATATTTATGATAGTGATCAAAAACAATAAATCCTTCCATTCGGATTCTTTTGGCGACCATTTGAAACAAGTTGCGCACCCCTTCAGGCTCCTCGCGATTGTACTGAGAAATCATACCGCATACGGCAATGCGCCCTTTCATTTTCATGTTAAGAAGAACTGCATCGAGCATTTTACCTCCAGTATTTTCAAAATATATATCGATCCCTTTAGGAAAACACCTAAACCAAAGATGCACACCATTATATATTATATGCATAATATATACGTATGTAATGACTAAGTATGTTTACTTGGTGGTTTTTTATTAATATTATTGTTTTTGTTTAAATGGTAAATTTAATATAATGTTTATTAAAAAAAATAATATATTTTTATGATAAATTGTGAAAATTGTACGGTAAAGAATTAATATATATATATATATATAGATCTTAAGTAAACAAAGCATACCTACGCTATGTTTGGTTGTGTTTTGAAATAGCTAAGATTGATTTTATAAATAGATATTTGATACGATATTTTAAATATAATTTTTTTTAATGTAATACTATTAAATGAAATATAAATATATGATGTGATGTTTTGAAGAACAAAATTAAATGATATTTGCTATTTATTTTTATTTTCTTTTTGATTGTATAACCTTCATGAAAGTATTTTTTTTAAAAAAAAATCACATACAAACTATTATTAAAATTAAAAACTAAATATATATATATATATATATTATATATCAACATTTGCAAGTTAAAGAAGATAAATGAGAGAAGAAAGTTCTGACCTTTTAAGAGCAACATTGAAGTCGGTTTCTTCTTTATAGTTAAACGCATCATCGAAATCAAATTTATTCTTCAAAAGATCCACCTTCAAAAGCAAATAAAAAATTTTTTATATTGAAAGTTTCTATAACGAAATCAAAGAATTTTATCAAGTTAGACAAGTATGATTGATAAAAAAGAATCGAAATTTTTAGAGAGACAATAATATCGTCAAATATTTAATGAGATTAATATGTGTAAAAATATGCATGTGTATGAATAGAGAACAAAGAAAAACCTTTTCTTCACTTCCTGCACTTCCAACAACATAACAACCCTTCGACTTTGCAAATTGCCCGACGAGCTGTCCAACAGCACCAGATGCAGCTGAAATGAAGACGGACTCACCTTCTTTCGGAGCGCAAAACTCAAAAAAGCCAAAATACGCCGTAACTCCCGGCATCCCTATAAATTGTGACATTAATATTTTTTACTACCTATAAATAAGTCAATTATTACCCTATTTCGATAGATGAAAGATTAAAACATTCTTATTATTATATATATTAAAAGATTTATTGAGTAATATTATTGTAAATAATAGAATTGTAAAGATATTTTTTAGGAGAAATAGAATGAAACAATTATATTTGTGATCGGCTGATCAAATAAGATAAAATGAATATTTTTCTTTTGGACTAACAGAGTATAAGAAATATTATATAAAAAAACACTCTTATTATTATTATTTCAAAACATTCTTCCAATGAATATTTATCTCACATCCCATGCTTATTTTCTACTAAAATTCTATAAATCTCAAAGCAAATAAAAAATATGAACACAACTATAATTTTCGAGGATAGGTGATGAATAGTATATGTACCAAGAATTCCGGTGTAATAGGAGAGTGGCACGGCCGTGTTAGTAATCTTGAAAAGGCTGCCGACAGATTGAATAAGGGTGTAATCCTCCCATTTAGTCATGCCCCAGACCAACTCTCCCTTCTCGAATTCTGGGTGAGAAGAATCAACAATTCTACCCACTCCTAATCCCACGATAGGCTGTTCATCACACATAAAAACATATGTTTACTTTTAATTTTTTTTTTTATTATAAATTTTTCATAATTTTCTATAAAATCATATTATTTAATTTTACAAAACATTACATTCAAATTACTATTTAAAATAAAAACAAAAATCAAAATCAAGAACTAAGTGTCAACTAAACACACCATTGACAAAAAATTTTAAAACTTTTTGACACTATTCATTAACAATATTTCTTTTAAAAATTTATACTCCTATATTGTATTGATTATTGATTTATCATTTAGAATAATACATCAAAACCTAATTTCTATACAAAATGTTTGCATCCAAACATTTTATTTATATCACAACACTTATTTATATTAACTATTTACTATTTTTAAAAGTTTATAAAGCTTCAAAACGCTTCCATAATATATTCAAACACAATCCGTAATATATCCCACAAAAATATATTGTTGTTCTTATAAAATATTATATCAAAATACTATTTAAATAAAATTTCAAATCAACACCCCTAAATTAAAACTTAAAACAATCCATGTTTTATGAAAGAGAATAGAGAGTATATTTTTATTGAAAACCGTACAAAATAAATAGTATCAACTTTAATTTGAAATCACAATCAAACACTTATTTGTGTTTATTATTTAAGAATACCTTTTATTTTTATTTCGCTCCGAAATTTTTTTATTTTTATTTCGTCGCAAACTTTTCAAAAGTTATGATGAGGACAACGATTTATGTATATACCTGGCCGGGGGTGAAGGAGGACGTGTAGTAGAAACTGTCGTGAATACCGCCCATACGGAGTCGCATGTAGGGGTCGCAAGACAAATAGAGATTCTTGAGCAAGACGGCAGCGCCGCCGTCAGCCGGCACCTTCAAATCGATGGCTGAGGTTTTGAGGATCATGTCGGATTCCTTCGGGAAGCCCTTGACATAATCTTTGAGGATTATTTGTCTGTTGGTCGTCATTTTCGAACTCCTTAACTATCTATTGAGTTTTAAAAAAACAGATTTATATAGAAGAAAATATTGAAAAGAGTCTTTATTTTATGAAGAAAATAATATCTACATAAATATGATTATTATAACTTGCAATCAATGTAATGAAATTATTGTTGAATTATTCACACGAGTAAAATAAAATAGAACGCATTTTTAAGTAATAATATTTACTCTATTTTTCCAACACTAATTGAATTTTTAATTACGATTCCCAAAAAATAATACTTCCTCTGTCCTTCACATATGATTCATTTTTTTTTTTGTTCTACAGAAGATGATACTTTTCTATTTTTTTTTATTTTTTATTTTTGTAAATTTATCAATTTAAACTCACTTAACAAATATAAATTAATTTAATTAAATTTCTAATTGATATACGTATCACCATTCAAAACCCCTTTATTTCTATATTTCTCATCAATTAACAAATATTTTTATCTATCTTTAAAACTTCATATTTTTTTATAAAACAAATTTATAATAATGATAAATAAATAAATATATTTTTTATTTATTGTATTATATAAGATTTTATTATTGACATGTAATGTTAAAAATATTTAAAATACCAAACAATACTATTTATATAAAAAAAATAATAAATTAATATTATAACTTATTATTAATAACTTACTAATCTACCCTACCTAAAATAATTAATATAAGAGTAAATTTCATTTATTCTATATTTGTTGTTATATAATAATGTTTTGATTTCCCTAATAATTTTACTTTCTAAAAAATAATATATAAAGATTTAGGTTTAATTTTGATAATTATATATTTTTTCTTTCATTCAAATTTATGACATTTTTCTTTTTTGCTGTCATAATTTTTTTTAATTCACTTTCTTTTAAATTTGTGTCCGGTTAAATGAATATAAACCATAATAATAATAATAAATAGGTCAGTCTATTAATTAAAAAAATTATTTTTAAGTCTAAGTCTGTTTTATTTAAATAAAAAAAATTAAAAATTTTGATCTGACATTTTTAATAAATAGACCAGGCCAAGCTAGGTCTTATGTAGGCCAGGTTGTAAACCACTGGCGGACGGTCCGGCCTATTGCCATCCCTACAAAGAAGTGAGCATTTGAAAAGTATCGTGAAATAGTATATAAACCATAAGATGCAGTAATCCTTTAGCATTTCATTTTTATTTTAGGTTCCTCGAGATTGTACTATGAAATAATACCACACTTTAAAAAAACTAAAATAACAATAGAAATAATTTCAACTATAATAAATCTTGGCACTATTTGCCAATAGTATTTTAAAAAATAAAAAATATCAAATCAAATATAAATATATTTTTTTATAAAATATTATATCAAATACTCAATTTTTTAATTATTTTAATTTTTCTTTCAAAACTTCAAAAGACGTGCCAAAAAACATGTCAAGAGTTTTCATAAAAGCAATAGAATATTTGATTTATCAATACCATGTGTGATTGATCGATTTAGTCGTGTTACATAAGATCTAATGTATGTTCGAGTAACAAATTCTAGCTTACCTAAAGTATTTTGTAATTAATCTAGATATTATTTAAAATTTATTATTAATGAGGATTTGGAATCTTTCATGTTGATCAATTAAAGAAAACTTTTCGATTCATTACAATTAATTCAAAACAAGAATAACATGTATAATAATCATGAGTTTGTAAGTATAGTGTAGAATGATCGAATAGAGTGCAAAGGGAAACCTTTTTCTTCGCTTCCCACGCTTCCCATGCTTCCTACAACATAACAACCCATCGACTTTGCAAATTACCCGACAAGCTGTCCAACAGCTCCAGCCATGGCTGAAACAAAGATGGTTTCACCTTCCTTTGGACACATTAAAATTATTATAAATCATAAAAATATTTCGTATGACAATAAAAATCATTTACCGTTTCTAATATATTTCTAAAATTATGCTATTACATCACTTTACCAGAAAAAAAAATTATATACGTAGTATTAAATATATTTCTAATTCAAAATATAATATTTAAAATCGTATATATATTCAAAATATTATCTCAAGTATAGTTAACCGGATTTCTTTATATTTGGTCTCAGACCAAAATCAACAATATTAAAAATGTAGTTCCCAAACGTGAAATTAGTTACATTCTTTCATTTTCTCAAATATGAATTTATTTAAATCTTGCTACTCGCGAGCCACGACTACAACTTGCTTCCCGAAATTTGCACCATGGAATAGCTTTATCAAAGCACTTGGTGCGTTTTCAAGGCCTTCTACTATGTCTTCCACATATGATATTTTTCCTTGGTCTAAAAGTGAGATAATTGTATCCGAGAACTTGTTATACTTGGGGTAGTAATCAAAGACCACAAATCCTTCCATCCGAATTCTTTTGGCAACAATCTCAAATAAATGGCGCACCCCTTCGGGTTCCTCAAGGTTGTACTGTGAAATCATACCACACGCAGCAATGCGGCCGTAGCATCGCATATTGAGAAGAACTGCTTCGAGCATATTTCCTCCAACATTTTCAAAATATATATCGATCCCTTTTGGAAAGTACCTAAATACAACATGTATATACACACACAAAAAATAATAATAATAATCAATAGTTGTTTTTTAACATATTAATTTTAGAAAAAATCGAATATAAGAGTAAAAAGAATCGAAATAGACTAAGAGGGTAAATATGTGAATAGAGTTCTAACCTTTTTAGAGCAATATTCAGATCGGGTTCTTTTTTATAGTTAAATGCATCATCGAAACCTAATTTATTCTTCAAAAGATCCACCTTCAAAAACAAAAAAAATATATTAAATGAAATAATTGGTTTGTTCACCCAAAAATATTTTGAATGGTACAATTCGCTACTAATATTACTGAAAAGTACAATACACTTACACTAATACAATATATATTATCCAAAAAAAAAAGAATCAATAAAGTAATACAAAATATTATTTTTTATACTACCGATACAATTCTTCATACTTGACATAAAAGGAAATTAAAAAATCTATCTAAACGCACAAAAGTGAACACATTAGTCAAGATCTTACATAAAGGAAATATAATTTTTTTGATTTAGGCATACTATGTGTGATTTATCGAGTCTAATATTTAATATAATTACATAAGATCAAATGCGTCTTCAAGTAACAAATTCTAATTCACTGAAATACTTTTTCTTTTTTCAATTAATCTAGATATTAATTTTTTCAAATGTGATGCAGAATCTTTCAAATTGATCTGCTAAATAATTTTTCTCAATTCATTAAACTACTTGTGTTAAAATATGGTATGAATAGTATACAAAGGAAAACCTTTTCTTCGCTTCCGGCGCTTCCAATAACATAACAACCCACCGACTTTGCAAATTGTCCAACGAGCTGTCCAACAGCACCGGCTGCGGCTGAAACAAAGACAGTTTCGCCTTCTTTCGGAGAACATACCTCATGAAAACCGAAGTAAGCTGTAGCGCCAGGCATACCTGTAAATTGACACTTTAAATTTATTATTACAAAGTTATAACCACGATGATATTTTGTATAACAATATAAGAATCTCTTAAATTATATGAAGTTAGGCTCTGTTAAATTATCTATATTTCATCAATTTTATTATCTTATTACTCCTATAAATATATATATATCTTCTATAAAATATCACATTCAATTTTTATTTTTCATAAACATACATATAAATCACTAATTTCAATTCAAGTTTTTTTAATATTATATATTAAAGTATCATAATATTTCCAAAATATATAAATGTAGCCTAGAATTTTAACTTCATTATTTTAGGCTATGTTTAGATGTGATTTTTTTTTTTTTTCTTATTTTAAGTTATGAAGTATTGAAAATTTTCATAACAATATAATTAAAAAGTAAGCAATTGATATAATATTTATGAGATGAAATTGGTATTTTATTTAATGTGTTTTTTTCAATGCTATTATAAATGAATTATGTCAAAAGTAATTTGGAATATATGTGAATGGAACATTAATTTTTGAGGATAAATAATGAATAGTATATGTACCAAGAATCCCGGTGTAATAGGAGAGTGGCACGGCCTTGTTGGTAATCTTGAAAAGGCTTTCGACATCGGATTGAATAAGGGTGTAGTCCTCCCATTGAGTCATGCCCCAAACTAACTCTCCCTTCTCAAATCCCGGATGAGAAGAATCCACAACTCTACCCACTCCTAATCCAATAATAGGCTGTTCCAATATATATACATAGTTAACTTGTAAGCTATTACGCTTGATTGAAAGTTTATCATACGCATATTCAAAAAGTAACGGTTTTGTGGATTTTCAAGTTTCCATATCATCTCATATATAAATATATATATATAGACACATGGTATACACCCAAAATTCAGCGCATTTTTTGTAGTGTACTTGAAAAATAACAGCCGTAAACTCCCCCGTCATAATATATATATATAGACTTTTTATTTAACTTATGCTTTTAATTTTGTATTTGCGGTTGTTCATCCAAAATTTCTTCTCTTGGAAACATCAAAGTGATTCAAAAGCTTATTTTTATATTTAAATTATTATATGAAAAATATAATATAGGAAAATTTTGTGTTTTGTGTTTTGGTTTGACATTTTTTTTTTTTTTTTATGTAAAGTATAGAAAATTATGTAGATTATATAAAAATAATAAATATGTATAGCATTAGAAAAATATATTTTGTTAAAAAAGCAAACCCATATTCTCTATTTAAAAATCTTATGCGTGTACATATTTTTATCATATCAAATATATTTAGTTTTTCTAATTAATTTTTATTATTTTCAAAATTATGTTTCAATAGTAAGTTTTGGTAGGGACTCCCCATCATTCATCATTTTTTTTTTCCTTCAAAATTAACAAATAAAATATTTGTTTTTTATTTAAAATATTATATTAAAAATTTAAATTACATTCAAAATATTGTATAAAATTTTATCTATATTACATTAAAATTCTATTTCAATTCAAATTTTTATTATTCTTAATATCAAATCCAGCTCCTTAACCTACATCCAAATATAACAAAATTAAGTGAAATAAAGACAAATACTAACACTCGAGAGACAAAAATTTGGTGTCTCGATTCAACGAACCTATTTCTATAGGGTGATTAAACAAGTATTTTCACGAGTTAGATTTCAATTTAAATTTGATAAAAAAATACAACAAAGATATATACTCAGTAGGGTAAAACTCTAGGGATACATAACCCAAAATTGTACGGATGGTCCAAATTTCTTAAAACTTGTACAGGGCTTCGCTTGAATTTGGGGCTTCACGACACAGCACTTTAAAACATATATAAATACACTCCGTATTCTTACATAAATGGCTCGTGTGTATATATATACATACATATATATATCTCTCTCTCTTAGACCTACTATATATAATAAATAAATAAATAAATAAAAACATATTTTTAATTGCTTTTGATTATTATTTAAGGGGTCTTTATTTTTTTTTTCCCGAACGTTTCAAAAATTAGTAACAATATATATATATACCTGGCCGGGGGTGAAGGAAGTGGTGTAGCTGTCGTGGAGGATGCCCATACGGTGTCGCATGTAGGGGTCGCAAGACAAGTAGAGATTTTTGAGCAAGATAGCCTCACCGGCGCCGGCGGGAACCTTGAGCTCGACGGCGGCAGTTGTGAGGATCATGTCAGATTCTTTGGGAAATCCCTTGACATAATGTTTGAGTATAATCTGCCTGTTGGTGACCACCTGAGAATCATGTTCATCCTCCATTATATATATCAATTAAGAATTGCTAGAGATCGAAAATAATGAAAATGGAGGTTGATTATCTCTTAATTTGTAACCTACATATTGTGTAGATATAAAGATAAAATAGATAGGTACATGTGTGGCTAGCATTTACACACACGTAAAATGATATAAGTATTATACTTGCTTTTAACAATATCAATTTTGTCCGTTTTCATTGTTCAAATACAAATATCAATTTCTCTTCTTAGAATCATTAAATCGACTTAAAATATAAAACTAAAATAATTATTACATATAAAAAAATACCACAAACTATTGTTAAAATATAATCTTCATTAAATTTTACATTAAAGATAAACGAGTATTTCACTGCCGAGCAAAAAATTTGTTCACTTTGTGTTCTTGGATGAATATGTTTTTCTATGTTGATATGGATAATTGCGTTGATAATATAAAAAAATATTTTGTATAATTATTGACTTTTTACGAGTGAATAGAATAGAATATTATATTTATTATATTAATATGTGTATATATTATACTTTTTTGTAATATTTATTGGGAATCGTAATAATAAAAAATATTGTGAACAAACCCAAAATCTTCACATATATAATATTATTTCTAGTATTAGGTTTGTTTGGTTTCGGTTTAGAGATTTGATTTGAATCTTAGTTTATATAAAATCTTAATGTAATATTTGTAAAAAATAAATATGTATTATATTTTTATTGAAAATGATACAACTGAATAGTGATGATTTAGATTTGAAACTTAAACCAAACACATCTAACGGTGCCCCAATTCGGAAACTTCCGAAGAACTAGTTCGGACCTTATTAATCTTTGATTCAAAACCTAAGGTTAAATTACTTAAAACATTATTTATTAACAATACTCTTTCAAAAAAAAATTAACATCATATATATTATTTTCTAAAATATCATATTAAATAATCTTTATTATTATTATTATTCTTTGAAAATTTTAAACTCCAAACATCGATGGAACGTAAGTAATTGTCTATACCTTATTTAAATAAATCAATTATCCATTGAATATCAAGTGCACTCCTACATATATTTACATTTTAGGCCCAATAGACCCATAAAATATATATATATATATATTAAAACTAGAAGTATGAAATTGTTAAAATTATTTATAGAATAGAGTTCGAGTAATTTAAAGTTTTTTTTTAAAAAAAAATGAAATTTTGAATATATATTATGTGCTGCTTTTGGAAAAAAAAAAATAGTGAAATTTCCATTAAAAAAATTAATATACTTCAAATGAGGTTCAATAAATTTTAAATATAGTTCAAAATATTAAATATATATAGATTTGATAATATATTTTTAAAATTATATTATTACATGCTTTTATCATTTTTTTCAGAAAAAAGTTAATAATATACTACTTTATCCGTCCCGTTGAAAGGTTACCATTTTTCATTTTCGTCTGTCCCAAAACAATGTTACCATTTTCTAATTTAGTAATTGTACTACCTACTTAACATAATAAATATTTTTCAACTTACAATATATTACACAAATGTTATTACTTTTATATTACATTATTTTTATTTTTTTTACTACAATCCAATATAATACTAGTATTCAAAAATTTACGTAGAAAAAACAAACGTCACCTTTCCAACAGGACGAAGAGAGTATATAATTTATATCTCTCATTTAAAATATAATCTTTAAAACTTTATTTATATTCAAAATATTTTGGAGCATAGGTATATATTCCATAATCCACGAAATCAATAATTAGCTTCTAGAAGAAAAAAATAATAATTAGAAAATAAATAAATAATAATAATTAGTTTCCAGAAGCAGGACTATTAGCTACAATATTTGACTCGAATTACAAACTTAGTGAATGTGTTCTTTTTATGTTTTTTTATTAATACATTTCTTAAATTAATTATAAGAAATTAATATAAAAAATAATATTTTTTACTGAAATATTATAACAAGTTCTAAAAGAGACATGAAAATTTGTTGAATGATATAACAGTGAAATGAAATTTGTTGAATTATATAACAATGAATTCACAAGAATCTAGACTAAAGATATAGTGACAGTAAAAAAAACAAATGAAATTTTTGTATATATGATATATTATATTAATATATTTTATATGAGTATATCTTATTAATAGTATTTATAAAAAATAGTACAATACAATAAATACAAAATGAACAAATCTAAGTAAATATAAAAGACATATTTTAAAAATAAAATAAATATATACTGGATTTAAATTTAGGCACATGTTTAAAACAAGTCACAACAAAAAATGATGAACATAGAACTTTCATGCCCAAGTAACTTTGAAAAACTCGACCACGTGCGTGGCACGTGTCCGTACGTCTCTCCAATTGTTAGCAAATATGCATGAAAGTATTTATACATTTGTTTCTTGAAAAAAGAAAATACTACTAATAATTATTTCATTCAAATTTCTTTTTTTTTTTCATCCAAATTTATTTTGTTTTTTTTAATAAAAAAAATATTATTTTTTACATTTTCTTTATTAAAAAAGTATAAATTTTTATTTATTTATTTTCTTTTAAATTCGTATGCTGTGAAATTAACACACAATTGAATAAGAGTATTTTATTTAATAAATGTTAAAGTTTACCTAATTTTGATTAAGACACATAACTTATATATTTGACAATTTTGACCGTTTATCTTCCACGTGTCTACTATTTATTTGTTGAAAGTTGGCGTCAAAGTTGACCGTTGAAGAGAATGATTACTTGGTTATCTCATATATATATATATATATTTTATTAAAAAAAATCATATTTAAATATATGTAATATTTTAAATTCTTAATTTTGATTTCATCTTTTATACAAAATTTAAATTATTGTTAATGACATATAAATTAATTATTTTACTTATAGTAATAATATAATTTAATAATACAAATTAAAGTAAAGTGTATTTTGTATAGGGAAGTGATAACAGTGAAATATTTGTTTATTTGAATAAGAGACATAAAATTTGGAAAATATATTATTATTTTTTTTTTTTTCAGTAAAATTGAGAGAAATAATGTTGTAATATATATATTTTTTATTTTTTTGTATTATTTAATTTTATAATTTTTAAAATTATATTATTTTAATTTTACAAAAATTACATTAATTTATTATTCAATATTTAACTTTTAAGATTTTTTTTATAAATTTATTAAAATAATTTTATAAAACAATCGTACATAATTTTTTTAATTTTATTTGAAAAAAATCACTAAAAATATATTTTTCATCGATTCTCACTAAAAATTTTAACGCACGCAGCATTTGGTGCCAAACTGCTGGTATTTTGTAAATTTCAAGAACGCCCGGGATCTCAACGCCAAATTCAATTGAGAGTTTGACACCCTGGTGTTGACTGGTTGGACTTTGAGATCCGGGAGCTTTCAAGAAGCCGTTCCTTTTTCAGCTTATCGATTGCAAACCACCTCCAGCTCCTCTGAAATCCACAGTAATGGCGGCCAAGGTATTCAATAAAATAATTCTCAAACAAAAATATCTCTGTAATTATTTAACGAATAATTAAAATAATAATCATCAACAGCAAACAAAATTCGCAAAGCTACTGTACTGTCCCACAAACAAACAATTTTCCTTTCCTTAAAGAAAGGTAATAGAACCGAAGAAGATGCCATTTCCTAAAGCAAACACCAATCGTCGTTTCCATTTCTTCTTCTTCTTAGTCTTGTGTAAGTGATGAGTTTGGTCTCTTCTTCCCACAATCAATCAATCAATCAACAGCTGCCATCTCCAGGGTTCATTTTCTGCTCCAATCTTGGTGAGAATAATTAATTTCAGAAATTCTAGGAAAGTTCTGCGATTTGTTTCTCGTCGATTGTGGGAATTTTGTAGAAATATTTCCTAGTTTTCGATTGCCCGGAAGGTGTTCGACAAAATTCCTGAGAGAATTCATCACATATTGAATGGTAGCTTGGGAATCAAAGAAAGGGGGTTTGAGAATTTAATCAATTGGGAGAGTGATTTATGGAGAAACAGATAAGTTTTAGGGATGAAAGGATAATGGAGAAGCAGAAAAGTTTCTTAGGATTGATGGAGAAGCAGAAAAGCTTCAGTAGGATAGCAATGGCGGAGAGGCAGATGAGCTTTGGTAGGGACAGGAAGCTCGCCAAGGGCAAGGATTCCCCCGGAAAGCGCGGCGATTCGGCGCTGCATATTGCCGCCCGGTCGGGGAATGCCGCGAAGGCTAAAGAAATTATGCAAAAGTTCGACAGCATCAACGGCAATGGCGGCATAAAGAATTTGCTTTCGAAACAGAACCAAGAAGGGGAGACTGCTCTGTATGTGGCTGCCGAGAGCGGCCACGCGGCTGTGGTTGTCGAATTCTTGAAGTATTTGGATGCCGAGACTTGCTCGATTCGGGCTTACAATGGATTCGATTCATTCCACATAGCTGCCAAGCAAGGGCACATTGGTATGCCTTTTAATCTATTGTTCGTTGTGGTTGTCATCGTCCGTTTATTGTTGTAAGGTTGCATTCGTATGGCTTTGATTGATTGTTCTTTGTTTTGCTAATACTCAATTTGATCGAATGTTGGTTGGTTTGGTAATACTCGATTGGTTTATTGTAACTTGTAAGGTCACACATTAATATGCTTTTGATCGAATGTTTGTTATTTTGGTAATTACTCATTTCATTGTTTAGGATAGCTATGATGCGCGAAAACTTGCTTGTATCTTAAACTTGTAGGTGAAATGGTCGATTCAGGACAAAAATTACTCCTTTAGTCCCTCGAACTCTATTGTAGTTGTATAGAAAAAGTTCGTCTATGTTTCGCAGTTTAGCGTTGGTGGTGTTGATTCGACTAACTTTTCACTTTAAAATGGACTAATTGCGCGGTTTTGCGTCGTTGAATGATTCTAATGATGTTAAAAATCTGCAGATGTGCTCAAGGAGTTGCTACGATTCATCCCGAACCTAGTCATGACTACAGATGCTTCTAATTCAACTACCTTACACACCGCGGCTGCGCAGGGGCACACCGACGTGGTAAATCTGCTTCTCGAAACCGACCCAAACTTAGCCAAGATTGCTCGGAACAACGGCAAGACTGTTCTTCACACGGCGGCGAGAATGGGGCACTTAAATGTAGTGAAATCTCTCCTAAACAAAGACCCGAGCATCAGTTCAAGGACTGATCGGAAAGGCCAAACGGCGCTGCACATGGCTGTAAAAGGACAAAACGACGAGATCGTCGCGGAGCTTATAAAACCCGACACGTCCGTCGTGCAATTGGAAGATAACAAGGGTAACACCGCGCTCCACATCGCGACTAGGAAGGCCCGATGTCAGGTTTGTTACGAACTCGTCGTATTTCTTATAGCTTCTGTAGTTTGTCGTTGAAATCGACTGCTAACGTGCATTCGGGTCATTGCCTTGTCAGATGGTGAAATGTTTGTTATCCGCCGAGGGTGTCGATGTCAATGCCGTTAACAACGCGAGGGAGACCCCGTTAGACATTGCCGAGAAATTCGGTACTCCCGAGCTTGTAGCCATCCTGAAGGAAGCTGGAGCGGTGCATTCAAAAGACTACGGGAAGCCTCAAAGCGCGGCGAAACAGCTGAAACAAACGGTGAGCGACATCAAGCACGACGTGGAGTCGCAGCTCGTGCAGACTCGTCAGACGGGCTTCCGGGTGCGGAAGATCGCGAAGAAAGTGAAGAAGCTCCACATTGAAGGCCTCAACAACGCAATCAATTCCGCGACTGTCGTGGCCGTCCTGATCGCGACTGTCGCCTTCGCTGCCATCTTCACCGTTCCGGGGCAATACGTCGAGGAGAGGACCCAGGGGTTTACGTTAGGCGAAGCCCACATAGCAAACGACGCGGCATTCGTGGTCTTCTTTTTGTTCGATAGCGTCGCACTCTTCATTTCCCTCGCCGTGGTCGTGGTGCAGACGTCGCTGGTCGTGATCGAGCACAAGGCGAAGAAGCAGCTGATGTTCGTGATCAACAAGCTCATGTGGTTGGCCTGTCTCTTCATCTCGATCGCGTTCATCTCGCTTACTTACATCGTAGTCGGGTCTCGAGAGCAGTGGCTCGCCGTGTATGCTACAATTACCGGCGGGACTATAATGCTGGCGACGATCGGATCGATGTGCTATTGCGTCGTTCGACACAGGCTCGAAGACTCGAGGATCAAGCGAGCCGGTACACTTTCTCGATCCTCCTTTTCTCTGTCCCGGGCTGCTTCGGACACGGAGCTATACACCGAGCGGTATAAAAGGATGTACGCTGTCTGAACGCAAGACCTAGACGAAAGTCTTTAGCACGATGCCATAGGTAAGAATCGAGCCCGTATCTTTGATAGTTCATAATCGTATCGAATACGTCTATATGCCTAAGAATGAATGCAGTAATCACCCGTGACTGTTCGACGGGACGGTCGCTGTTCTATGTCGATGTTTCCGTTTTCTAAAGGAAAAAGAGAATGAAATTTCACGATGTTTTGGCCACACTAGACATATACATTGACGAATTCCGTTGAGACGAAACATGGAATCGTTGCCATCGTGTTTCCTACGACTGAGAACGAAATCTTCCTGATTTATGAAACCTTCGGGAAACTAAGGGAAAGAAGAAAGAACCTGATCGAATCGTTGCAGGGTTTCGCCGGGGAACTGGATCGAAGTTAGCCGCTCGAGTGCAATCCTCTTCTTCCACGGAGATCGGATGAAGAACAATGGGAGCCAATCATCGAGAATGGCGCTCGTTCGCGGGTGTTTGTCGAAGACTGGTGTAGCAGCTTAAGACCTGTGGTGAGAGCTTCCTCCATTTTTCTTCCTGGAGGTATTGTGAGATTTTGTTTCTGCTACAGGAGGCGGGTTAGGGTTCGGAGTCGGAGCCGGAGTCGGGTTTGGGGAGTAGCGGTATCGAACGTTTACGCGATGGGTTTTCATCTCGGTCGAGGTGCTTCCGATAACATTCACCAGCAGAATCACTTCCTTGTCTCGGGTGTCTTCCGACCACCAGGATTGCGGTATCCCCTCGACGAATTCCTCCAACGTATGGTATTCTTCCTGATGTACCGATATCTCCGCGACCTGGTCGGGATTGATCATCCCGGCTGCCGGAGTTACCTAAAACCAGAGAATGATGTGTTACAGTATTATCATTCGCAATAAAAAACGGCATAGAAGGGATCGAAGAATACCTGAAGCCAGCGTGGGAAGCCGAGCGAACCTCTTGCCCGGTATTCGGATGGCATTTCGTCCTCTTTGATCGTGGACTGACCCGCGCAGATGACGCGGTAAAACACCGGATCTTCCCTACTTTTATTCGCGATTTTCAGATTGACCGTCTCTTGGTTGTGGAGAACTATCCGGTTCGTGTTTGCAGTCGTTTCCGGGACAAACCGTAGCGATTCAAGATTGGATCGGACGGCATCATTGGACTGAAGTATCTTACCGTACTCCAGCCTTCTTACGGATCTATCGACGTGGGAAATGTCCAGGTTGAACTTGCACCGTACGGGCTTGTGATCGCTCTCGGTCACATCCATGCACGCCCCGTACCTGCGACACGAGCCGGCCCAAGGATAACTATCGAGGTTAGTAAATGGTACGAGGATAAGCATGCGACGTACTGTAATATGGAAGCGACCACGGGGCACTCCAAGCTACACAGGTCTTTGGGGCTCGCCCGGTTGTCTCGATAAAGTATTCTATCACACCAAGCCGGGATTCTCTTCTTCTCGCCGGAGTCGTATCCTGGAAAAGCAAAGGAGCTTGACATAGATCGCGGGCGCGCAATTTTCGTAATAAATCGTGTAATCGATTACCTCCTAACCCGGGCTTTCCTCTTTCGAACTTGTACGTCGGCGGGAATCTGATCAGCGCCTCGCGCATTCCTTGGAAGACTTTCCCGGCTTTCATCTCCGCTCTCAGCTGGTCTTTCTCTCGAAGCCAATCGAAGCTTCTTTGCGAAACAAAGTCTCTCGCTTCGTCGTACGATATGCCAAACAACCGATAGTTGAAATCACCGAAGAAAATGACCATATCAGCTTCGGCAAGATCCGGTTTCCCTTCGTTAGGATTAACTGTTGTAGCCTTCGAAACAGAAAGGACTGACTGTTGGTAAGGATCGTAACTCAAAGGGGAGGGAAGCAAGCAAGACAAGAAGCGATCGTTATAGTTTAGATATATTACGTACATTCGAGCCTTGAAGATTCTGAGCCGTCGACGACACAGTTACTGCAACGGATCGAATCGAAAATCCGGCGTTAGCATAAACGTTCGATCGAAGGAATTGGAGCGATCCAAAACATAGTTGTTAGAAGCTTACCGGCAGCATTGTTAACAGTGTTCGATGTTCGGGTGAAGGTCATGGTTCGATATATATGATCAAAATCGGCGTTCCTTCGATTGACAGCTTCCAAATGAGCGGCCAAATGACAGTTCACGAAGCACATTATTCGATCGAATACTCTTAGCCTTAATCCCACGCCTCCCTGCAAGTTCTCGAATCAAATATATACGAATTGTTCGAACTCGACCAGGTTCTTGAGATGTCCCAAGAAACTCGGTACCTTATTACCAATAGCTCGGCCTAAACCACAAGCGACTGCTGCAACGTCCAGGTCCCCGACGTATGTCCTAAGAGAATTTCTCACCCTGAAAACAATGGTACGCGACAATCTTCATTTCATTCAGCACGTCGAATGAAGACTCGAAAGAAGTTTCTAAAGTGTCACAAGATCATACCAAATCGCGATCACTAGGCCTGCTAGCTGTCGAGACCCCACCCGTTCGAACGTCGATCCTTCATCCAACGCCTTGCCGATGTGATCTTGCCACCATTGCCCGACAGAACTTCCTTCGAGGCCTACCTGAAATAGTCGATAACTGTTAGAAAGAACCGGACACAAAAACGTTAACAACAGGCGATTTCTAAGATCGAAAATCTCATTACATTCGACTAGAAAGTTGGAAACAGCGTCGAAGAAGTAAGGCAGCCAGACTTACGGATTCTCTTGCGGCAGACATCGCGAGAAAACCAGCACCCATTTCGACTTCTTGCAGCCCGACGACGACAATATCAACATCCGACACTGTCGAACCGATCCACGACTTGAGAGCATCGTGCGAAGCTCTTCCTTGACCAACATTCCATGTCCCGACTAAAATTCGAATATTCTCCAGCCTAGTGTACGAGATTTCTCTATCGGCAAGTTCAGACCGTACGGTGCTATCAATATTCGTTGGCGACGAAATATTCCACCCGCGTATGCCTCCATGAGTAGCCAAGCTAAAGAGGGAACCGTTACCGGTTACAATTCTTACGACCGGTCCATTGTGGGCGACCCAACCGGCGACTAGCTTCCCGTCGAGATCGAGCAGCTGGAACATGCCGCTTACATATCCGACCCATATTCTCGACCCGTGCGAGCAAAAACACAGAATTCCGCAAGGATGATGAGTAACCTCCTGTATACGATTTCCGTTCCCGTCCCATTGGACTAACAAACCATTCGACGATCCTGTCCATATCATACCGTTCGCTGCGAGCACAATAGCTTCGGTTCTTTTGCCGTCTTCGGATACCCCTCCACCCCCCTTCGCTACTCTTCGGACAGCATCTGCAGCACCCATTATCGCATTACGCGAACGCTGGAGAAATCCGGATTTCTCCTTCTTAGACTTGGCGACGAACTTCACATTCATCTCGTCTTCGACTGGCTGCTCTAGAGCTGAGGATACCTCGGGCCGGTTCTCAGTCTGAGCGATGCGAGTCTCGACCTGACCCTCGATGTTAAATACTTTTAGAAGCTCTCGTTTGCGAGCATCCCTGTTACATCAACAAGATTGACAAAGCATCAGCTGTTTTTGAATTTATTCGACGTAACATAATACATGCTGAGAGTTAACTAACAGAGAGCTAGAAAACTTACCATATTGAGAAGATTGTCGACCAGACAGCCCAGACTTTCGCCCGGACTTTATCCGATAACAAACACTTCACATCCGAGGAAGGAATATTACATACACCGTTAACTGTAACTTGGCTTTTGAGATCGATAGCTGATCTCTCCACCAACAAAGCCGCCATGTGCTTTTCCTCCAGCGACAGAGACAACGATTTTTCGACAGCTTCCCATGGCCAGATCTTGATGCATCCATTCTCAGATCCTGACCATATATCACCTATGTCGAAACAAAGAAAGTTACGAAAAGCACGACAACAAACCTCTTGTTTCCTCTACAAAGAATCGCAAACGTAAAAAAACAAGAATGTAGTAAAGAACAAACATCCGAATTCCTTAATTTATGCATAGAGCTGTCAAAACTGGCTGGCGGATGAGCTGACAAAAGTATCAAGTTTCAAACCATTTTGCACAATACTCAAAAAACAAGACGAGGCTACAACCCGCAAACTGAATACATTTTGACAGCTCTACTTATAAATTGTCAAAAGAAACACAATTCATCTCAAGAGAATTATAAATCTCATAAAAAGAGCAATTACCGTAAGAAGAAATCTCCATCGAAAGAACAGGGCCGCGATGCGCCTGCCACGAAAGGCCTTCTTTTAAAGCATTCTCATCAGAGAGATTCTGTTCCATCTTCCACGATCGAATTTTACCATCTTTGTGCCCACTCCAGACCATCTTATTCCCTTGATCCACGATCAAGCATATAGTAGGCGCCGTGCTGGTTGATACATAAAAGGGGGCAGCATCTTCATCGCCTCTCTGCGCCCTTACTCTGATTCCAGGCTTATATGCATCAGAGTAGTTCCATACTCTTATACCTGATTCCTGCCCTGCCCATAGCTGTGTTTCTGTACTCGCAATTGTCCTCAAAAATTTTCCCACCTGTACAGAATCGAGAACTTCTCATCCACGAGTGAAATCCACAAATGGTATGACCTCAAAACTCGAACAAATGGTGAAGAATATTTGTATGTATAGTTCAGAGAAAAAATATGTAAAATCGACTCCATGAGCCCAAATTGATGATCTGATTTGATTCATTTGAATACCTTTTCGTAAACTTAATAGTCCGATAATTATCCATAACTTATTGTTAGTATCACGAATCACATTGTTTGTATGGGTATGTACCCTCTAAATGACAACGGCCATTGTCATAAAATCTTATGGCTCTGTTTACATATATCTAAAAACCATTTTTGGCACTATTCATCTACATTAATATTTTCAACGAATATTGTAAAACACTTATTTTCTAGCACAAATCATCACATCAAATACTCAACAAAATAACTCAATGTCATAAACAAACTCGGGAAAAATGCAATTTTAGTCCCACAATGAGTTGCTCTGAGCAAAAATTTAGTCTTGTGTTATTTTTTTGTGCAAAATTGGTCCCAAGCAAATTTATACAAATCTAGTCTCTCTGTTTTCAATTTCAACGAACTTTGCTAATGTTGCATCAAGCGCGCCCATGTACAACCATGCTACTTAAGCAATATGCTTGTGTTGTTTAGATACACTGGCATGTACACAGGTGCAATTGATACTACATCAATAAAGTTCGTCAAAATTGTAACAAAAGAAAAAAATTTGCATGAATTTATTCGAGATGGACATGAGACTAATTTTTGCACAAACCACCACAACTAGAGACTAAAAATGCAATTCTTCGATAAACTTTCAACAGAGAATTCAGCATAACTAACACCAACACTAACAACATATCTTCGATGCAGAGAAGAGACGACTACAAACTTAACCATAAATCCGTAGAAATTGCAATGGCCTCAGCTACTATATCGACATTGTTCAGATTCATATAAAGCAACAAAGAAAGATACATTGTGTACCATTTTACTTCTTTCAATTTCTTTATTATACAGTGCTGATGAGTCTTGTAAAAGTAAGCTATTTTCTCTTGCAAAATATTATATCTAGCTTCAAAAAATACTATAATATATATATACATAACACTACCAATGGAAGTATTCGCAATAGGCAAAATATTAAAACTATAAACACTAAGCAAACATACTCTAAATGAAATTCATGTGAAATTCCATTGAAATGCACTTACCTGAGTTTCTCTCAAAGGGTGCGGCCGGAGCTCGACGTAGGGGGGGCGGCTGGGGTGCACGGCGCCCCTATTTGGCACCTTAAAAATCCCCACGCCGCCGCCGCTCCCCACGAACTCCGGCAACGCCTGTTGTGGCAGATTCTGCGATTCATCGGCGTCCCCGGCAGCCATGCCTTGGCTGTACTGAAGATAATCGACGTGGTGCTCGCCCATGGACGCCGCCGAAACCCCATAGGGAACCGTCGTAGTGCAATAAGGGTAAAACTCTTCGTCGTCGGAGGAATTAGGGCTGCCGCCGTAATAGGCGTTGCTTTGGCTGGCGGTGTGGCGGTTGTACATTCGATTCTCGTCGAGGCTGTGCTTGCGGAGCTGATGCTGGCGCTTGTGGTGCGTGCCGGTGCTCGTACGGAGCTGGTGGCTGTAGGAGTGGATTTTCCGGTGCGGCGGCGACTCGGAGATCCCCGCCAGCACCGTCCGGTCGTCGTCCCCCAACTTTTCGCTCATTTTGTGGCTCTGATTCGTCGATTACAGGAAAGAGGCGTAATCGGAATTCATCGTCGTGGGAATTCGATGGATCGGCAAAATCTCGGGAAAGGGAAAGGAAAAGGTCAAAATAGGAATAGGAGAGGGAAGAAAAGAGAAGAGCGAGGGAGAGAGGATAGTGGTGGCGGGAATGTTCAGCGGAGGAGGCGCCGAAGGACGCTCGGAATGTACGGACGGGACGGTTCGCCATTTTTGAGTGTGTGGAGCTTTACTTCAGATTTTCTCTCTCCACTCTCTCTCGGTATATATATACAAGCATGCATTTATATATGTATTTTTGTTTATTATGTTCGAATTAATTTTTTTAATAAAAAATAGAATTTTAAATAATAAATTACTATTAGAGGAGCATAATATTTTCTAAATAGCTAAAAATAACTACGAAAATAAAAAGAAGAATATAATATAAAAGGAAATACACTATTATTTGTAAATATGGGGGATAAATTCATTTTATTTATTATTATTCATTATCATAAATTGTTTGGTTATAAATTTTTTATTTAGTGTTTTGGTTTCATGTATATATTTTTATATAAGATATAAAGAATTTGGTAGGCAGTATAAAATTGATATTTATGTAGAATATTATTTTATGTAAAATAATAAAATATATATTATAAATATAAAGAATTATATTAAAAATAATATATATTTGATGGAGTAGGAGTATAATATTTTGTGAAATAAAAAAATATTTAAAATAATATTTTTAAAAAATTATTATTAATAAATAATGTTAAAATTTTCAAAACTATCTATAGAACGCAATTTTTTAGTTACATTTAAATTCATGTTATAAAGTCATAATAGTAATTAGATTTTCTTTTTCAAATTAATTTTTACGACAGTAAAAAGTACTCCTTTTCGTCCGTACGCTAGAACAATAGACAAAAAAGTGAATGAAATGTGTTCGTAAAAACCAAAAAAAAGTTGGATTGGCTAACACATTACCCTAGAGAAGGAGGGTGAAGAAGCACGCACAATACGGACAAATAGCGAGCCCGCTAAACTCTGAAAATTCATTATTTTTTTTAATAAAATAATAATTTATTATATTCATTTAAATTCAAAATAATATAATAGGGATGATTTAGTGGCGTATGAGTTAGAGCCTAGTGTGACTTTCCCTTGACAACCACAAACTTCTTCAACACATTTAATTTGTACAATTTTTAATAAAAATATTTTTTTTTTCGTCCGCCTCTAAGGGTTCTATTAGTATTATAAGACACTAATTGAAGTATTTTTGTAATTTTTTCTTAATTTATAGTACGTTTTGATATAATAATTAATATTCAAATATCAATACGCAAAACATAAATGAAACCCTTGAAGTCGGACATGGATAGTATTATTTTGTATTAAGATATTATTCAAAAGATTAAAAAAGTTGAATAATATTGTGTGTTACTATATTTTTTTAAAAAAAATAATTCATTCGTCTCAATACAATAGTCTTGTTTACCATTTTCATTCGTTCCAAAAAAAATAATAGTCCAATTTTCATAAATAATCATATCACCATAAAACTATCTCTATTTTTTCATTATTATTATACAATTGTCACTACTTTTTACACTAATATACTCACAAAGGCAAAAAATTCATTCATCCATACTTTTTACCAACCGCCAATATAATATCAATATTCTTTAAATTTTGTGTCCAACCCAATAAGAATATACTTTTGGGACGGAGGGAGTATGTATTATGTATATCATTACAATACTAATTGAAAGTAATCAATATGGTATTAATTAGCTACAATCAACACTATTCAGCTTAATTTTTAAAATATAATAATTTAAATTATATAATTATCTGAAAAATAAATAAATATATATATATCATTATATATATAAATTATGTTATTTTAACCAATTTTGAAAATTAGCTCACGCTTCGACCGAATGTTGATACTGGAAATAAAAAATGAACACATGCTGCACGTGGGAGAGATTCAAAACAAGTAAAAATGTATTTTTCATTTACAGAGGACATGTGGTGTGGGGTTTGATCTAATATGCAAAGATATTTTCTTCTCAATTTAGATTAAATTTAAAACTTAAAACATTTTTTTTTTTTTATTTAAAATTTTTTGAAATATATATATATATATATTCTAAAAATGAATAAAGTATAAATAGAAAAAAAGTAAAAATTATTTTTGGTCTCATTCAATATCATAATTATCAATTTTGGTCTCATTCAAAAAAAAATTATCAATTTTGGTCCCACTCAAATGAAAATTTATCAATTTTAGTCCCAAGATGGTTAACTGGGACTGAACACGGCCGTGTTGGATGATTCAGAAGGTGACAGGGCATCCCAGGCAGCCAACACGGCCGTGTTGATTACTCTGCATTTCTGAACACAGCCGTGTTCTTGCCCGTGTTCTCAACAAAGCCATGTTACTACCCATGTTTCTGTCTATGTTCTCAACACAGACATGTTCTAGGCCATGTTCATGCCATATTCTCAAAACAGCCATGTTCTAGGGCATGTTCACGACCATGTTTTCAATATAATCATATTGTAAGTCATATTTATTATTATTTTCACTTTTTGGTTAAAATTATTTTATATATATATATATTTATAATTCAACAAAAATATTTTTTACAATTATTTTATAATATAAAAAACAATCAATTTTTAATATTTTAAAAATATATAAAAATAATATTATATTAATATATATTTTTAATAATACTCCCTCCCTCCCACTTACCATGTCCAGATTGTCGTTTCTGTCCGTCCCACATCACATGTCACTTTCCTTTTTTTGGAAAATAATTACACACTATTTTTTAATTTAATTTTTTTTAATTTTAATTAAACTAATAAATTATCTTAATCTTAATTTATAATTATTTATATTATATGATAATTATTTTCACTAATACATTCATAATTATCTACTATTTATAGTTATCTTAAATTCTCGTGTCTACACTGACCCAGGTACGTGAGACGGGGGTATTATTTTAAAATATTATTTTGAATAATAAAATTAATTTATAATTTATAATTTATAAAAATAATTAATTTAAAATAATATTTTAAAATTTTTACTATAAATTTTTAAAAATATATATAATGATGATTATATATATTAATATATTATTTTTATATATTTTTAAAATATTAAAGTTGATTATTTTTTATATTATGAAATAATTGTAAAAAATATTTTTGTTGAATTATAAATATATATATCAAATAATTTTAACCAAAAAGTGAAAATAATAATAAATATGACCTACAATATGATTATATTGAAAATATGGTCGTGAACATGGCCTAGAACATGGTTGTGTTGAGAACATGGGCAGGAACATAGCATAAAACATGGCTGTGTTGAAAAAATTGGCAGGAACATGGATGTGTTGAGAACACAGACAGGAACACGGTCGTGTTCAGAAGTGCAGGGTAATCAACACGGCCGTGTTGGCTGCCTAGGACGCCCTGTCACCTTTTGAGTCATCCAACACGACCGTGTTTAAGCTAACACGGCCGTGTTCAGTCTCAATTAACCATCTTGGGACTAAAATTGATAAATTTTCATTTGAGTAAGACCAAAATTGATAATTTTTTTGAATGAAACCAAAATTGATAATTATGACATTGAACAGGACCAAAATGATTTTTCTGTAGAAAAAAAATTGTATAAAAATTGAAAAAAAACACACAACACCTGAAGGAACTTTATTTTATTCAAAATATTAGGTTTGTTGGTTCAATTGAATTTTGAAATTGCGATTTCCTAACAGTAATATTTATATATTTTATATAATATTATACACAAAAAATAAATTTAAAAATAAAATTTAAATATTTATTACAAAAAATCAAAAAAGTTAAATATTTAATTTAAAATAATACTTTATATTTTATATTTTTTACACAATTCTTTATACCAGCGTAAAAAAATCAATTCATTCGAAAACACTGAGCATATAAGAGCCGTTATATATATATATATATATTTAATGTAAATTTTTTATTGTTTGAAAAATAATTTAAAGTTTAAAATATTTAAACGCAACCATATATTTTTGGAGAAATTGGTAAATTTGTAGGACTTGAATTAAGAGTTGAAATTTGCATAGTTGACTGTCACTCATCAATAATTTAATTTGAGGTCACTAATACGAAACTGTCTGATTTAGACAGCAACCACTAATTCCATTAATAATTTAATTTCCTTTTTGTTTCAGAATAGATTAAAAGGTAGTAATGACGTATATATCATTGTTTTTATTTTTGTCAGTGTTATCTTTTATTAAAAAAAATTAAAATATTCTACATTTTAGTTATATTTTAAATTTTTTTATTTTAATTATACTCCCATTAATTAGTTATTATAATCCTAATATATAGTAATTATTTTTATTAATATATTTTTAGTTATTTATTAATATTTTTTCTTTAAAAAAAAATAATTGTATCCAGCGTAACTATAACACTATTATTATACGAATAATTATTTTCTTTTCAAAGTCTTGGTCATAATAACATAATTATAAAGTTTTTTCTTTTGAAAGACTAACCATTAATTATAAAGTAGATTTGGATTACGTGTATAATATTCTATTAAAGAATTGTATGATTTTTTATTTTTTTTTATAGTTAAAATTATAATATAGGGTGACTGCTGCTTAGTTGTTTAATTTAAAATTCAGCGTTACCTAGCTACTGTATTTAAATTCAACATTGTGTTAAACAATACATAATATATTAACAAATAATATATAATATTGCTATTATTGACGTTACATTATTTATATGAATATAATATAAATATACATCTAATAATTGATTTTGACACATAATATATTCTTATACAACATATATTATAATTATTAATAAACAATACATAATTTTATTATAAACAATATATGTTATGTGTAATAAAAATATGCGTTATTTCTTTATACGAAGTGTATTAATTTTGAAAAATCAGAAAATAACTTTATCTTTAATCTATATATTGATTCACATACATAATGCTCCCTCCTTCTAATGCCCTATTTGATATTTGCATGCATTTTTAGTCGATTAGAGTTTTTGTTATAAAATAACAAATTTGTCTTTTATTTTCTGTATATAAAAAAAAAGAATAAATGAAATAAGGACAAAATAATAAATTTTGTGCATAAAAATAAAAAAAAAAGAACAATAATAGTTAGACATTCCAAATAAAAAAATAAAAAATTAGTTTAATTTTTGGATAGTAATTTATTAATTTTAAACCATAGAAAATATCAGCATAACGTGTAGGCTACATTTAAAAAACCTATTTTCATAATAAACATTGAAATACTTAACGGAGTATAACATTTGATAAATATTTGTTTGATTGAGAGAAATCATATTTAAGAATTAAATAATTTTTTATTTATTTTCATTTCTCTTTTATGCAAAAAAAAAAAAAATTAAAAAAAATTAAAAAAACAAAATAGAGAGAGAATTGAAAGTGCGCTTATTTATTATTTCATTAATTTTTTATATATTATTTGATTTTTATGATTTATTTTAAATTATATTTTCTCTGTCCACTTAATAAATTTATATTTACCTTTTGCGTTATTATAGTTAGCATTAAAATTTTTATTTATGTTTGTATAATACTTTGTATAAATGTCATTTTATCAGTTTTATAAGATACTAATAGAAGTATTTTTGTTACTTATGTTTTGATATAATAATTAATATTCAAATAACAACACCCAAAAAACAAATGTAAACTTTACAAGTGGACAGAGGAAGTATTATTTTCATATTACAAAATATTACATCTAATTTAATATTCATATATTTAATTTATATATATATATTTTTATATTATACTAATATGATCTTAAAATAATATTATATCTAATTTATTATTTAAACAAAAAAAATCATCAATCATATTTTTTTTCATATATTTTCACTCGCTGAAATCTACTCGTTTTACTCAAATCATTATATATATATATTTTTTTTACATTTTTAACTGAGTTATCTATTTTATCAAATTAAAAAAAAAGTAATTTTAATTTTCCTCTCTGCTATTATTTTTTAAAATTTAACTTTTCATACCAAATGTACAGTAACATTCTTTTACTCATTATGTCCGATAAATTTAACGCTATTTCTTTGTATTTTTACGAATTAAACTAAATTTATTTAACGAAAAAAAGTATTTTATTTATGAGATGATCCCAATAGGTTCGAACCCAAATTTTTCTAAGCCTACATGTATACACATTACCTTCACATATGTGGAAATACCTATAAAAATGAAACTTCTTACATCATTCAAAACACACTAATAATCACAAGTTTTTCCTTTTTTTCTTTAACTTGTCTCTCGCTTCGATTTCCATTTTCGGTATATTTTTTTTTGGCACAATTCAATTCTTCTTTCATTTTTGTTTGTCGAAGTTCTGGATATTAAGGTATTATTTCCGTCTCAATTCAAAATATTTTTTTTACTATTATTTTCTGTTCAATTTCAAAGTATCTATTTCCTATTTTAGAAAAAATAATCATTCGTTAATATCAAAATATCATTAACTTTTAATAAACTACAAACATACCATTACATATACAATTACTTTATACATAAATTTAAATGACAAAAATGTCAAAAATTCTTATACACTTTACTAATTAATAAAATAATATTATTTTTAATTTATTATAAAATTCCAAAAGAGTCATTTAATTTGAGACGAAGAAAGTAATCTATCTCTAAATGCGCAAGTCATTTTATCTTTTGAAAATAATACTTCATTAGTTAAAAAAGCACTAATAGTTGTGTTGAGAAAAGATTTCCCTAACTTAGCTAAAATTTGATTTTTATTTTTTATTTTTATCAAAATCATTTTTACTTATGGTCTTTCATTTTCTAAATAGAATGCATGATTGAGTTTTATTAGAATTATATGAAATATTTGTGTGTTTATATAATTGGTTATTTTTTCTTTTTACTTATTTTAGTTTAAAATTTTTTGTTTGAATAGTAAATTTTATGTAATGATTTATGAGGATAAATAATATAAATTTTGGAGGATCTTAAAAATTAAATATTATAAATCTTGAAAAACAAAAAAGTCTTAAATAAATACATCATGAGCATAATTTTTTTATATACCGGTCAACTAGCAACTAGAATTAAAAAAAATGCACCGATGAAGAGATAACTTTGTTCTTTTATGATTTTAAAGGATAAAATATATTTTTGATCTTGTTAATTTATTAATGTGTCAATTTTAATTTTTTTTATTTGTAAAATGATCATTTTGGTCAATTTTATTTATTAATGTGTCAATTTTAGTCCCTTTATTTTAAAATGACAATTTTAATCTTTTACTCATTTGAATAGTTTAATTTTAGTTCTTAATTATTGCTTCTTCTTTTTTTTTTTCAAAATTAAAGGTATTCATTTTGCTTTTTCTTTTTTGTTTATTTAAGTAAAATATATCTCTTTCTTTATTTTTAATAAAAATATATTTCAATTAAATATAAAAACATCCCTATTGTTTTATCATTATTCTTTTAATGCAATTAATATCAAAAGTATTTTTTTTATATGTATATATTATATAATATTAATATATTTAATCTGCATGTATGAGTAAAATTATATTGTACATTTATTAGCTTTGAATTATTGGCTTTGAATTAATCCAGCTCCTGCAACTTGTATAAGGCAGCCGGTCCTCTATTAATAAAAAAAAAAGGGTCAAATCATGAAGGAGATATTTACGTAAATATAAAAATAATTGTTCAAGATAATATTTTAAATAAAAATAAATACTCCGTATTTGATAGAGTATTATTTATATACTCCCTCCGTCCATGTGTAAGGTTGTTGTTTATTTTTTACTTGTAGATTTTTTAATATTAATATTATAATGGATTATAGTGAAGAAGACGAAAATGCCCCTATTGGTATTGAGTAATATAAAAATAATGGCATTTGTGTAATATATTGTAAGTTGGAAGGGTATTTATTATATTAGTTAGGTAGTGCAATTACTAAATTAGAAAATGATAACCTTGTTTTGAGACAAACGAAAATGGAAAATGATAACCTTTCAATGAGCGGAGGAAATATATATATTTTTGTTTATATTGTTGTGTTAATCTGTTTTTTTTTTTCAAAAATATTACAATCACATTTAAACTTTTTTAATCTATAATTTTGTAAGTATATTAATTAGTTATTATAATATATAATTATTTTTATTGTAATTTAATTAGATTTACTAATATATTTCTAATTATTTATTAATTATATCATTTCTAAAATTTTGTATCTATAGTGCACAAGAGACATGTAAGATGAGAGCGTGGACTATCAGACTAAATAAAAAAACAAACATACTTCCTCAGTTCAAATATTAAAATACTATTTTTATTACTCCCTCTGTTCCATTGAAAGGATACCGTTTTTCATTTTTGTTCGTTCCAAAATAAGGTTATCATTTCTTAATTTAGTAATTGTACTACCTATTTAACATAATAAATACTCTTTCAACTTACAATATATTACACGAATGCCATTATTTTTATAATACACTATAGTAATAGGGGTATTTTTATATTTTTTACTATAATCCAATATAATACTAATATTTAAAAATCTACGTGCAAGAAGCAAACATCACCTTTCATACGGGACGGAGGGAGTATATTCGTTCATTTTGTTCTAAAGTATTTTTTTTCTTTAAATTTTAGTAAAAAAAATAATAAATTAATACTAAAATATTATTAATCTTTACTTAAATTACAAATATATTATTTCTAATACAATTACTTTACATAAAAGTCAAATAACAAAAATACCAAAATTTTTTATACACTTCTACTGACCAATAAAATAATACTCCTTCCGTCCCATATTTATCTATTAAATTACTTTTTGCAAGAAGTTTTAAAAATATTATTATTATATTCGAATTTAAGTAAAAATAAAAATAAAAAGATTAAACTATATACTTATTAGTATTGTATGATATAAAAATAATAATATTTGTGTAATACTATATTATAAATTGGAATAATATTTTGCAATATTAGGTAGATAGTACAATTAATAAAAAAAAAGAAGTAAATACTTTCTTATGAAATAAAAAAATTGATAGATTGTTAAGGGAAGGAGGAAATATTATTTTATCCTGCAAACCTCAAGTTTCTACTATTTAGACTTTGCATTTTCCGAAAAAAATATTTTTTTTCTTCACAAAATATTATATTATATATTATTTTAATACCAAACATAAACTAAAATTTTTCCAAAATTCATCAAAAGAAACATATAGGAATTCTTCAGCTCTTCTATCAACATATATATATATATACACTCCATCAGTTCCAAAACAATAAGGATATTTGAGAGTGATACGAAAATTTAAAAATAATGGTATTATATTGACAGTGGGTATAAAAGTATTTTTACAAGACCAAAACACCCATATTTTATGTAATTATTGTAAAATAATAATAATAATTTTGTAAAAAAGGTGAAAAATTTGTTACCAAAAATAGAATTGAGACTATTAATTTGAGACGAACAAAAATTACAAAATAATACTACTATTATTTTGGAACAAAATGAGTATATAATATATTCTTATATACTCCTTCAGTCCCATAATAAGAGTTCAATTTTCTATTTTTCATTTTCGTCAGTTTCAAAACAATGATATTATTTAGTAATTGTATTATCTACTTAATATAATAAATATCCTTCCAATTTATAATATATTATACAAATATTACTACATTTATATTACACAATATTAATAATAAGAATATTTTTGTCTTTTATACTGCAACTCAACGTAATAGGAATATTAAAAATTGTATGTACAAAAATTTTTTTTTCATTATTTTTTATATGACAGCTACTGCTCCGCTGCTATATATATATATATATACACATACCCCATTATATTGCAGAAGCAACCAGCAGCCTAAAGCTTCATCTAAGAGAGAGAGAGAGAGAGAGAGAGAGAGAGAGAGAGAGGAGAGAGATAGAGATGGGTGGAGGAGGTGAAGTTAGCAATGGGATAAATGGAGAGAAATGGACGGTCAAGATTCCTCAGATCAAATTCACTAAGCTCTTCATTAATGGACAGTTCCAAGATTCCGTTTCTGGTTTGTCTTCTCTTTCCTTGTTCTTGTTTTTTTCTTCTTTTTTCCGTTTGATTTCAAACTAATATTTATATCGTTTTGGCTAGTTGCATTGCAATATTATATATTTTTTTTTAAGTAAAAATAATCGTACTGTATTTCATTTTTATTTAAATTTAAAATATATCATTACATATGCATTTATTTTTTTTTATATAAAATAAAAAAATAAAAAAATCAAATTTTTTATATATTTTTATTAATTAATAAAATACTACTACTTTTTAATTTGCTATCAAACTCTAAAAGCTGTATTCAAATGGAATGAATGGAATATATTTTAATTATATTCCTTAACTTCTTACTCTGTTTTTTTTTTAATGATAATTTTCTTAATTATCTATATCAGAAAATTGTTTTTGTAAGGCTGTTTTATTTTTATTGAATCGTAACTTTATTCACTTGCAAATGCAAGAGAATATTTTAAGATCTTTAATTTTTTTTTTTTCAATAGCCAAGACAACTTTTTTTTTTCTCTCTCTTTTTTTTTTTTTTTTTTTTTTTTATCGTATCATTACCAAATTTTTTATATTAATAAATATTGTATTATTTCACTAAGTTTTTTAAGATATTTTTTGATTAATATTATAAAAATATGATATATATGAGAATATTTACATATATATTTTATATATTTAAAAATAATAATAATTCAACATGAAATGAGATTTAAATTATAGTATTATATTATATTGGTCATTGAAAATATTATTTTGTTCTTATGAATTTGTTTGTATAATAATAATAATAAATAAATAAAAATAATTTTATCATAATAAAATTATTTTTTAAAACATACAATAATAATAAAACAAACCTATTATTTTAGGATGAAGAAAATATATTTATATTATTAGACGTCTTTCCATTCATAATAATAAAATACTTTAAATTAAAAATACTAAACTCTAAATAAATTCATTGGCTCTAACTCCTTTAAATTTTTATTTTTCAATCGACGATACACGACAAAAAACACGTAACTCAAGTTTAGGCCGTGAATTATTATTATTATTATTATTTTCTTGTATATATATATATATGCATGTTATAGTGTTTTTCTTTAAAATAAATTTTTTAAAATTTTCTATTTGAATTATATATTTTTTGAATTTTTTTTCTTACTTAATATCCTATCAAATATTATTTTAATATAATTTTTTTTAAAAAAACACACTTATAATGTTAATTATTGCATATCCACAAGTAATTTTAAAATGGGTTATATATAATTTGAAAAATATATATAATTTTTTTTAGAAAAAAAATTATTGGGGAACCCTTTAGTTAAGCCTTTGTCTCTGCAAACATCCAAATTTGTTATATTTATTTTTCAATATGAATATTAAATAATTAATTTATATTAAATATGTAAAAACAGGAAAAACCTTCGAGACCATTGATCCCAGGACCGAGGAAGTCATAGCAAGTGTTGCAGAAGGCGACAAGGAGGATGTGGATTTAGCTGTCAAGGCTGCCCGTCATGCCTTTGATCACGGTCCCTGGCCTCGAAGTCCCGGAACTGTAAGCACTATATACACCTTCAATATAGGCATTTTTTTTTTATATATATTTTTTGTGTGGGTGAATTATGATGTTGATCCAATAATTGATATTTTTAAACTTTTGATGATTAAAATAAATATAGTAGGTAATATTTTTTTTATTTAATTTCTCTTTACTTTAATGATTTTGTATATATGTGTGGTAGTTAAGACTATTGACGAATGAGATATATAAATTTATTTTGTACTATAATTTTTTAAATGACTAAAATAATAAAATTACATTATTACATATTTTGATATTTCGAATTTTATATAATGAAAATAATGGTGTGTTTATTTCATTATTTGTGATATGTCATTTATGTATTTTTATCTGAAAAAAATTATATTATTTTATATCTTGAATTAAAAATAAATATTATACATGTTATGCATTTTTTTTTTTTAAAAAAATATTTGATGTTAATTTATACAGTGCTAAACAATATTGAGAACATGTGGTTGTAAATAAAATTTAAATAAAAAACTTCATATATCAATATTTATTTATTAGTTTTATATTAGCATTATCGATATTAATTCTACATATTGGGAAGTATATTGTTGTATTAGAATTTTCTACTTTAGGTTTGTTACTCTTTTTCTTTTTTTCTAATTACATTCAACTTTATTTTTTCGATGAAATATGATATCAAATATTAAAATAAAAAAAAAAAACAAACCCTTTTCTTCTATTTTTACATCAATTAGACAAATAACGAAATATATAATTTGTTAAATTTAAAATGTTTAGATCCAATTAACATAATTTTTTTAGTAATAATCTTATTTATTTTTTTATTGAGGGTTGTTAGGAATGATTCCATTATTGTTATATATATATATATACATATAAAATTTATAAATATTGTCGCGTATATACTTAAATGAATAACTTTTTATTATACTATACTAATAATGCTCATATACATTTTAGATGCTCGATTCATTTGTATTATACGTGTTAAAATAAAATATAATTTAGTTAGTTGAATATATATATATATATATATAGGCGATTATGGTACTAACAAGGAAAATATGAATAATAAATCAATAATAATGCAAATATAATATATAAATTGATATAATTCATCATAACACAAAAATATATTTATACAGTACACCTAAAAAATATTTTATGGCGAATTTTAAAATTCAACACATCGTCGTGTACTGATAGACATTATATGATATTATTACAGACACTATACTATTTATATTAACATAATACAAATACATTATATTAATTAACGATCTTGCGTAACATATGCTACTGTGATTTTAGCACATAACATACTTATGTAGGATGTGTTTGTTTGGGGGATTGAATTTTAAATCCACTATTCATTTCATTTTTCTCCCCCGAAAAACATCAAATCAAACACCTATTTTTTATTTTTTATATTATACTGAAAAATCAATTTTACATTCAAAACATCGCATCAACAGCTATTTATATCACATCGTACAATTATTCAAATTCAAATTTTTTACTAATCAAAATCTCAATTCAAAATCCAAAGCCCGCAAACAAACACACTAATATCTACCTGTTTTATCTGTACTATATAACTATTTTACGTGCGAAAATTAACATTTCTATATTTTATATGCTGATGATTTGTGTATATATATATATATATTTGGATCAATAATTGACAGTAAGATAATTATTTTTTATTAGGAGGAAGAAGGAAACAGTTGAATTTGTATATTAGGATAACATAAACAATTAACAGACACAAAATTAAAATATTTTTAAAAAAATAATATGAACCTTCACATCATAAAGTCGTGTATCACTAATTATGACCATATATGGTTTTGTTCAAGCGGGTACTCACGTAATTGTGTTTTGATGATTTTGTTTAGGAAATATCAAAACGATGACGTTTTAGTTAAGTTAGTTTAAAAAAGTATTATAAATCAATATAGGGTAAATAATTAATTAGATTGAAGAGAGAGAGAGAGAGAAAAAAAGAAAAAGAAAAAGAAAAAACGTAGGGAGGTGAAATAATTTTAAGAGTATTTAATCTTATTTAAAAATATAGGTTAAATTGATCAGCAGTATAAATCAATTTCGCATTTGAATAACATTCACTTCTTTCTTATTAATGTGTTCACTTATATTTTAATAAAATATAGGTTAAATTGATCAGCAGTATTTAATGTTCACTTATATTTTAATTTTGTTTTGATATTTTAATATGAAGTGTTGTTGAAGTAAAATAATTATTTAATGAGTTTTAAGTTTGATTTTTTTTAATAAAAAATTAAATTAAATAACCTGAAAATGAGTTTATTATAAACACAAGTAAACTAGTTAGGAGTTTATTTGATTTTGAATAATTTTTCTTTAAATTTTGATTTAAATAACATTTAAATGTAATATTTTGTAAAAAAAAAATATATATATTTACTAAGAACAAACTTAATTAATAGTATATCTATATATATTTTAATGTGAAATTCATATAAAAAATGGTAGTACATTCTCACAAAATATCATATCAAGTACTATTTAAACGGATCCACATCGTTTCTTCTTGATTCTTAGGAAAGGCGGAGAATAATGCTAAAGTTCGCGGACCTAATCGACGAACATCTCGAAGAGTTAGCGACATTGGACGCCATCGACGCTGCGAATCTCTATAGTCTCGGCAAGGGCTTGTACATCCACAACGCCGCCGAGCTTATCCGGTACTATGCCGGCGCAGCCGACAAAATCCACGGCGAGACCCTCAAATTGTCGAGGGAAATGCAGGGCTACACACTCGCCGAACCCATCGGAGTCGTGGGACACATCGTTCCATGGAACTTCCCGACGCAAATGTTTGTCATGAAAGTCGGGCCAGCGCTAGCGGCCGGGTGCACGATGGTCCTCAAGCCGGCCGAGCAAACACCTCTTTCGGCGCTTTACTACGCTCATTTGGCTAAGCTTGTACGCTTTCGACGATACATTATCATATTATTACTATCTTTGTCATCCAATTCTGTTCTCATTCTCTGTGTAAAAAATACAGAGAGAACGTGAACAGATTTCGATGATGGAGGTAGTATCTATGATTCTATATACAAATATATGTGCGCAAACATAATAATGTATATATCAATGTGTTTTGAAATGTGTAGGCCGGAGTTCCCGATGGGGTGATTAACGTTGTGACGGGGTATGGCCCGACGGTTGGCGCCGCTATAAGCTCTCACATGGACATCGACATGGTGAGAAACATTTTGTGCTTAAAATTCATTAAATTCAATGTTGGTATCGAGTGTTGATGTTTTCTTTCAATGTTTTTTTTCTGTGTCTTTAGGTAAGCTTCACCGGCTCCACAGAAACCGGGCACCGTATAATGCAAGCGGCCGCGACGAGCAACCTAAAGCCCGTGTCACTAGAGTTGGGAGGCAAGTCGCCGTTTATTGTCTTCGACGATGCGGATGTTGATAAAGTCGCACCTCTTGCGCTGGTCGCTTGCTTCTATAACCAAGTTAGTTGTTAAATTTATGCTAAACATCGAGCAATCATATTTTTCTTTGTAGAAATATGATTGGATCGATAAATTTATCCAGCCTAATCTTATGTTTATTTCACTTTTAAGTGTACACTCTTTGACACTATTCATCGTTTAGGGCCAAATATGTGTTGCGGGAACACGCACATTTGTTCAAGAAGGGATATATGATAAGTTCGTCGCTCGATTGTTGGAAGAAGTGAAGACATGGGTTGTTGGCGACCCGTTGGATCCAAATGTCAATCAAGGGCCACAAGTACGATAATCTTGCGACTTATTTTGTCTTTAAGTTCGTCGTCTCCCTTTTACATTATGCTACTTTGTCGCGATCAATACTATGCTTTGAAACTAGGTCGACAAGAAACAATACGAAAAGGTTCTTTCGTGGATCGACCGTGGGAAGAAAGATGGAGCCACATTGGTGGTTGGTGGCAAGGCTTATGATAGAAAGGGATACTACATCGAACCAACCATATTCACTAATGTCACCGTAAGCTTCGAAACAAACTATAAGCGCGCATAAATACATATAGTCTAGTATATAAACATTTCACGACTCGACCAACTCATCTATTATACACATTCTTGTTTTGTTGTAGGACGAGATGAGCATTGCCAACCAAGAAATCTTCGGGCCCGTTATGTCAATCATGAAGTTCAAGTAAGTTCGATCAATGAATATATACATAAGAATGATGTCTCGAAAGTCATTGAAACATAAACAAACGCCAAATCAATGACCTTTAATGTTTGAATTTGGATTTGAAGTCTGAAAATAGTAAAAATTCGAATTGAAATAGTATTCTATGTAATATAAATTGACGTATGATGTGATATTTTGAATAAAAAAATAATTTTAAAAAATAGATATATAATTTGATAATTCTTATAATAAGGGGTAGGGAAGGAGGGGGGATAGTGCGATATTTCTAATATCAAACACAATATTATATCCAGGACGGTCGAAGAAGTCATCGAGAGAGCCAACAAAACAAAGTATGGATTAGCGGCCGGGATTATGACGAACGATCTCAACATAGCAAACACTGTCTCAAGATCGCTCAAGGCCGGCACTATTTGGATTAATTGCTACTTTGGCTTCGACAATGACTTTCCCGTCGGGGGATACAAAATGAGCGGTTTCGGGAAGGACATGGGGATGGATGCCCTTAACAAATACCTTCAAATTAAATCCATAGCCACTCCAATATACAACTCTCCATGGCTCTAAACTATATATTCTATGATGTTCTTGTTTAATATCTTCACCTTGTTTCATTTCATCGTACCTTGGTGTGGATAATGATCTTCGATCATTGTAATAAAATTTGGTTATTTGTTTATACTTGGTTAATTATCCTTTATGTACTCAATTTAAAATCCCATTAAAATCTTGACTTGAGGATTAAGGTTGCATAAATAAATATACAAAAAAAATTCGATTCAAGGCGGCCGAACGTAATAGTCAATCATGTGTGGCAGGTAAGACCTGAAGACAACGTTTGAATCCATAACCTTATGTTTGAATATTTTTTATTTTTTTATTTTTTGATAACGTAGGAACCCGCAACAGTTACCCTTCGAGCGCGTTCGGATAAATTACCAGTCGAACCTAATAGTTTGCAAACTAGATTTTACAAGACAAGTCACATTAGAGGAACTATGTGTGGTAGACAAGACCTGGAGGCGTCGGTAAACTAGCTTATTGTATGAATAAAAATTATTTTAGAAAATGCGAAGGCAATTGTAATGATAAAATAATGGAAAATTAATTAAAAATATATGGAGAAGGTATAGAAGGGTTTGCTTGTTTAGTGTTTTGATTTGAATATATATATATTTATTTATTTATGTGAAGTATAAAAGTTTGGGTCGGTAATATAAAAAATAGTATTTTATATTGAACGATGACTTTATGACAGTATAATATATATATATATATATATATATATATATAGTGAGCTAACACAACAATATATAACTCGTAATTTGGCAGGCATTCTGAGATATGTAAATGTTACGTTTTCAGATGACAACAACATATTAACATTTTCATTTTGTGTATAAGAAACTTCAATTTAAAGACGAATCCTTTTGTGAATTAATTTTATTTATTTTTTTGTCCTAATTAAAGAAACTTATATGTGTGTATTGTGATAAATAATTTTAATGTAAGTATAGTAATCTGACTTAAGCTGCAAGATAATTAGTCATGTTGATTGGGTAATTAAATAATTGTATATGCTCTCCAACATTTTTCCCGTGTTCTTCAGATGTTTTAAAAATCATATTATTATTATTATTATTATTATTATTATTATTATTGTTATGATTATACAAGAATTCACAACAATTATCTTTAGAGTATAGTATAATATATAAACAGTACATCACAAACTTCTGTATAAGACTTAATTTTTAATTTATTTTTATTTTTATTTTTATTTTTGTTAAAGGTAATAAATTCTTAATAAAGATAAGTGAAAACTGAAAATACAATAATAAAGATAACGAAAGACCTGCAACAGATGCTTTTAAACGAATCTAAGAAATCTACAATCTAATGGGACTCTTATTTGCAGATGTATAATTAATGGTTGCATTTTTCTAACGGTTCGAGCAGACAGTTATTCTGCATCCGACATGATATCAGATCCCGACTAAATTTTGAATTCAAGTTCCACCGTCCCCATTTACGACATATGCATATGCAAATTTGGCATACTTGCGTTTCCTTAACAGTTGTGATAGTTATTATGCACATATGTATATGTATCTATATATATAGATGCAAAAGTGTGAACTAGTAAATATTTTCCCTAAACAACATCAACACTAGTCTCGACAACCTCTAAAAATGGAAGCCATAATCAACGAAGCCTCCCTCACTCTCTCTAGAAACTCCTCCCTCACTCTCTCATCCCCAAACAAACTCATCTCAACATTCATTCCCAAATGTTCACCCTTAAAAACCAACACTAGGCCTTTCCTCTTCCCTTCACTTCGTCGACACCATCGAGTCACCGCCTCCCTTCTCTCTTCCCCCCTCACCCACTCATTTCCCGACGACGCCGCAGCGGCGCGGAAAGGCAGCGACATCCTCGCCGAGGCTCTTCACCGCGAGGGCGTCCGGCACGTCTTCGGCTACCCTGGCGACTCCTCAATGGAGATCCTCGACGCTCTCCGCCGCCGCACGCCGATACGCAACGTGCTCGCCCGCCACGAGCAGGGCAGCATTTTCGCCGCCGAGGGATACGCGCGTGCTTCGGGATTTCCCGGAGTCTGCATCACGACTTCCGGCCCTGGTGCCACTAACTTAGTTACCGGCCTCGCCGATGCGCTCGCCGATAGCGTCCCGCTCGTCGTCGTCACGGGGCAGATTTCGAGCCACTTGATCGGCACCGGCGCCCTGCAGGACACTCCCATTGTCGAGCTGACGAGGCCGATCACGAAAAAGAATTACTTCGTCTCGCGTGTCGAGGAAATTCCGGCGATAGTTAAGGAAGCATTTTTTGTGGCGAAAACCAGGCGCCCGGGCCCTGTCTTGATCGATCTCCCTAAGGATGTCCAGATGAGCAAAATGGCGTGGAATTGGGACGAACCGTTAAGGTTAGGTGTCGAAGAGCGGTTATTACATAGCCTTCCCGAACCTCCGAGCGAGGCGTTGCTCGCTAAGATAGTAGATATGATCATCGAATCGAGGCGACCTGTCCTTTACGTGGGCGGAGGGTGTCTCGATTCGAGCAAGGAGTTGAGGCGTTTCGTGGAGCTTTCGGGGATTCCGGTGGCGAGTACTATGATGGCCTTAGGGACATATCCTTGTTCGGACGAAGAATTTTCATTACAAATGCTCGGATTGTACGGGACCGACCACGCCAACTACGCCGTGAACAACTGCGACCTATTGCTTGCATTCGGGACGAGGTTCAACTGCACTTATGTTGCCGCAGACAAAGAATCGTTTGCGAGCCAGGCGAGAATAGTTCACATTAACATCGATCCATCCGAGCTCGTAAAGAACAAAAATGTAGCGATGAGTTTATGCGCTGATATCAAGTTAGCCTTGAAAGGTATGAACTCAATGTTAACCGGACGCGAAAAGCCCGACTTTTCTACTTGGCGACGAGAGATAAATGCGCGAAAACATGGCTCTAACTATCGAATTATGTGCGCCGGCTATTGTCGCGATAGGGATCGATTCGACGATGTTATTCATCCTTGGCATGTAATTCAGGTTGACTATATAATAGTATAAATATATAATATATATTCTTACTATCTTAAATTTCAGGTGAGATGGTCATTTAACATTGAACTTTCAAGATACACTGACAGAGTTCTATTAATTTTTTTTATAGCGGAGATTAGTCATTTTTCAAAGTTAAACATGTTTTCGACTACGCAGGTTTTAGACGAGCTAACAAACGGGAATGCCATTATATGCACGGGCGCTGGGGAGCATCAAGTTTGGGCGACGCAATTTTACACTCACGAGCACCCGCGACATGTGGTGATGTCCGGAGGGTTTGGCCCGATGGGCTTCGGGCTACCTGCTGCGATCGGGGCAGCCATAGCTCGGCCAGATGCTGTCGTTGTGGATGTCGATGGAGACGGTAGTTTCCTCTTGAACGTCCAAGAATTAGCCACGGCGCGAGCGGAAAATCTCTCGTTGAAAATTTTGATTTTCAACAATCAACACTTTGGAATGACTGCGACTTGGGAGGACCGGTGCTGTCGCTCGAACAGGGTGTTTAGCTACCTTGGAAATCCGTTCAAGCCATCGGTTATCTTTCCGGATATGGTGAAGTTTGCCGAGGCTTGCGACGTCCCGTCGGCCCGGGTGGCGACGAGGAATGAGCTTAGAGATGCTATGAAAAAGATGATGGAGACGCCGGGGCCATACTTGCTAGATGTTATTGTACCGCTCGAAGATCATGCCTTCCCTTCGGACATCGGTGGTCCGTAGGGATATATTTATTACTCTCTCTGTCCATTTTATATTTATTTATTTATTTTTATTATGTAAATGAAGAAACATGGTCAGTTTTCTAAGGTTTTTAATATTTAGCATTTTTAGATGCAAAACCCAAAATCTCATAAATATAAATATATGATCGCATATTTTATAAGTCAAACATGATGTTAATTTGACTAGACGGGCTACTCTTGGACAGCAGCTTCTCTAAGGCTCTAATTTGCCTAACAAACCCTTAACTATATAACTAATGGGCTAAGGTTTTGTTTGAACTTAGGTTTGATGGGTTTGGGCTAAAGAGATTGGGCTGAATTCGGTAGGCTGGGCTGGCTAGACTAAGGAGTGATCAACTAATTTTATTTATTGAGTGACACATTAGATTAGGCCTCGAACGTCAAAATTTTCAACATATAATATATGCATTTAAACTTAATTTCATTGATTAATCTAAAATTCGGTTCGAATCAGTTCAATTTAACGGTTTGACAATTCAGTTCGTATATTTTGTATATCCCTACCCTTTGATATTGTTTAATAAATAAAGATTGTTAAATGACCATATCTCACCTCACTCATCTGACATTGAGTTTCTAATACATGTTAAATGATCATCTCATTTTTAAAATTTAAATTTGCTCTAAATGTATAAGTTTTAAAAGTACATCACTAATTATTACTATGTCAATCAACAAAAATGCTAAAAAATATTTCAAAGTAAGCAAGCGATGTTCGATCTTCGAACATCCCCTCGCAGCGTGACTAACTAAATCAGGAAGCTACCACCGCCGTCAATGTCCACAACAAAAGCATCTGGCCGCGCCATAGCTGCGCCAATAGCAGCGGGAAGTCGAAACCTCCATCGTGCCAAATCGCTCCGGCATCAATTCATGCCGAGGGTGCTTGGCTTTTGCGCGTAAAACACTTGTTTGTTATTTAGTTATGATTAATGTGTGAATCGATCTATGCATATATGTGGCGATTGAAGTGTGGTAACAACATTTATGGTCTTATTTTCATGATGTCGATGATAATAGTATGATTAGATATATATATATATATATATAGTATAAAAAAGGCAAAAATATTTTTTTGATAACAATAAAATAAATATCAAAATAAATTTGAATGAGGCAGTATTTCATTTAATATGTGATGTTTATGATTTAAATTTGACAGTGATATTGTCCAGTGAAATTGGTTGCTACTTATGTCTATTATGTCTATTGTAATGTATTTTCATGTTATAAATAAATATGTCAAAACGGGTTAGTGGGGCGGATTGACCCACAATCCACCATAACCCGCAAATAAGTGGGTTGTTTGCGGGCCAACCCGCAACGGGACGGATCAAAATTTCATCAGCCAACCCAACCTACCGGCGGGTGGCGAGCTAAGCGGGCTAGCCCATGGATTTTTTAAAAATATTAAAGAATATTAATATTATAAATATTTTCGTAATTAATATTTAAAAATAGCTAAAAATAGTTTTATTATAAAATTTAAATAATAAAGACGAACAAAACAAATTATGAAAAATCAAAACAAATAACAATGTCATGAATAACATAGTTAGAGAAGAAAAACAATGTGTAAACAATATTGATAATTTATTTAAATTAATGATAATATAAATTTTATTTTATTCGTCTTAACTTATTTATAACGGTGTATTTGTAATTTATAAAAAAATAAAATATATTCTTATATTATTATTTGATTAGTTTTATTATAATTTTTTAATAAGCCCGTTAAAATGCGGGCCTAAATAGGCTAACCCGCATTGGCTCAACCCATTTTGACGGCTTTAGTTATAAATACACAAAAATAAAAAGAATTTATTTTGTTCTTTTTAGGATTGATTTTGATTTTTTATTTTAAATTTTCATTTGAATAGTAATTTAATTGTAATACTTTTTATAGGGGTGACCAATATAAGTATATGCTATAGGGGTGACTAATATATATTTATACATATTTTAATATATTTATAATACAATATATATATTATATTATAAAACAATATATGTTGAGATGACCATATAACATATATTGACTAAATTAAATCAGCACTATATTAATTTGGTTGGATGATGACAAAATATACAGCCTCCATGCCCATGTATATATACACATACGTAGTTGCAAAAGACATATATGAACGAGAAATAATAATAATTTCCTTACCTAAAACTACTACATCAACACTAGTCTCGACAACCTCTAAAAATGGAAGCCATAGTCAACCAAGCTTTCTCCTCTCTCTCTCTCTAGAAATTCCTCCTTCACTCTTTCATCCCCAAACAAACTCATTCTCAAATGCTCATCCTTAAAAATCAACACTAAGCCTTTCCTCCTCCCTTCACGTCGTCGACACCATCGACTCACCGTCTCCCTTCTCTCTTCCCCCCTCACCCACTCATTTTCCGACGATGCCGCGACGGTGCAGAAAGGCCGCGACATCCTCGCCGAGGCTCTCCACCGCGAGGGCGTCCGCCACGTCTTCGGCTAGCCCGGCGACGCGTGCATGGACATCCTTGACGCTATCCGCCGCCGCACGCCGATAAGGAACGTGCTCGCCCACCACGAGCAGGGCAGCGTTTTCGCTGCCAAGGGATACGCGCGCGCTTCGGGATTTCCCGGTGTCACGACATCCGGTCCTGGTGCCAGTACTTAGTTACCGGCCTCGCCGATGCGTTCGCCGATAGCGTCCCGCTCGTCGTTGTCACGGGGCAGCTTCCGAGTCACTTGATCGGCACCGGCGCCCTCCAGGACGCTTTCATTGTCGAGCTGACGAGGCCGATCACGAAAAAGAATTACTTCATCTCGCGTGTCGATGAAATTCCGGCGATAGTTAAGGAAGCATTTTTCGTGGCGAAAACCAGCCGCCCGGGCCCTGTCTTGATCGATCTCCCTAAGGATGTCCAGCTGAGTAAAATGGCATGGAATTGGGACGATCCGATAAGGTTAGGCGTCGAAGAATCCTTATTACAGAACCTTCCCGAACCTCCGAGCAACGCATTGCTGGCGAAGATCGTAGATATGATTGTTGAATCGAGGCGACCTGTCCTCTACGTGGGCGGCGGGTGAGTCAATTCGAGCAAGGAGTTGAGGCGTTTCGTGGAGGAGCTTTCAGGGATTCCGGTGGCGAGTACTATGATGGCCTTAGGGACATATCCTAGTTCGGACGATGAGTTTTCATTACAAATGCTCGGATTGTACGGGACAGACCGCGCCAACTATGCCGTGAACAACTGCGATCTACTACTAGCATTTGGGATTAGATTATAAAAATATAACATCAATACTCATTTATATCATTAAAATATAAAATTAATTAATTATTAATTTATTAGAAAATGAGACCAAGACGGGACTGACTGCCTAAAACATAAAAAGTAGATCAATTTTGGGATGAGAAAATATCAAACACACAAAAAAAAAAAAAAAAAAAAAATAGAATTTAAAAAATAAAATATCTTCATCCAAATTATTATTATTTTATTAAAGAATTTATATATTAAAAAATTAAGTTTTTTTTTTTTTTTTTTTTTTTTTTTTTTTATTTAGAAAAGAAATAAACAACCAAAAACTAAAATTTCTAATCTACCTCCCTAACACCGACGCGCTCAAATCCTCGATTCCAAATCAATTGACGGCGGCGGCCGCCCTCCCCACCTTCACACCGACCTCGAATAGCAGGAATGGGAATGGGAAGAGGAGGAGCGATTCTAGAACCTCATGGGATGGGACGATATTCTAAGCTCAGCTCGTCTCCGCTAATCACGATTTGGATTTGGTGAGCCATTGACTTTGTTTCTCCAACTTGAAGAGTAATTTTCAACACATTACATTACTGTACCGTAGCTCACGATCACGATTGCTTTGATTAAATCTTCTGCTTCCATTCTAGTTTGGATATTGAGAATCTCTATGAGTAACGATTTGCGTTGCATTCAGTTTGTTGATTTTGAGTTTGAGTCGATGTCGGTGGGATTTTACCATTAATTTGAATTTTTGTTCAGTTGAACTGTATCGTTTGCTTTTCATTTACTATTGGTTGAATGTTCCTCGGATTTCAGAGAGTTAGTTCAAATTTTGTGGATTTGATCGGGTGATTCTTCACGTTTTGCTTGCGAATCTGCAGTTCAGTTAAGCTTCAGAAGTTGAACTCATCATCCTTTGATTTGATGTTTGTGCAAGAGTTTTAGTTACACTGTGAGCGTATCATTTTGAAGTGGAGTTCGTATCACTTTTATTCGCATGAGTTGGTAGATTAAGTTTATGTGATTGTTCTCTCATATAATGCACCTTTTTGGATTGATATCTTGTCCGTACGCACTTGACTAGGCTGCTGTGCCTAATTTTTGCTCAATTATAATCTCATGATCTATGAACCCCCTTAATTTTTTCTTATGGTCTTCGATTGGAACTTGACCTTGGCATTACTTTGGTAATAGATTCTCGCAACAACTATTATGGTGGAGAGTCTACTTGGCTCAATCTCATTCAGGTATTCCTTTCTTAATCCGACTGAGAAGTGTATTGCCACTCACGACACTAACTTTTATGTTAAAGGTCGATATGCGCAATCTTCCTTGTCAATTTTGTTGTAATTGGAGATCTTCTTGATCATACAGCTTTGGAAAAGATTTAGAGGAAGTGATAAGCCACCAGCTCACCTGGGCTCCAGTAGAGATTATAACGTTGACATGATCCCTAAGGTTCGTATTGTTTTTACACTGGTGGACGCCCTTTAGATTTTTCTTCAATCAATACGTGCTATCTTGACATAGTGCAGTATATCATGATGGCAAATGGTGTTCTTGTGCGAGTCCTCATTCAAAGCTGTTGATGGTAGCTTTGTTCGCAACAAAGGAAAGATATTATTATTGTATCTTATCATTTGTCTCGTTTTGCGTTCATGGACGACTGCTGATTCTCCTAACTTTGTGGTAAATGAGTGCAACAGATTCACAAGGTTCCAGTTTTTCATTTATGTCCAAGATTTTACTAAACAAACTTGTGAAGAAGAAGAACCAAAACAAGAGCAAGAAGTATAAGAGGAAAGAAATACCTTACTGAATCGCCTTGCCACTTGCCCCTGCTAAATCAAATCTTTAATCAAATCAAAAAAATAATTAAAACAGCCATTTTACTACACAAACTTGTGAAAAGAGAGAAGAAGAACAAGAAGAAGAAAACGTACCATTGCAGCCCTAAAAGAAGGAGAAGATGACGTACCATATATTGCAGCCCCAAAAGAGGAAGAAGATGACGTACCATATATTGCAGCCCCAGAATCAACAATATTGCTCCCTCCGTTTGTTTTTTCATGGAGTTTTAGAAATATTAGTATTATACTGGGATAAAGTAGAAATAAAAGTTAGTATTGTATGATATAAATGTAATGGTATTTGTGTAATATATTGTAATTGAAAGAATATTTGTAAATACAATTACTAAAAAAAAAATGGATATTTTGTTATGGGACGAACGCAAATGAAAAAATGGATAAATTGTTAAGGGATTTGAGAAATATAATTTTAGGAAATTCATTTGTAATGTATGGTACGACTTGTTTCAACAGCTATTTCTTTTTTTTTTTTTTTCAAAATTTACCTTATTTAAATCTCTTAGCTGTTTTTTAAAATTTATTTAAAAAGTTACCATATTTAAAGTTACTTATATATCCCTTCTATTTTTAAATTTATTTAAAAAATTACTATATTTAAATTTATTACTATGCTCAAAACCTAGTTTGTTCAGTTTAATTTCTGGTTATTCAAAATTAATAAATTAAAACTGAATCGAAATCGAAATTTATAAATTCAATTTAGTATGATTTTCTTTTAATTGTAAATGGATCTAATAATATTATTTTAGAAATGTATACATTAAACTATATATTTAAATATATTAGATATTTTGAGCTATATTTAAAAATATTTTATTTTATTTTTATAATTAAAATTTATTGAACTTCTTTAAAATATATTGATTTTCTTTTAATGGAAATTTAAATATTTTCTTTCAGCACATAATATATATATATACTTTAAAAAAAAAAAAATTAGTCAATTTTATTCTATAAATAATTTTAACAATTTCATACTTCAAGTTTTAATTTTCTTTTGTGGGCATGTTGGATTCATATCTTAATCTATATTGGTACCAACTGATAAATGATAAAATTTTACTTAGTGTGTGTATGTATGTATGTATCTATTGAACCATTCAATAGATGGTTGGGAATGACGTGGATTGCATATATAATAAACTTAAAATATAAGATAATGTAACAATTCACCTTTCTTGTAAAATATATATGATGATTAATGAGTGCTTACACTTGTGGATGTAACGTTAATCAATATTATTTATATGTAGTTATCGACTTAATAGATAATATTTGGGGATCGTTGACTTTATACAATAATTTATATGTTCATTAAGTATATATATATATTTATTATTTGTAAGTTGATCTATCAATAATAAAATTTTATATTAGTAGATGTGTATATGTGCATAATAATTAAGATACGGTACTAAATTATAGTACTAGACAGACTTAGCCCTTATCATCTGGTTCGGAGGCGCCCTTGAACCCCCAAGCCGGTTTGCCCCTCGACCCCACTTGCTGACTGGACAGCGAGACTTTCGTACAATATCTCTCAGCTTTTCATATGCGTTGCGACATCAACAATTAAATCAACGGTACATTTTACATTTTGTAATCGCGACTCTTAAGGAGGGATTCAAATTTTCAATCTAAAATCAATTGGTATTAGGTGCTGTGACATTTCACCCTTAAAATCCATATAATATCAATACTAATTCGGATACCATAGTTCTGATATCATGTTAAGAAAGATATCTAAACTTTTAATCTAAAATTAATTGATATTAGGTGGAGTGATCTTTTATCCTTATAAAGTAAGATGAAACAATATTCGACAACGACACATAATTTTATTAATTCACAAGACAATTATAGCAAGTTTCTATCCATAATTTTAAGTATAATGAATATATATATATATATATATATATATATGAGCTTCGTGGACGAATAGGAAACAACATTTTTGGTAGTGGGTCACTGTCATTTTCTGGGACTATTTGGGGTAACGTTTTTCTATATTTTACCAACTCTTAATTGATAAGACAAAAGTGTTTTGGTTGAACAAGAAAACACAATATAAATTTTAAATTTGTGGACCCTTAAGATATGTTCATTTTACAGTATATATATATATATATATATTTTATTTTCTCCACTGTCTAATCGTTAATTTTTTATTTTTATTTTTATATATATATATATATATAAAAGTATTAAATTTTACTGTGTAAAAGATCATATTCAACTTAGTTTTTAAAACTAAAAAAATCCAGCTAAATGCTATGTCGACAAATTATAATTTATTAAGTGTATATATGTTGATGGTGTGAAATAGCTATAAGCTGAATTTAACAATAAGATGAAATTCCAATAAATGTTTACATACAAATGTCATACCATAAATGTCTCTATTTCAATTGAGTTCGCTATGATGTTAGGATTAGTTTGTTTAACTAAATATTGGAAAGCTATTGAGAATTCTCATTTCCAGCCACAAAACTTTTTTCCATTTAATTTCAAGAGAAAAAAAATATATAAACACTAAAGAGAAAAAAAAGATTATCTTTCAAACTTTTTTTTTTTTTTATTTTCAAGAAGAGATGCAATAGAAAATTTCAAGATTTGTGCTTATTAAAATAGTATCATGATTAATCAATTAAATTAATATTTTTTACTTATTGAATTTAACTTTCGATTGAACTGGCAGGGTAAGAGAACTTGTAACTATAAAGTCATGAGTTTAATCCTGGTAACATCTTCTCTGTCGAATATGTCTCATACTATTGAGCAAATAGGTCCCACAATCATAAAAGGAAAAAAAAAGAAAAAGAAAATAGAAATGAATAATTGGCAATCAATGTTTGGCATAGTAATTGGTAAACAGGTGGAAGCAACTAAGTGGATAGTGTTTGACTAAATCAAGTCAAAGTATTGTTGATGCTATTTTGTTAATTTGCATATAATAATCAAAGAAAGAATAAGCAATTTATTCCCTCATTTTCTAGTCATTTAAGCAAATATTAGTTATATATATATAAGCATGATCCATCTCTTTTTAACTTAGATTTAAAATCCCAATTAGGTAGGATGTCTTCTAATAACAATATTGAGGACTTAATATTGTGAAGGACTTTTTCAAACTAATTAAGCATGATTTGTCACACTTTTATGTATTATATTTTTATGGATAAAATCACACAAAAGAATTGTTTGGAAATTGCATTTGTTATCACATTATGTCCATCCTTGGTTTAATCATATGATTTTATAAGATCATATTTTGATTATATAAGTGTTGTGTGTTATTTTGGAGTTTGATTTAATAAACTAGTTTGGTTTTTGATTCATATAAGTAAATGAAAAAAATTTAATGGACTGACCGAAAATAAAAATAAAAATAAAATATACTATGATTTTGTCAGGAATGAACAAACTCAACACTAATATGACAGTGTACACTTTGGACTAAGCCGGCACGAATTTATTTTTAAACTTTCTTAAAAAAAATAATTAATAGTAAAATTCATATGAAATTTATTGTGGATTCTTATTCTAATATTTCTAATGTGGACTTTTGCATTCCAACAGTTATTTTATAAAATATTATATCATATATTCCTACCGTCACAAATCAAAAGGGCTTTTTGGAATTTTATAGTAGATTAAAAAATAATATTATTTTATTAGTTAGTAGAAATGTGTTAAAAGTTTTTAATATTTTTAACTTTTGACTTTAAGTATAAAGTAATTGTATATGTAATATTAGTATATTTTTAATTTAAGTAAAAATTAAAAGATATTTTAGTATTAGTGTATAATTATTTTTTCTAAAATAAGAAAGAGAAACTTTAAAGTGAGAGATAGACAAAAATAATTAAAATGATACTTTGAATTGAGACTGAGGAAATATTATTATAAACAAAATTCAAATTCCAAGTGCAAAGAAAATGAGCCACCCAAGTAACAATTTCTTGTATGGAAATTCAAGTCAAATAAAGGCACCAAATACAATACTAACAATTCTCCCAACTCCATCTATTAAATATGTAAGTGGTGGAAACCAAACCAATCCAAACAAGATCGATCACTTTCCCACCAAACCCCAAAACAAATTAACCAAAAAAGTCTTCAAGATCGATCGATCGATCATTCAACAAATAATCAAGAATCAAACCGCACTGAATAATAATTCTCCAGGCCAGCCAAGAGTTAATGGAAGGGCTCATCCCAATGGTCTACAAATCCCTCAGGAAGAACAAAGCCCGGCGAACATACGAATGCCTCTCCTCCGGCACAGCGCAAACATACAAGATCGAAGAGTTCTATGCGAAAGATGATCTTCAAGATCAATACATCAAGAATTATATTAATAGTAGCGCTCCCGCTGGGGCTCAGCATCGCCGGTGCAAGTCTGTGCACGTGGATAGCACAATGATGGTCGATAAGGATGAGGCGTATAGGCCTAAGCCGCAGCTCGTGAGGTTCCGGAGCCATAGAATGTTCTCGTGCGTCACCGGCGGTTAGAAGAAGCCTTTGATTTGTTGTGGTTTGAAATTGGTTTGGAAACAATTATATATATGGATTACTACTCTTGATTTTCTTTCTCTCTCTCTCTATATATATGTATGTATTTATGTATATTGATTTTGTGCACTGCTAGCTAGCTATTAGGATTGATCATTTTATGGTCTTGTTACCATGGCATCAATCTAAGAATAAGACATTTCTTGAGTGATTTTGGTGTAAGAAAATAATGTTTAATTGAATGTTTTGTAAAAGGAAAAATTTGTATATTTTTTGGGGGAAGACATAGTCCAAATAGTAAAAAATTGAAGGTTTGGGTTAAAAGAAACGGACCAGTATTTTAATTTCTGCAAATCCTTCTACCAGTTTAGATGTTTTTAAATATTGTGGGAAGATGCAACTTGCCAATTTTTATTTATTTTTAAGTTTAATTTCTATTTTTTTAATTTTTTTTTTTTTGTCGCGTTACTAGGAATTGGACGATATTCATATTGCTCATTCAAAATGGCTCAAAAAAAAAAAGAACCAAGATTTGAAGATGCATTGATGTCTTTCGGTTTTTTGTGCATATGAGATCGCTTAGGTCTTAACATGATTTTATTATTATTATTATTATATTTTTTTTCTAATTTATTTTATTTATTTATTATTTTCTAATTATTTTTGCCTTATTTCTTTTAGGCTTTAGAATTTTGAAATTATAAGTATTTATTTGTTTCTTTGATTTTTGTTCATATATTGGATTTATGTTATTATAACATGTATTGTCAACTTATACCATATCTACTATCAAATTATATTTCATGTAATAAAAACAAACACATCCTTTATCACTTTGTTAATTAACTATTTGGGAAAGTGTTGACTTATTTTCATGTTCAGCAGGAGAGGTATGAATCTATGTTTATACTCAACAAGGAAAACTACAAAATTTGCCATGCAAATATACATATGGCTTCACGGGTTCGTTTTTATAAGTCTTATCGAAAATCAAGTTTATTCGTTATCCAATATATAAAGAAATGATGGTAGAGAACAACACGGATATGGAAGTGCCTGAAGAGCACCGAAGAGATTTTTCTCTTGAAGATGATAGCGATAATTATTGTGTTGTGAAGTTCAAGTTAAAGTCCGAGATGAACTTAATTATTGTATATCCAGCCGGAGAGCCCCTTGGGTTGACCGTCCAGTTTATTGAGTTGCGTATTAAAGTTTTTGATATATACTTGTATTATATCTCTAAATAAAACAACAAATACTAGTGAAAATACTTGGTTTGGATATTAAAATAATAGTAATAATAATAATTCTAATCGAACTTGGTCAGCAAATATTTATCTTCTTGTGTATTTTTTTTTTTATTGTTTTTGAGTTCCAATTTCCAGAACAATAATATAGCAATATCCATAAAATTGGAGGATGGGACGAAAAGGTTGGTAGAGAGGTATAAATATTGTTTAAGCCTGTAGTAGGTGGGTTGAAAAGCTGTAAATTCATGTAGAGGCAAAATAATAATAATAATAATAAATTTTAAAAAAAAAAAAAAAATTCTAGTATTCATGTTTCCAAGTTATAATATACTCCCTCGGACCTGTCCGAGAACTATAGTTTGGATTATGTTTGACACGAGATTTAAGGAATATTGGTATTATATGAGTAGTGGGTAAAAAATACGAGTAAAATATTTTTTTTGCCCTTGTGAGTGTATCAGTGTAAAAAATAGTGGCAATTGTGTAATAATAATGAAAAAGTAAAGGTAATTTTATAGTGATATGATTATTTATGAAAAATGAGACTATTGTTTTGATAAAGGTAAAAAATGGTAAACATAACTATTGTATTGAAAAGGTGGGAGTATATTATCTAGTTATATTATTATTATTATTATTATTATTATTATTTTGTTGTAAGAGTGCAACATGTGATTGCGGTGCTTTCTTATTTTAGAATAAATAGAGAAATTAAAATACGATAAATTATAACATTAAAATACACTTATATACAAATTTTAAATGATACTCCCTCCGTCCCACATAATTTGTTTCTATTTTCTATTTTCGTCCGTCCCACATAATTTGTTCTTTCCTTTTTTTGGAAAATTAATTATACACTTTAATCATATTTTAAAATTTAAAATTTAAATTTTTTTAATCTTAATTAAACTATTTAGTTATCTTAATCTTAATCTATAATTATTTTTACTAAATAATAATTATTTTTACTAATACATTTCTTAATTGCTTATTAATTATATTTTACCTAAATTCCCGTGTCTACATCAATAGGCCCATGTTACATGGGACGGAGGGAGTAATAATCTAGTTGTTTCCCTGTAATTTCCTAAACAATTATAATTTTTTTTTTTTTTTTTTTTTTGGCTAAAAAGGTGTATAAAGTCTACAAGTATTTGTAAAATTTTGGGTAATTAAATTATATATATAATACTTCATGTTTTAGTAAAAATATACACAATATTTTATATTTAATAAAAAATAATTCATCAATGATCTATTTAATAGTTTTTTGAAAACAAATTGTTATCTATTTTTTTCAAAATGCTATAAAATAAAAAATTGATCAATTAATTTTAAAATATAAAATTTGCATATTTACAATAAAATATTTTCTTTGGATGAAAATGATATATTTTTTTAATTTATTTTAATCTGACACAAAGATTTCACGTAATCAATAAAAAACATTATTGAAAGATAAGGATAAAAATCATTACAAATGATAATAATATAAAAAATATACATATAAAATTTGGTATGAAAAACAAGAAAGAGTGCGATGCCTTGAAATTTCTTATCAAAGATAGTTAATCATTTTTTATTTTTATTTTAAAAAAAAAGATTTATTTATCTATATTCACTTTTTATCCCACCTATAAATAAGCTCGCAATTTCTTTGTTAATATGTAACAAGAAATTCTCCCATATATAACACAATCGAAGGTAAAATACATGAATGTTGTAAAGAGTAGGTAATCATAGACATGAAAATATATTACACAATCATGAAAATATTGGAATTAATTTCCAACTTAATACATACAGAATAGTGTTGGAACACACAAAGCTTCAACATTATTTCCACATTCTTCCTAACCAATTATCTTACAGTAATCGAACAATGTAGTTTTAGACTGATATTTTTGATTCATGAAGAACATGTTTTCTTAATCCAGGGATGTGAGCTTCTACCAAGTACTTTCGCCAGTCTATTTTCGTCGCATCAACTTCAAAGTTACGTCGCTCCTCTTCAGACATTTCCTCTAATAACTTCCTCGTATTCCCCGAATGGAACCTACACAAGCATTCAAAATCAATCAAATCGCCAAATACTTCGAAGCAATACAATAGGACCGACCCTGAGAAAAGTCGACAACACTAATTGCCTAGAGATTACTATAAAAAGGGACCACATTTTTGTCTATATAAGTACAATCATATGTATATATAATATGTTTTAAAATTTTATAGCTGATAGGTATTTTTTATTTTTTATTTTTGAGCCTTTCGAAAGTCAGGAATGACCCTTAAAAATTAAATGAATGACTACATACTACAACTTATGTTGTTAGCGCAAAAGATAATTTTAAGTAATATTAGTAGTTGTTTGTACCTCGCTTTAAAGAAGCCGGCGAATTCATACATCTTGCATAATTGCTCGGCGTACATGACCTTAGCCTTGTATTGCTTTTGAAGGCGACTTTGAGGTGAGTTCCCATTTAGGCCAATAATGTGGCTCATCCCCGACTGTTCTGATAATTCTTGTCGTATGTGTTTAGAGAAGTTATTGAATTCATCGAAGAATTCCATTTTATTGACAGCTTTCGATTTGGTTAAAGGGTATTTACTGAAGTGCTCGTGCATATGGTTGAAGAAGTCCGAATATTGTAGAGGGTTCACAAAGTCAGTCGTCGCATGGTACACATTCAATCCGGGCTTGCTAATAATCCCATGCTTCGCAGCGGCTGCGACTGTTGTATTTACTACCATGTCAACCGGGACCTGTTTATCGACATTTTTGTATTCAGTTCAGAAAAAAAAAAAATATACATATATATGTATGCGTGCGTGTGCGCCTTCGAGGTAATACGAAACTAAATTATGCTAAGTTAGCAAGAATCGAATGAAAAAATAATAAACATAAAAAAAAAAGACTTTGAGGTTGTGTTTTTTGTGGGTTTTACTACATATTTTTTATTATTCAAATGCAATTTTTTTCCTTTGTACTTTTTAAAAAATATTTTTTCACTATTTAATATGTTAAATTCCCTTAGAAGAGTTGCACTCAAACTCACTTTTTATTTCTCATAACATATACAAAACACAATAATTATTTCATCTAAAAATAAAAAGATAAAAAACTTGTATTCGAAGACTTACAATGTCGACATGAGCTTCGGGGTCAGCCAAATAGCCAGGAAGCAACCCTTTTCCGTAAGAAATAATCACCGGATCGTACATTCTAGATTCCAGAAAGCAACGATCATGTAAGAATGCAAGTTGTATGAATTAGATTTCATTGTTCGAAAGAATTATTCGAAACAAGAACTTAGGACAAACCTATTTCCTTGTATCCATCCAGGAATAGGATCTTTGTAGCTACCCTCGATCACGGATGGCCTGATGATGAGAACCGGCACGTCTCCTCTCGATTCTTCAAGCACCATTTCTCCCATGGCCTTGGTTAAATGGTATGCATTGTACCATCCGTAGAATGTTGCCCTGCAACAAATACTTACCATAGTTTATTTTTTCCCTTACAACATTGAATAAGGTTTATAAAGGTCATGTATAATCCATTGCATATGTAGCCAGCTATGGTTTATTGCTTTTGGCTCAATATAAACCATTTTTTATAAACAAAAAATAAATAAATAAAAAACTTGTTCCGGGTTCAAATTTTGTTTGCTGCACATAATTTATCTAGTATAACTTATTGTGCATACTTTGCAAACTATTAGATTCGATTGATTGAGGATTATTCAGAACTGTGTAACCATGTCATAAAAAAGAAAAAAAAAAATCATTTTATAATATAGGGTAAAATTCTGTGCTGAGCATAGTATTCTTAATCTACAAAACTTTTACTACAAAACATTTTAAAAGAACCATTCATGTGAATATATATTTTTTTTAAACAATTCCAGGAGGGTGATCTAAACCAAATAATTCATTTAACAAAAATTATTGTTGGCAAATAGTTGTAAATATTTTTAAAATTGTTATTGAAAACATAGTTATTTTTTTATTTAAAATATAATATCAAATACTTAATTATATATAGCATCAAATACTATTTTCATATAGAATTTAACTATTTTCAAATTTACGCCCTATTATAACTTTGGCAATACCTCTCTTGGCCTAGCCTTCTCAATGCTTTCGTGGCATCGTGATCCGATAGGCCCATACAAGTTTTCGTCGCTAGATTTATCTCATCGGATAGATCTAACCGGGGAAATGCCGAAGAAGGCATCTCCTCGTCCACCTTTCTTGCGTTTTCGCCCATAATCCACGGTGTTTCATAAATTACACCTTCTCTTCTTCCATTAACATATGCTGCATAAATCAAATCAATAAGTAATACTAACATGTACGCGACATAAATGTTTCGTTTGAACTAATTTTGGTATCCATACCGGTTGACATGTGCACGAAAACTTTGAGGTTCTTGCACCTCTTAGCGAACCTTAGGAGGCGTTGAGGCGCGATTGTATTCTCGTTTATTAGCTCATCATACCTAAACATCATGAACAAAATATTTAAGAACAAAAAATCTTGAAAGCTACACATTATATTTAATTAATTCATCGAATGTTTGCAATGGAAAACCACGACGACCAATAATCAAACCTCGCATTTAGAGTTGTGCTTGCTGCAGATGCTATTATTACATCAACATTATCCATAAGTGTTTGTGCAGATTTTGTATCCATTCCAAGATTTGGCTCGCAAATGTTCCCGACCACCGGTATCAACTTCTCTCGCGCAAATTCTTTGTATGAGCTTCCATATTTTTCTTGTAGAGTTTCGAATAAGTTCGAGTACATAATCTGAAGCCAAAAAAAATAGAAAGATTCATCATTTCTTTCAACATAGTAAATATATATATATATATGTATTTATCGATCATTCTTGAGAGTGAGAATGAGAAGCTTACTTCTTTAGACAATCTATCAGCTGCACCCTCATTATCATCTGCCTTTATGAGCACGTAGATTTTATCGACTGAAGTCGACCTCAACAATTTTTCGACCAAAGCTACAAAGGGGGAAAAAATTGAAAACGATTATTCAGACACTCCTAATATCTTTTTTAACAGATGTTGTATGTTATTCAACAGGATTTTATGTGGGTTAGATAGGTTTTTCTTTTTTGTTTTCTTTGTTAACCAAAAAGTGTTTAACAAATTTATGTTAGAGTTAACATTTTTTTTTTTTTCGAAAATGTTGTTTAACTTATTTTTATATATTCTTCAACAGCATAATTTTTAAATCACATTATCTAGGGTTTAACCAAACACAGGTAATTCTCATTGTAAGAGAATTTAAAAACTCATATATGAAATAAATTATTTACTATTTGAAAATTAAAATTTTCAGATATTTGAATTCTTGAAAATTGATTTTTCTGAAGCCTAACTCCTCGAAACACGAGATTTTTAGGGTTCCAAAATTGCATATATATTCACGTGTGCATGCTCGATATTGAATAATATCTTATGTTATCGATCAATGCAAAATAATTGATTAACAATTAGTTACTTCCCAAGAATCATGTATATATATATATATGTATCATAACATCAACAATTCAAGAATTTCGAAAGCCATTCAAAGAATAAAAATAGGGATTACTAAAATATACCTTTTCCAACAAGACCAGTTGCACCAGTGATTAAAATGTTCTTCCCTTGAAAGAAGTTTTCGATCCCAACACCATTGCTATCGACTTGTGTCGCTGCCCCCAGCGACAGTTCTGACTCGAGAGGGTGTCGGGGAGAAGTGAAATAGGGATAACCATTAAAATTGACACCCAATTCCCACATCTTTCTCGATGATCGAAACTTGTTGTTCGAATATTTCTGGACAAAAGAAACCCTTGGATTTTGGGAATTAGATTTTTCGAAAGATAGATTTGTTGTTGGGAAACAGCTGAAGGAGTTTGGGGCAATTAGAAACATGATTGTGTTCTAAATTGTTGTCGAAATGTGGTATTTCTTTCTTTTGCTATATGATTAAATTTAGTTAGAAACATAGACTATTTATAGACAACCTAGGACATGCATTATGCTTATTGGTACTTGAACATATTATAGTGTTCCTATGAAGTTTCCTTGGTTTGAACACAACATGGCATTATATTACAGGTTAAAATTAATATAGAAATGCATCCATAAGCAATTTTTCATAAGTGGGTTTTTACTTTTTGTTTTTCTTTGATTACTTTAAAATAATTGAAGATTGTAAGAAGTTGAGAAAATTAGTGACTTTAAACTAATCTAATTATAAATAAATAATAGATATATTTCCATTGTATTAGTGAGACTAGGGGATTTTAATTTTCCTTACGCATTTTTCTTTTATGTTTTTTATATTATTCCTTTTTATATTCTATAATAAAAATATATTATTTCTTCCGGTAAAATCTTAGATCAAATTATTAGCTAGCTATTTAAACTATATATATATATATATATATATAATCACAAACACAACACATTATTTTACTATGAGCAAATTGTTAAATGAATATCTATCTCTCTCTCTCTATATATATTACTTATAACAAATTGAGGCGATTTATTTTGAATACCTGAAAGTAAATTTTGCAAACAATTGTAAAATTGTAAAAAAAAAGAAAAAGGCAACTTAGTTTAAAGATTTCAATTCAATTCTTGACAAATTCATGAGAAGTCAAAATTTTCTGTTACATTTGATTGAATTGTTTATTTCTTTAATTAATGAATAAAAAAAAACATGCATGTTAAATGTGAACAAAACTTAATAAAAAATTCAAAACAATTAGGAACTGTTTGTTTTGTAAAATAGTTAGAAGAGATGTTTTTATGTGAAGTATACAAAGTTGCAAATAATATAAAAATAATAAAAATATATAATTTACTAATTCTATTTTTAAAAATACATGTGTTATTTTTACAAAAAGATGCTTCCAACTCATATTATTTTTAATATGATGGAATCAAATATTTTAATATAAAAATTAATATTATTTTGACCAAATATTAAAGTTTTTATCTTAAAAATTTTAGTATTTGATTTGATATTTTATATGAAAAATAATAGATATTTATTGTGATATATATTAAAATTTTATAGTAAAAAATTAAGTTTTTGATATGATATTTTATTTTAAAAAATAAGTAGATATTACTTGATATATATATATATATATATATGTTAAAAAGAATTTAGTATAAATGAAGGTTGATGCCTGAATGATTTGAAAGTGTAAACAAAAAAGATTGTTTCCATGAAATTTCTCATTTTGAAAAGACACTATAATGGATGAGTATTTAATATATAAATTATGATGAGTCGTGGTAGGTTCCACATGATATATATATATATATATATATATTGAATTCTTGCATTAAAACAAATTCAAGATAGGTATGCATCCATTTATTTAATTCCTAGGTTTTCTACCATGTGAATACACTTGTGATTTATTTACTCAAATATATATATATATATATATATGCTCTCTTCAAATATTATTTGAAGTAGATTCTATATGTTGCTGTTGTACCCATAAAGATAACATAGAAAACTCCTAATTCTTAGTACAAACTAATTTTACGTAGAGTATTGGATAAATTTAAAATTTGTATGTATATATATATATATATATATGATACGATAAAAGGTGTGTTTAGTTGTCGTTCTAGTTCAAAATAAGGATGCCAAGAGGTTCAAATAGACTGAAACACGGACTTGATTAATTTATTTGGGCCACGTCTAATTATTTGGGTATCGAAGGAAAATTTCCCAAAGTTCCTAAATATATATATATATATATATATTTATATAAATTGAAACTTTCATTTCTCTTATGAAATTATTTTATGTTAATATATGAAACGGTTTAAATAACTCATCATATATTTCTTTCGTTCGTCTCTAAGAGTCACATTTATCTTTTGCATAATTGTACTTGATATTAAAAATATTTTTATATTTGTATAATTTTTATTTTTTTTATAAATGTCATTCTATTAGTATTATAAGACATTAATGAAAGTATTTTTGTAATTTTTTCTTAATTTATACTATGTTTTGATATAATAATTAATATTCAAATATCAACACGCAAAAAGTAAATGAGACCTTAGAGCCAGATGGAGATAGTATTTTAATTTTTTTAATCAAATAAATATTGTATTATAAACCAACAATTAATCAAATAAGGTCTTATTATATTCTAAACAATAAAGTCAAATTTTTCGAAACAAACCCTGAATTGTTTTAAATTCAATTTAAACTCAAAGTATGAATGTATGTCATCTATCTTCAATAAATATTTCATTTCTATAGAGTTGCTATGTTAATCAGAGTAAGTTCAACAACTACGTTGATAGACATTTTTTTTTTTTTTTTGAATTAATTTTTCATAATATTTCCTACTGATGAACAATATATTGAATACGTATTCAACGACTCTAGTATTATAAAATCAAATATATCAATGTAATTATTACACAATCATAGCACTATTTTACTTGTTGCCAACATTAATAATTAAATAAATAGTTACAGATGAGCATATATATTACATATAATTCACACATACGTATCATTGAGCAATTAACACAGACAATTATAAAAAATTATCGAGCACCTGGGAAAAATATAATAATTAAAATTACACTTCCACTTATTCAATATTTCTATATCTTAATTAAAATAGACGTATGTCCATGTGGGCTGAATTTGTGACCGTCAGATCGCTAGTTCAAATTTATAATATCTTTGAATCTTGCTTGTCATATATGGTTCGTCTAGTGTATATTATTTTATTAGGTTTAATTTGTAGATAATTAAGTTTTACTGAGAATTTACCCATAGTTCAAATTTATAATATCTTTGAATCTTGCTTGTCATATATGATTCGTCTAGTGTATATTATTTTATCAGGTTTTATTTGTAGATAATTAAGTTCGACTGAGAATTTACCCAAAACTCATTCAAATAATAGTAGTTGCGAATTCTTACATTATAGAAAAAAAAAAAAAAACCATGAAATTATTATAGACAAGATAATTTAATAACAATATAAAACAATCATATTGACGGTGGTTAGAGTATTTATTAAGGTTAATCCATACCAAACTGATTAAAATAACAAATAAAATATATATGTTACATAAATTGATAGTACGGAGTGCATATTACAAAAATGTAATAATTCCTCCATCCCTTCTACCCTTTTGAAATTTTATAATAAATTAAAAAATAATAATATTTTATTTATTAGTAGAGGTGTGTAATAATTTTTGATATTTTTGTTTTTTAATTATATATATATATATAATGGTATATTGGTAATTTAAGTAAAAAATAATACTATTTTAGTGTTATTGTATCATTATTTTTCCTAATTAATCTAAATAAGATTAAAAAAAATTATAAACCAAAAATTTTTAAATATGATTAAAGTGCATAATTTTTTTTTTTTTTAAAAAAAAAAGTAACATGAAATGTAGGACTTACGCAGTCGACAACATGGAAACGATATAAATAGTTGTTTAATACGATGTTATCATATTTTTAATATATATATATATACACAATAATTTGTATATAATATTTTTAACACAAGCTAAAATATTAGATACAGCATCCTTCTTTAATTTCGTCAATAATAATTATATCGCATTTGCTTATTCAATTGTTTGCTAATTTATACTACATAATTCGTTTATAGTAAGTAATTTTTTTTTTACCCCCACAAACATTCGGGATTAAACACGGAGCCTTGCTCCTAAGCACAAAATATCTCACCTTTTGATAAAAAGAGCTTAGCTAGTAAACAAGTTTATTAACCTATAATTTTATTACTTCTATTTTAACAAATAATAATATATTAAATTATTATTATTATTATTATTTCTTAATTTTTGTGACCAAACATTATGGCCTAAATAACCCGGCGGTGGGAATATATATATATATATATATATTAGAGTGGATCTCAAGCCACATAATTCTTGTGATTGTTAACTAATACTACAGATGGAATCTTTGCTTAGAGACGTCCTAAATCCTGTTCAGACTGGAAAATTAAAGTAGTAATTAAATAAATTAAAATATAACTAACAGTCGTTACACATGAATTCTTAAAAAATTAAAATCCATTGGGATAACAAATAATGTATGGATATTTGTTTACTGGAGTAGGTAGAATATGTTCATTAAAACATGGGTTATTATTCGATATTCACATGTTTATTATTATATTGGATGTTTAATAAATTGCTCAAAGTACGTTTGGTACAGGCTTCAAGTGTGACACCCGGCCCGCATGTCGAGATCGGTCAACACGAGCCCGAGTGGCTTTTTCAACTTAGTCGTCAATTCTCAAATTATTATAGGGCAAGCACATTTAATTTCAAAATTTTTTCGGTAGAATTTTCGAAAATGAGAGCGCACGTTATTGACATGAATAGTCTATTCAATCCACTTAATATTTATTAATTCTTGAATGATCTAGCATCGGCTCATTCATACATGGGAGCAGACCTAGTATTGAACTAACTCCGGGGGTGACAGCTACAGTGTTGAATGTAAAATTTAGCACTATACTGAATAGCACACCGTGTCCTACAAGATAGTACACATTATACGTTATTATAATACAAATACAACACATGACTAACAACACATGATATAGTCTCACACGACACATACAATACTTGATTTTAGCACATGACATGTTATAATTATGAACAAATAGCACATGTCTTTATAACATACATCATGTGCTATTTGTAATAAAAATATGTATTATTTCTGTATTTTATAACATACATCATGACGGTGATTTTCCAAATTCAGCACCATAACCTTCCCTATTCCGAGGATATTACATAAAGATAGAGAAATTAAGGGTTTGTTTATTTGATATTTTTATTTCGACCTGATTCTCAATAGAAATTAGCATCCGTCAGTCTGCCACGCAAATGCAACATAGGCA